GAGTATTACCTGGCCCTATATGTCGGGCTGCAATGTATAAGGCGTAAGATCAATGCATTATAGGTATTTTCTGTTTCCCATGACCCGGTTAACCCGGCACATTGTTAAAAATAATACTATTTTAAAATGACAAATGGTGCAAGAAAGACCTCGGCATTGCAATGAACTGCCAAATTTTAGGAACTTCTTCGACACCTGGGCGATATCGATGCCGATATTGCTTCTTGGAACTGCTCCCTCGTTTGGGCGCATGAGCAAAAAGTTATCGAAGGGTTTAATTCAAAATAACGAAAGCTATTGTATACTGCCTGTGCCACATCACGGAATGCTGGCTTCGCTTATCCAGCGCCTGATTATATCGGCTGTGAGAACTTTCCAAGCTGTAGCTGACAAGTGAAAGCAGCTTGGCGCTTACGTGCTTGATGTGAGATGATGAAACAAAAGGTCTTAACACATCCACAGATTGAGAATGTTAAGTAGCGAAAACTTGCCTCTAGTCTCGAAAGTTGAGAATGTCTCAACATTACAATTTACTACGAGCGTATAAACAAAGACTTTGAAATAGCTCACAATTGAATTTTTATTTTTCGTGTTCAGTTGTTTAGCAATGCTTTGTTAGGAACATCATGATTTTTGTATTTTTATTCAAGGAATATACCTACACTGCACAATCGTGCAAGTAATTTTCGCACGAATTACATCAGCCGAAGAACATAACGAATCTCTTCTTTCCATTTTCCTCTGAAAACACTTCAGAATTGTGTCGTGTCCCGTGCAGAGATATCTGAACAAAGGAAATTTCTATCAGTGAGCCGCCAGACGTAATCAGGTGTTCTGATATCCATCGAATGAACCGTTCTGCAAGCGGCCTTGGACCGTCTGAAATACTCAGCGTGCATGGGCAGCCCGATAGTTAGGTATCCCGAGATTGGCGAGCAGGCTGCAAGAGCATCGGCTAATAATAGTTCCAGTGCGGTGAAAGCGGAGAAATAAAAAAGCCAGTGCCGTCAAACGTCATTGCTATCGGTCCTTGGCCTATTGCTTACCAGACCCATCGCTCATCTGCTAATGCGAATAAGATCATGTTAAGTCTCAAGAATGATAACTATGATCAGCTATCAATTAGTATAAGATAGCGTTTGACTTTAGGTATGAGCAATTTCTCAGAATCACATGCCGAGTAGATTAGCCAAGCCACCTAAGTTGCTATAGGCGTACTTTTTCACTCAGATCCTGCAGGCTTGTCGAAAAGGCGACACCAGTCTGGCTTATATGTAATTCATACCTATACTGTATGGTCTATGGGATTTGGGAAACTGGTTAGTGGGGAATATTTCTATGCTGCTTCTTGTTTCCACGAATTACATATTAGCAGGGTCGCCCTTAAGCTGTTTGGAATGATAACGTCACGGATATGTGCCGCGTAGCATACGTAGTTACTAGTTACGCAGTTATTCTAAGCTTTGAAACCTATTGTCCAAAGACTAGGTGGTTGATCATGATCTATGCAAACATCTCTTATTTTGCGCCTGAGATCGCTTACCGATAGAATCACGTCGCCCCTGCGTTTGCTCGTTCACTGCCCAAAAGCCGTCTTACCGGTTAGCCTTCACAGTACACACTTATTGTGCGCTTACCTACTTATTTGACACAGTTTGAGGTCGTCGTGCTTCCATGTGACGATCGTATATGGGAGGAAATTCCCACGTTTATCCTTGTGTACACAAAAAAATATAAATTAAAGACTATTGTTAAACGTTCGTCGGTTTTCACGCAAGCATCAGTGTCCTGTTCTCAGCGCCTGCAACTTACGTTACCTGGGATATGAGAAATCAGGAAACTATCCACCGTGTAGCCATTCCCGATAAACGATGCAGAAATTACAAATAGCCACCCAAAAGACGGAAATCCAGTTGACGTCATGCCATTCGTTACGGGTATATTCACCCGTTGGAGTCTCTAGCTCTCGTGTATTTCGCCGTTTAGGTATCCATATCTTTGCTCTAAACACCAGAACATTGATCATCTTATTAATTACTTGCTCCCACCTACCATGTTAACCCGCGCCCTGCTGGGGGGGGGGGGTGTTTGAACACCCCCCCCCCCCTTGTGGTTTTTCGCGAATATCTCAAAAACGGCGGCGCAGAGCGCCGCCGTTTTTGGTACACCTTATCATACATCAATTCTACACATGTTGTGAAAATTTCAGACCAAGGTCATTCAAGGTCAGGTCACCAGGTCACTTGAAGTGACTTCACCTCATAAAAAGTTTCAATGTCTGTCATAGCTACACCGAGTGACCGATCGCTTTGAAACTTTCAGCGATTGCTAAGAGCAATACCATGTACAAAATGTGTATCTCAGAATTTTGATATCGATGACCTAAGGTCAGGTCAATTTTGCGACCTCCCCATTATAAGTCAATGGGAGAAAATTGAAATGCGCCTCCTTTGGACAAAAGACATTATAAACACTCCCAAACACTGAATTACAAGTGGTTTAGACACACTGAACATGAAAATGGTGTCCGTGACCCCTGTTTATGCCCTGAGGTCATCTTAGGTCACGAATGGTATCTAACAGTTTTTCGCAAATACCTTTTGATAGAGGCATGCTAGAGCGATGAAAACGCCTTAGATGTGTTCAGCTAGACGATACGGATCGACTGATATGCAACATGACCCTTTCCGGTCAGGTCATGACCTTGACCTGAGGTCAAATTTTCATGTTGACCTTTCTAGGTCAAGTTATAGTTCATTCGATGCGTCTTGACGAGAGGAACACGATTCCGGTAAAAGTAGGCTCGTACATGGCTTGGGTCAAAAGTTATTGCAGAAAAACTGTTTCCGAAAAAAAATCGGCTATTTTTGCAGTTTTTGCCCCCTGCAGGCAAAACCGTTGGCGTTAGGTCAAATCTGAGAGAATTACTCAGAAAGGGCGTTAATAGGGCTATCGAATGCGCTTTTCCGCGGCGCTGTAGCTCTATTGGTTCCCGAGTTATGCGTTGGCTTCTTGGAAATTGTCGACATTCGACCTGGAAATCGGCGAAATTTTGCCTCCAATGACCTCTGGTGACCTGACCTTTGACCTGACCAAAAAATTGACCGAAGTGATTTCCTCATTATTTTTTACGCTCTTTCGAACGCCGCCTTTCGCGTATCGCTACGTGGCCCAGGAGCCGAGTTAGAAGGGGGGGGGGGTGTTCAAACACCCCCCCCCCCAGCAGGGCGTGGAAATCCAGGACCCCCAGCCGGGCGCGGGTTAACCCGCGCCCTGGTGGGGTCTGTTTATAACGCGACCTGGTGGGGGGGGCTATTTTTTGCCCCCCCCCCCTCGTATCTCCGAAACTACTGGACGGATCCGCAAAATTCAAACGGCGTTCGAAAGGCCTGTCAAATTTGTCGAGGAAAACCAAATTTCATTGACCTCGGGGTCACCGATGACGTCACAGGTCAGGTCAAAGATGAAATGTTTCACCGTTCACGGGTCTTCTAGGGAATGCGCTATAACACCGAGGAAAACGCATTTTGTCGAGAATCAGCGATAGGGCGTCAGTTGCCTAGTAGATATATTACTATTAGAGGTCACTGACAATACCAGGTCAGGTCACAGGTCAGGTCACCAAGGGTCACAGGTCAGGTCACATGAGCCCAACTTTACTAAGGTTGTGTGATGCATGTTTTATGGCCAATTTTTCATTTCCAACTCAATGGTATTGGTTATAAGACTATCAGGTACGGCTTAGGTCACTTTCTGGTGAAGTTCAGGTCAAGGTCAGGTCAAGGTCAGGCCAAAAAAGGTCAAATTTTAAAATTGATAGTTTTGCATAAAATGGGTATTGATTCGATGCAGCTCGTCACGGGGAGTCTAATGGTGGTCTTTGTTTTGCGCTACGGGGTCTAGAATTGCTAAAAATTGAGTTTGAAAATTTGACGTCATCAATTTTGAACAGTTTTTTCGCTATAACTTCGCCAAAAAAAGAGGTATCGATCTCAAATTTGGTATGTGGATGGAAGGCGGTAAGGACTATCACATATATTCCGGTTTTTGCGAAATTCAAAAAACTTTTTGGATTTTTCGATTATTATATGCAAAAAAATTATTTTTTGATTTTTGGGGGTCAAAATCCAAAAAATTCAAAAATCCGAGATAGCAGTTTTGTAGCCCTGTTGATTCTACAGCTTTTATGTTTTTATCATTTTTCTGTATTTGCAAAGCTATAGGCCTGACAGCTCTTCCCGCGAAACCCTTTTTTGGGTCGAAAACGGCAGAACATGACGTCACTCTGACGTCATTTCCGGCCAACCTATCATAGCCTTTGGAAAAATTTTTGGTCACAATGTGTAAAATTGATGTCCGGGAAGGTACTGAAAGTTTGGTGACGATCGGCGCAGCGGTTCTGGAGATATATCAAAAAGTCTGGAGGGGGGGCAAAAAATAGCCCCCCCCCCACCAGGGCGCGGGTTAACATCCTGTTGAACTAGAAATATCCAGTTAACGTCTGTGTGCCGCTAGACTAGCGTGAACAATAACTCCATGAAGGCTTTTAGGTACGACTTCGAGTCCATTGTATTTCACCGTATGAATGACGTGTCCATAGAAATCGGATTTGTTTGCTTGTCAAAAGACGGCGGTGTTGTACCATAGCCTAATTGAAGTGCAGAATGACTTGCACTTGGAAGGCATTCCTCGAGCGCATTTTCCTAGAAACAATGTGTAGATAATATCAGCGTTCCTGGTTGAATCATTTGCAATGACCATCCGCTGTGATGTAGGATTGGTAGTTACAAGGCGCGACCAACCAGCTTTTGCATGCCTGCAGTGCCCAAATGCACTATGACTGTGCCTTTCTTCAGGACCGTCAGGGTAAACTGTCTGAATAATTCATTGTGTTAGCATTTAGCCATACCTATCTGAAAAAGTAGTAGGTATACAGATACACAACTCAACAAGATCCATTGTGCTTAAAAATGGCTCAGATGCCCCCAATAAGAATGAAAACAGGTCTTCGGCCAACTTTATTCAATCATTTCTGCTCGGTTACCGGTAAAGCTTATATTCCACCTATGATACGTCGCATTGTGGGCTTCAATGAAAATGTAAAAGGAAGAGAAATAATCTCGCAAAATGAATTAATTCATTCACCCTTGGAAACCGCAGTGTGGTGGCTCAATGTCTTTCAATTTATGTACATGCACACATATTTTGATATTACAACAGCACATCTTTTAATGAAGACAATGTAACATCTGTGATCTGACCAAAAACGACACTTTCTCCCATCTCCACGTCCCGACAGGCCTCCATTAGAACAGGCCAAGGTCTACTCGCGGAATGGCCAACGAGTCGCAACTGACAATCTGATTCTGCCCGCCCGGCGTCAGGACTGCGAGCGGCTGAACGTGGTGGAAGTCGTTCAGGAACTCTGGGCCCAGTGTGTCACACATGATACGAGCCCAGCTGGCGCGGCGAATCTGGCTCAATTGCGGTAGTGAGAAGCTGTGCGGCTGGCCGCCGTTGTCGTAAAAGAAGCGATCTCCGTAGCGGAGGTCGAAGAACTGCTGTCCGATCAGGCACTGGAACGTGGGGCCGACCTGGGCGCCAGGCGCCAGTCGCTCGCTGACGCCGCCGATGAAGAGGTCCACGTCCCACGGGTCGTCGTAGACGGAGCGGAGCCGGTCGATGACGGTGCTGTCCATGAGTGCGTGCAGGTCGCCCCAGAAGCGAACTGACGGCACCAGGCGGCACGCCTCGGCCACCTGGGCGTATGTGGGCGTTCCGTGGTCACGACCGCGCTGGATGTTGAGCGCCAGCAGGTCGAGGCCGTACAAGTGGTTGGTGGTGAAGAGCTGCTCGTGCAGACTGCGAGCAAAGAACGTGTCGAAGGTCTCCGATCGCATGGCGACCATGGTTCGAGCGTGGTCGGTGATGCCGTGGGCGATGACCGTCGGATCGAAGAACGTGCTGGAGATGTTGAACGAGCCGACGACGACGCCGTTGGCGTCGAGGATGTCGTACATGTCTCGCACCATCGTGTGGCCAAATCGGAATGCGGCAGTGGCAAAGGAGTTGGAGATGGTCGGATCGATGCGATGATCGTAGTGGTTCGAGTAACCCGCCTGCAGCGGCAGAAGGCCGTGATCTTCAGCGTACTTGAAGCCGATCAGCACCGGCAGCCACTCGTTGTAGAGGATGTGCTGCCACTCGGCGACGAGCACGCGACGCGCCTCCTGGTAGAGTCGCTCGTCGCCCCAGCGCGAGTGACGCGCTTGCAAAGCTCGCGCTATCCGGTTGTGCTCGCGCATCCAGATCGTGTGAGTGACGGCCAGCAAACTCTGCTCGTTTACTCGCGTGTCTCCCGCGTGGAAGCAAGTGTCTCGTCGACACGGTTTGTCGGGTCTCTGGTCCAGCGGCAGGAGTCTGTGGGCGCTCTCTCGCAGAAGACCGTGCTGGAAGGCGCGAAGGTTCCGTGTCTCCTTTTCCGAACTTCCGTACACATTTGATCCATCGATGAACGATGTGAGCTCATTCAGAGGGCGCGCCGGTCTCGCCACGCAGTCCGGTGCCGGCGCGGGGAGCGATCGCACCAGGTTCATGCACCGCTGTCGGTACCGACTGTAGAACGGGTCGTTGGCTGGAATCGGGATCGGAATGCACTGCGGGTGCAGCAGCGTCGGCGGGTACGTCTCGCCGTCGTTTTGACAGCACTCGATGCCGGTTCCGTTTGGCAGACGGAAGATGAGCGCGTGCGTGAGGTCGTGGTCTGCAAACTGTCCAATCTGCATCAACGAGAGCGTGTGCTGGCGCAGCTCATTAGAGAACACGTCAAGCACACGCTCACTGATGAAGCGTGCTGTGGGAAGGGTACCACCTCGCACCGCGCGAGTCCGGATCGCGAAAATGCCGTCGTCGAAGGTGTTCGGAAGGAGGCGTTTGAACCCGGTAAGCGCCTTGCCCAATCTGGGATTGAACAGGTTGTTGCACTCTCCAGTGACGGTGCGGTACAAGCTGTTGGAACAGGTGATGGGCGGATCGGGGGTGCACGTCGGGTCCATGGTAGTTTGAAAACCTTCTCCAGTGGGACGGAGCGACCCGGCCTGGAAGCTTTCCTGATTCGCAAAACCCTGTTCCGGGATATTGTTTCCCTGTGCGAAGCTTTGAGCAGCGGAGCCGTCCAACCCATCGCCAACTGTTGAGCCGACGAATGCGCCTGCAGCTCCGCCACCAGTCACGGCCAGGTTGGTGAAGGTTTCCAGGGACTGGAGCGCCTGCAGACCCAGCTGCTGTATCTCGTTGGTCGACTGCGAGTTGAAGTTGAACAGCTCGGTGGGCGAGTCGGCGGCGGCCGTCTGGCCCGTGGTGACCAGCTGGAAGCTGGCAGAGGTGGTGACCGCGAACGCCCGCTGGCCGGCCGCCTGCGCGCGCTGCAGTGCCGCCGGTGACGCCTGCAGCTGGAGAGCTGGCTCGACGAACGACTGTGCCGACACCATCGGTCGCAGTCCGTCCATGGTCGTCGAGGAGCGGCCGGCGGCACCCACTGACGCAAGACGCGGCCCGGAGAAGGAGCAGCTGATACCCGGAGAGCCGTCCTGCAGCGTACAGCCGTTCAAGTACAGCGACTGCGGACTGGCTACCACCGGAGGACACATGACCAGCGGCCGGCAGTCGTCGTGGGTAGAGGGTGCTCCGTACGTAGTGCTTGGCGGCGTCTGGTACACCCCGTGCGAGTTATCCGTGCTGCTAACGCTGGATGGAGCCGTAGACATATCGCTGCTCTGGCCGAACCCATCACTCTGCCCATAACTGCTGCTTTGTGCCTGCCCTTCGAAACCGTTACTGGAACCTTCATCTTCTTTTTCTTCTTGATGGATTTGAGCGCCATTACTGGGTCCCCCCTCTCCAGCTGTCAACTTTCCAGCCTCTCCGCTGGATCCACTGGAGTCCCCACTGCTCTGTGAGGGGATCCTGTCGCCTATCTCCAACGCTTCTCCGCTGAAGGCCTGTGCCGGTGAGCTGTTTGCCGGGCAGCAAACACCTACGGTGCGCGTTTCGTGTAGGTAGCATCCGATGGGCAGCCCTAAGTGGTAGGCCTGAGGGCAGCCGAAGGCCGTCCTACAGTCGCAGTGGGCGGTGACTGCAGCCTCGGAGGTGACGAGTACCGCCAGTGCTGCCATCTGGAGTACGAAGACAAGGCTCGTCAGTGGAGAGAGAGAGAGAGAGAGAGAGAGAGAGAGAGAGAGAGAGAGAGAGAGAGAGAGAGAGAGAGAGAGAGAGAGAAAGAGGGGAGAGAGAGAAAAAGAGAAAGAGAGAGAGAGAGAAAGAAAGAGAGGGGAGAGAGAGAGTGACAGAAAGAGAGAGGGGAGAGAGAGTGAGAGAAAGAGAGAGGGGAGAGAGAGTGAGAGAAAGAGAGAGGGGAGAGAGAGTGAGAGAAAGAGAGAGGGGAGAGAGAGAATGAGAGAAAAGAGAGAGGGGAGAGAGAATGAGAGAAGAGAGAGAGAGAGAGAAAAGAGAGAGGGAGAGAGAAGGAGAGAGAGAGGGAGAGAGAGAGAGAGAGAGAGAGAGAGAGAGAGAGAGAGAGAGAGAGAGAGAGAACGAGAGAGAGAGACAGAGAGAGAGAGAGAGAGAGAGAGAGAGAGAGAGAGAGAGAGAGAGAGAGAGAGAGAGAGAGAGAGAGAGAGAGAGAGAGAGAGAGAGAGAGAGAGAGAGAGAGAGAGAGAGAGAGAGAGAGAGAGAGAGAGAGAGAGAGAGAGAGAGAGAACGAGAGATAGGGATGGACAAATAGTAGAAAGGAAGTAGCGTTCGGCTAAATGAATTAATGCATGAATTGATGAATGAATAGATGTATGCATAAATGAACGAATGGGTGAATAAATAATCAATAGTTACATTTATTGATGAATGTTAAACGAAAGATGAAATCTACACACGAAAATATAACTTTTTTCTCGAATATTTGACATTTAGACGAACTTGCCTATTTATCAGAAAAGCTGGGAAGCTTGTATGAGATCAAGATCAGAACCTACCTACCAGATTATTTTTGGCACGGCCATTACTAATATCCGGGTGAGACAGGTGGCTTAACCAGTCCTAATGCTTTCATGATACTGCTGTTTCGCTCCTAAAGCCACACCCACGAGCACTTTGGTGCTACGTTGCAACTTCTGATCAACTGACGTCAGTGCCGTCCGGCGGACTACTCCGTCTCTTCTCAGCCGAATGCTTGTTGTAAGCTGAAGTTTATCCGTGCTCGTATAGGTAGATAAATCACAAGCGTTATCCGTTTGCTACGTGTTGCATATTTTTTTTAAGGGTCGTTGGATTTACTTTCATTGGGATGCGAAGATCTTGGATCAAAATTTGTTTCGACTCAGCTAGTTTGTTATCTACGATAACAATACTTCATAACAAAGCAATTATTAAACCATATACTGGTCAGTGGATCAGGATAACGCTCTCGGATGGCATGTGCCTTAGAAACGTGCCCAAAACATCTGCAAGTCTAAAAAATGTCCTTATTTTTTTTAGCGGGGCTGGCCAAAAGACAGCATTACGTCTAATTTTAACCGCAGCCAGCGGGTTTCCTCTGAATTAAATGGGCCTCTGATCTGTGATGAAGCATTCTTAGAATTAGAGGTGGCAAAAGATAAAAATTTTGGGAACCAGACTCGAACCAGACCCGGCTGGACATTTCTGGAACCAGTCGGACCCGGTCTTAGTTGGAATCGGAACCAGTTGGACCCGTTCCCCAAAAGTCAATTAATACAAAATACTTCTAGGTATCATTAGTTGCATCAAGTAAAGCAGCCTATTTCCCACTGGGAATACTCATGAGCTACTGTGCGCAAAGAAACATTCACTTCATTCACTTCATATTTTGCAATAATGTGTAGTGTGCAAGATGTGTAGTTTATGGTAGGACCCGGTTGGACCCGTCAGAAAATTTTCAGGAACCGGTCTGGACCCATATGGGTCCAGACTGGTTCTTTGGACCGGGTCCTCAGGTCCACATTTTGCCACCTCTACTTTGAATGCTATTATCCTGCATTTGACATTTCCTTCAGTCCAAAACTAAGAACGCACACACACACATCATCCGAAACGATCAAACTTACCAAGAGTATCTGCATCCTGCGCTCTGTTTGGCTGACCGGCTACTCCTCTCAAGTCACGACTCACGAGGTTGTTGGTCAAAACACCCGTCTCAGTCTGGACTCCTGCCGCCGCTCTGTCCCGGGCCGGCCGGCCGGCGGACCTCGCCCGAGGCTACGACCCGGTCAAGGTCACAGCTCGGTCAGCTGTTGCCGCCGCCCCGTCTCGACCCTCGGGTCAGGCCCCGCTCCCCGCTCCACACTGGTCGGAAACGCTCCAGTGAGAGGCCAGCGGCCTTTCCGCAAAAGTTTTTTGCTTGTTATTCCACAACTAGGGAAGCAAACTTCATAAAACTTTGCATACCTTCTCTGTCATATGTAAGCTATCATTTGGTTGTCAAGCACTAAATATATGACGTGATTCTGTTAAGTTATGACGTCATAATTGAGTATAATACAGGATCTAGCACCACTTTAAGTCAACAAGGGAAATTGGGAGCTGCTATTCGGGCACCGGGAATGGTTTCACGCACTCCTTGCAAGGTCCAGTGTTTGACTTTAGCATTGTTGACTTTGCGTGACGTCATTTATGACGTCACTAAGGCCATGTAAGTTTTTCGTCAATAACTCCTGATCAGATGGAGCTAGAGAGTCGGGAAAGCCACCATTGGACTCAGGAAGACCTGCCGAATCGAATGATATGCGATATGACTTCCTTCAACCATTTTCGTGACCTGAGGGGCTCCGACCTGACCTTGACCCGAGGTTAACACCTTAACCCTCGCCGGCACAGGGGGTGGTTGTTGCAACCCCCCTAAGGTTTTTCGCGAATAACTCGCGTAAAAAGGGGCCGATCGCGACGAAACTTTCAGTACCCTCGCATTGATCAATTTTAAACCTACGCTTAAAATTTCATGACCCTGACCCCAATGACCTTTGACCTGTGACCTCTTTTCCGTGACCATGTTTGGCCGAAATCGCGATTCGGCGTATGTCGGCTCGCATTAGCCGCGCGTTTGCAAGCTTTTCGTGGTTTCAAACGTTCAAACATGTGATTTGATGTTACTCCCATACATTAGGGTGGGTGTCAAGGTCACCTGAAGGTCAGGTCAGGTCATTGACTTTTGGTGACCTCGGGCGACCTCGGTTCACTTTTTCGAGTTTTACATGTTTCTAGGCTAGTTTTTGGAGCTGAATTCGAATTTAGCAACCATTTGAACATTTACGAAGTAGTTTTGGCGCCTTCGTAACATGTTACGAAGCTGTCAGAGGCGGTTGACACGTATTACGAATACCCGTCACAACCCCTACCGGTTGACCTGACCTGACCTGACCCGACCTGGTCTAAATGCTTAAAGACATCATCTCTGATCAAAACTAATACGATATTCGTGATCAGCACCCCGGAAAACCACATAGCAGCCACAATTTATGACTTTCTAACAGGTCCCGATTTTCCCGGTTTTCGGGTCATTGACCTGACCTGGAAGGTCACCCGATGACCTAGGACCTTAAAATTGGGTATCATCGGCTTCCTCTCGTGACGGGCAACACGCTCGTTTTTTCTGCGAGGCTCTAGCTCGATCAGGGGCCAAACGCGAGAGGGGGGGGGGGGTCGTACCAACTTGTGCCGTCGAAGGACGCAAAATGGCCTGTGCCGGCGAGGGTTAAGTTGACTTCACCCGAACACCAAGTATAGCATTCAACGCGCCTGAGCTAGACAAACACGATTATTCCAAAATCGCGGCAGTGCGACCATTTTTGGCAAAGTAATTAACCTAAAACCGAGCCCGTGCCTTGTGGCACTTACCTGACCTAAGAGGTCACTGGCTGACCTAAGACCTTAAAATCGGGTAGTACACTCGGGGGCAGATTGATGTTCCACCACTCCCTACCCATTGGGCTCCCATGGCTCAGCACTGGCTGCTGCCAGTGGCAGCACTGGCAGCACTGGCACTGGCACGCAGTGCTGAGCAGTGCTGAGGGCAGGCAACACTGGCAGCAGCAAGTGCTGAGCCATGGGAGCCCGATGGGCTGGGAGTGGTGGAACATCAATCTGCCCCCGAGTGTACCTAATTTTTGCGTCTTATAACGGCACACAAGCTTGTTTTTTTCCGCGAGGCTCTAGCTCAATTAGAGGCGAAACGGCGAGGGAGTTGTACCAACCCTCCCCGGTCAATGTAGAAAACCAATCGGTCCGGCCAGGGTTAAATACCGGAATTGTTATCTAATGTAAAAAGACGGCCCAAGGTAACCCGACGTCAGTGACAGGTGTCCTATATTTGCAGCGACTTATATTCACGAAGGTTTCAATTTCCACTTTCTTCAGCAGAGTGATGGTTGTCAATAGCAGGGCTCTCTAATGCAAGCCGTAATCGCCACGCAATATGTGGAAGGCTTTTGATGTCAATACATACATAAATGCATACATAAAACGCGCTTTTCACAAAATTCATAAACTCAAGCGCATCTGTTTTTAATGACCAGTCAACTACGCATGGATGCATGGTCCGGCCTAAGTATAGGCCACACAGGTCAGCGTAAGCCGGGCGCGGCGGCCGAGCCGAAACTGGGGCGGGGCGGGCGGTAGTTGGGTAGGAAGAGCGGCTCCTGCAAATTTTGCGCAAATATGCGCAGTTAGCTTTTATGTTGCCCTGGTGTAAACTTAAATCCTACTTCATCTCACAAAAAATCAGAGTGGAACTAGATGGGACTACCTGTTGTTTCCTTACCTAAACTTTGCAGTTATATTCCAGAATCACTGTAGGAGAGCCTTCATAAAAAGCTATAGTACATCTTAGTTAGGGAAAAAGTATGCCAAAAATTTTGCACTGACCAGTCGGCAACTTCATAACGAACATTTTGATGCATAATATGTGGGATTTCAATTTGGTGTCTATCAGCAATAAGACTCTGAATATCCGGCTCAAGAAACCTCTTGCTCCGCGTCAGTTTCCGAGTTCTGGGATACCCCATCTTCGGGGGCTGATTACAGCTATTTTTGGTCAACCGGATTAGTTTTTTTTGGCCTAAGTATAATAATTTGATCAATTTCAAATCGATCTATATAAAAAAATAATCCGAAACTCCGGAATCGCCCGTGGCCTCTCGTGAGGGCGTTTCCGACCAGTGTGCGCTCGGGGGGTGGGGAGGTCGTCCGCGGACCGACCGCGACCGTTTGTTGAATAATGGTGTGAAATGAAGAATGTAAATGAAGAATTACTATAAAAATAATAAATGACACTCAACGCCCAAATTGATTCTTGTTGCACTGACTGCAAATTTGTCTACAGTTACGGTAACATGCACCAAAGTACAGCCCTCTGCAAACTGCGTGGTAGGTATTCTTTTTTCGACAAAACCGATAATAACGCGAATACTATGCTAACGGTCACTCGGACATCGTAACAGCAAGACGCACAAGACTCCGCACCTTAGATTGGGCTTACTTTGGTATACATTTTCCATCTAGTTTGGCAACAACACACAAAAGTTTATATCCGCCCCCAAAACGAACTTTTGCATTTTGTTGCTACACCAGGCGTATACTTTGTTCCGTGATAGACCCAATCGAAGGAGTGGAGCATGGCGCATCTATATGCAATGAGATCCGACCGACTGATAACTTAGCCTTTGAGTTATTATCGGATTTGGCGAAAAAAGAATACCTACCACGCAGTCTGCAGAGGGCTGTACACTTATCAATGCATTAAAACTGCACACTGTTTGCAATGCGCACCACCATATCAACACTCATATTACATAATATATGCAGATGATGCGTATTCAATGAATTAATCTGCGCCTGGGTGGGGTTCTCAGCCAGCTTCTCTGTGATGGGGCGGTGTATTTAGCCACACCAGTTTAAACATAAAAAGACGAGAGCTACAAAGACGCGAAAAAAGCAATATACAGCTACCTAATTATATAAGATCTTTTAGAATTACACAGTTCGCTTTTTGATCAGGGGATTGCTGAGCTCACTGATATTACCAAAGATACAAAATCGCGAACGTTTCCCCGAAACTGAAAAACTCGTGAACTAAAAGAGCTAGAAAACAATAAAAAACTGCATTCGATAGCTTTTACAAAGCTCTTTCGCTACTATCACCTCAGATTTGACCTTAGGTTATTGGTTTGACCCGAATGGCAGAACCCATAAAAGTAGACGGGCTTTGCCGAACCAACTTTTGCAAGAGTCTGCAATAGCATTTGGTGTCACTTACATGTATTGCATCACATTAATTTTGCCACCATCGTGTTTTCTCGTCAGTTTTTGAACGAAAGACGTGTATGGACATAAATGAAAACCAGAATGTCAATGTCGGTCTTTATCCCTTTTTAGGGCTAGGTCAACCGACAGCTCCGCGACAGGTGCCATCGACGTAATAGTATCACCTGTCTCGCTAGTTTTGGCCGTAACCAAATTCTACATTGCTGACGTCACGGTTTCTGAGTCGCTCCAGCTATCGGGCCGAGAAGCCACGCATCCCAGCGCAGCATTCTGCAATAGCTGTAATATGGGCCCTAAATGAAAATACACACAGATCGACATGGGTGTCGTTTTGTATAGGCATGGTAGGGCCCGAGCCCTACCAATAATTTTGGAAATTTAACATTATGCCTATGGCGTTGCGTGGAAAGAATCGCTTTGAATTGGCAAAAATTTACATTAGAGCCCTACCAATAATTTTTGGAAAGTGTCGCCCCTGCAGATCGAAAAACATTTATCTATCATATTAACCCGCGCCCTGCTGGGGGGGGGTGTTTGAACACCCCCCTTGTGGTTTTTCGCGAATATCTCAAAAACGGCGGCGCGGAGCGCCGCCGTTTTTTTTACACCTTATCATACATCAATTCTACACATGTTGTGAAAATTTCAGACCAAGGTCATTCAAGGTCAGGTCACCAGGTCACTTGAAGTGACCTCACCTCATAAAAAGTTTCAATGTCTGTCATAGCTACACCGAGTGACCGATCGCTTTGAAACTTTCAGCGATTGCTAAGAGCAATAGCATGTACAAAATGTTAATCTCAGAATTTTGATATCGATGACCTAAGGTCAGGTCAATTTTGCGACCTCCCCATTATAAGTCAATGGGAGAAAATTGAAATGCGCCTCCTTTGGACGAAAGACATTATAAACACTCTCAAACACTACATTACAAGTGGTTTAGACACACTGAACATGAAAATGGTGTCCGTGACCCCTGTTTATGCCCTGAGGTCATCTTAGGTCACGGATGGTATCTAACAGTTTTTCGCAAATAACTTTTGATAGAGGCATGCTAGAGCGATGAAAACGCCTTAGATGTGTTCAGCTCGACGATACGGATCGACTGATATGCAACATGACCCTTTCCGGTCAGGTCATGACCTTGACCTGAGGTCAAATTTTCAAGTTGACCTTTCAAGGTCAAGTTATAGTTCATTCGATGCGTCTTGACGAGAGGAACACGATGCCGGTAAAAGTAAGCTCGTACATTGCTTGGGTCAAAAGTTATTGCAGAAAAACTGTTTCCGAAAAAATCGGCTATTTTTGCAGTTTTTGCCCCCTGCAGGCAAAACCGTTGACGTTAGGTCAAATCTGAGAGCATTACTCAGAAAGGGCGTTAATAGGGCTATCGAATGCGCTTTTCCGCGGCGCTGTAGCTCTATTGGTTCCCGAGTTATGCGTTGGCTTCTTGGAAATTGTCGACATTCGACCTGGAAATCGGCGAAATTTTGCCTTCAATGACCTCTGGTGACCTGACCTTTGACCTGACCAAAAAATTGACCGAAGTGATTTCCTCATTATTTTTGACGCTCTTTCGAACGCCGCCTTCCGCGTATCGCTACGTGGCCCAGGAGCCGAGTTAGAAGGGGGGGTGTTCAAACACCCCCCCCCCCCAGCAGGGCGTGGAAATCCAGGACCCCCAGCAGGGCGCGGGTTAAGACGGTTCAATTGATTCCATCCAAATGAAAACCGGGTCCCATCCAATCTTATTCAACTGCCTGGTAACTGTCTGTATTTCAACATTTTTGGGAGTATCGCCTACAATGAAAATATTAAAACCGATATGATCTCTATCAGATGAACCATTTCCAGCGCTCTTTAAAACTGCAGTATTACCGTTCACAGCATTCAGATTTATTTTATATATTTCGTCATCCTTCCAACAGGCCGATGCGCCCACTTACAGGAGCTCCTGCTCCTCCATACCCCTCCCCCCTAGGCTACGACTAACGTGGGAGCCCACCCCACTCCTGGTGACACAGCTGGGGACGACGCCCACGGGGCGGGCGACGCCGGGAATCGAACCCAGAGCCAACCGCACCGCGGGTCAACGCCCTAACCAACTGTGCCACCAGTGCCGCTAATTACATAAACGCCTACATATTTTGTTATTGGCACATACTTTAATGCAGGCAGTGTAACATCTGAAAAACGACACATTCTCCCATGTCCACGTCACGACAGGCCTCCATTAGAACACGCCAAGATCTACTCGCGGAATGGCCAACGAGTCGCAACTGACAATCTGATTCTGCCCGCCCGGCGTCAGGATCGCGAGCGGCTGAACGTGGTGGAAGTCGTTCAGGAACTCGGGACCCAGTGTGTCACACATAATACGAGCCCAGCTGGCGCGGCGAATCTGGCTCAATTGCGGCAGTGAGAAGCTGTGCGGCTGGGCGCCGTTGTCGTAGAAGAAGCGATCTCCGTAGCGGAGGTCGAAGAACTGCTGTCCGATCAGGCACTGGAACGTGGGGCCGACCTGGGCGCCGGGCGCCAGTCGCTCGCTGACGCCGCCGATGAAGAGGTCCACGTCCCACGGGTCGTCGTAGACGGAGCGCAGCCGGTCGATGACGGTGCTGTCCATGAGCGCGTGCAGGTCGCCCCAGAAGCGAATGGACGGCACCAGGCGGCACGCCTCGGCCACCTGGGCGTATGTGGGCGCTCCGTGGTCGCGACCGCGCTGGATGTTGAGCGCCAGCAGGTCGAGGCCGTACAGGTGGTTGGTGGTGAAGAGCTGCTCGTGCAGACTGCGAGCAAAGAACGTGTCGAAGGCCTCCGATCGCATGGCGACCATGGTTCTGGCGTGGTCAGTGATGCCGTGTGCAATGACCGTCGGATCGAAGAACGTGCTGGAGAGGTTGAACGAGCCGACGACGATGCCGTTGGCGTCGAGGATGTCGTACATGTCTCGCACCATCGTATGGCCGAATCGGAACGCGGCAGTGGCGAAGGAGTTAGAGATGGTCGGGTCGATGCGATGATCGTAGTGGTTCGAATAACCTGCCTGCAAAGGCAGCAAGCCGTGGTCGTCAGCGTACTTGAAGCCGATCAGCACCGGCAGCCACTCGTTGTAGAGGATGTGCTGCCACTCGGCGACGAGCACGCGACGCGCCTCCTGGTAGAGTCGCTCATCGCCCCAGCGCGGGTGACGCGCCTGCAGTGCTCGCGCTATCCGGTTGTGCTCGCGCATCCAGACCGTATGTGTGACAGCCAGCAGACTCTGCTCGTTGACTCGCGTGTCTCCCGCGTGGAAGCACGTGTTTCGTCGACACGGCTTATCAGGTCTCTGGTCCAGCGGCAGGAGTCTGTGGGCGCTCTCTCTCAGAAGACCGTGCTGGAAGGCGCGAAGGTTGCGTGTCTCCTCCTCCGAGCTTCCGTACACATTTGATCCATCGATGAACGATGTGAGCTCATTCAGAGGGCGCGCCGGTCTCGCCACGCAGTCGGGTGCCGGCGCGGGGAGCGATCGCACCAGGTTCATGCACCGCTGTCGGTACCGACTGTAGAACGGGTCGTTGGCTGGGATCGGGATCGGAATGCACTGCGGGTGCAGCAGCGTCGACGGGTACGTCTCGCCGTCGTTTTGACAGCACTCGATGCCAGCTCCGTTCGGTAGACGGAAGATGAGCGCGTGTGTGAGGTCGTGGTCTGCGAACTGTCCGATCTGCATCAACGAGAGCGTGTGCTGGCGCAGCTCGTTAGAGAACACGTCAAGCACACGCTCGCTGATGAATCGCGCCGTGGGAAGGGTACCGCCTCGCACCGCGCGAGTCCGGATCGCGAAAATGCCGTCGTCGAAGGTGTTCGGAAGGAGGCGTTTGAACCCGGTAAGCGCCTTGCCCAATCTGGGATTGAACAGGTTGTTGCACTCTCCAGTGACGGTGCGGTACAAGCTGTTGGAACAGGTGATGGGCGGATCAGGGGTGCACGTCGGGTCCATGGTAGTTTGAAAACCTTCTCCAGTGGGACGGAGCGACCCGGCCTGGAAGCTTTCCTGATTCGCAAAACCCTGTTCCGGGATATTGTTTCCCTGTGCGAAGCTTTGAGCAGCGGAGCCGTCCAACCCATCGCCAACTGTTGAGCCGACGAATGCGCCTGCAGCTCCGCCACCAGTCACGGCCAGGTTGGTGAAGGTTTCCAGGGACTGGAGCGCCTGCAGACCCAGCTGCTGTATCTCGTTGGTCGACTGCGAGTTGAAGTTGAACAGCTCGGTGGGCGAGTCGGCGGCGGCCGTCTGGCCCGTGGTGACCAGCTGGAAGCTGGCAGAGGTGGTGACCGCGAACGCCCGCTGGCCGGCCGCCTGCGCGCGCTGCAGTGCCTGCCGGCGACGCCTGCAGCTGGAGAGCTGGCTCGACGAACGACTGCGCCGACACCATCGGTCGCAGTCCGTCCATGGTCGTGGAGGAGCGGCTGGCGGCACCCACTGACGCAAGACGCGGCCCAGAGAAGGAGCAGATGATACCCGGAGAGCCGTCCTGCAGCGTACAGCCGTTCAAGTACAGCGACTGCGGACTGGCTACCACTGGTGGACACATGACCAGCGGCCGGCAGTCATCGTGGGCAGCGGGTGCTCCGTACGTAGTGCTTGGCGGCGTTTGGTACACTCCGTACGAGCTGTCTGTGCTGCTGACACTGGAGGGAGCCGTAAACCTGCCGCTGCTCTGGCCAAACCCGCTACTCTGTCCTAAACTGCTGCTCTGTGCCGGCCTTCCCAAAACATTGCTGGAACCGCTCTGTCCAACTCTCAACCTTCCACTCTGACCGCTGAAGCCCTGTCCGCCGGTTCCACTTGTCCTGGAGAAGCCGCTACTGTGCGTGGGGTTTCTGAACGCCGTAGTGCCGCTGTGCTGTGTTGTTGCTCGGCTGGGACTGGTGAAGCTCGCCGCTGGACTCTGGCTAAACCGGCTGTTCCCTGTCCCGAACGTCCCCCTGTTGAAGACCTGTGCCGGCGAGCTGTTTGCCGGGCAGCAAACACCCACGTTGCGCGTGCCTTGTAGATAACACCCGGTGGCGGTCCCGAGGTAGTAGGCCTGAGGGCAGCTGGAAGCCGTTCGGCAGTCGCACTGTGCGGCGACTCCAGCAACGGAGGTACTGAACACCGCCAGCACTGCCACCTGGAACAGGGAGAGACAGACTGGTCAGAGACGAGAGAGGGAGGGAGGGAGGGAGAGGGAGGGAGAGAGAGAGAGAAAAAGAGAGAGAGAGAGAGAGAGAGAGAGAGAGAGAGAGAGAGAGAGAGAGGATGAGAGAAGGGAAGTGAGAAATGTAAGTAAGGTAAGGAATAAAGGATTGAAAGAAAATAACATTCCAATTGATGAATGAATGAATGAATGAATGAATGGTAAACGAAGCATCATGAAAAAGAGGAATGAAAGGCAGGTGGTTCAAATATGTGACATTTAGACGAACCACCTACTTGACTATTTACGAGAAAAGCTGCGGAAACTGGTATGAGATCAGTAGGGGAGAGAAGTCATATTGCGCCACCTTAAGGATATCGGCCTATTGCGGCTTAAGTTGACCAGCTGTCATGCTTGATGATATCTCGAATTGTACCTCAGTTATTTTGGCATCAAATTACAACTCCTAATTTGTATCACACCCATAAAAATTAACAAGAGAAAAGTTTTCCGACACACCTGCAAAGGGCGCATTTACGGACTACCCCATCAAAAAGCGCCCATGTCTCTCATGTAAAAGCGCCCTATTAAAAACAACGGTTTGCTACCTAACTAAGTAGCCTATTTGAACGTGTCAGCCCATTAACCATTTATGCTGTGAAGACTAAGGTAATGGTAAGGTGAGCGCTCTAATAATCAAAGTGTTCAATGAAATGTGTCCCAACCACCAGATGCTGTTTCTCTGGGTTGAAGAATAGGGCGCAAATAGGGTGGGCGCAATTACGAATGGAACACATTTTTCATGAACTTCAAATATGGCGAGGACAGCGAAGCCACGGTGGTGATAAACTTTCAAAACTACCATTAAACGAGCAATTAACAATGATTATTAGTTAAATCACTATCTCTAAGATAAACCATGACACTAGCAAAGGTCGAAATAGACTGTTACGCGTAAGAAAATAGAGGAAATCACAAAAAAATGGTCTGCGAGAAAGCTGAGACACCTCACCTGCCCCCGTGGACCGGAATAAGAGCGAGTTATTGGCGGTGAAGGAAATGCACACATTCGAGCATTCATTCGAATCGAATTTTGGACAGGGGGAAGGTGTGGCGCATTTAAGAACATGGCGCAATATGACCTCTCTCCCCTACCTACCAGGATATTTTTGGAACGGTCATTGCCACCCATATCCGGACGCGACCGGTTGCACCCAGGAGCTGCACCAGTGGTGATTTCATGGTATCGCTGCGGTGGTCTAATGCCACACACACGAGCGAGCACTTTTGTGATGTGTCCTAAAATGTCACTTCTACTTAACTGACGTTATGACGTGAATGTCTTCGTAGATTAGTTCGACTTAACCTTCGCCCCAGTGGGGGGGGGGGGGGGCATATGCTACCACCCTGTCGCGTTTTTTGCGTGTGAATAAAAAAAAAACGCGGCGCGTATCGCCGCGCCGCTTGGGGTAGCTTTTGGTACCTACATCAATTTTGGACAATGTGTGAAATTTTTGACCACAGGTCATGTCAGGTCAGGTCACCAGGTCAAGTTAACTGACCAAGCCTAAAAAAGTTTGCAATCATGTCCAGCCTGCAGTGTTTGTCAGAAAGGTTTAAATTTGGTAGATTGCATGATGTTATGGGCGCCTACAATTTTCATATCTCGGATTTTTTATATCCGTGACCTAAGGTCAGGTCAGTGGCGTGACCTTCCCATTACAAGTCAATGGAGAAAAATGAAAATGCCTCTAGATCCGTGTGTACTAATAGGAACAGTCCAAATATTTCAGAATCACAATGATTTGGATCACCCGTGATGACCAAGGTGTCATTTTTGCTGATAGCCTCTAGAAAGGTCATCCGAGGTCATTTGAGGCTACAAACAGATTTTTGCAAATAACTCACGATTGGAAAGAGATAGAACGCTGGTGATGGTCTCATTGTGTTTGTCTTATTGAGACGCATCGACTGATATGCAACATGACCTTTTCCGGTCAGGTCATGACCTTGACCTGAGGTCAAATTTTCAAGTTGACCTTTCAAGGTCAAATTATAGTTCATTCGACGCGTCTCGGCAAGAGGAACACGATTCTGGCAATAGCAATGTCTTGGCTTTTTTTAGTCAAAAGTTATTGTCGAAAAACACTTTTCGTAAAAACAGCTATTTTTGGAGTTTTTGCCCTCTGGAGGCTAAACTGTTGACCTGAGGTCAATTTTGATTATGACCTTATCGCAAGAAGAATTCAAAAGCTATCGATTGCTTTTCCATGCGTTTTTCTAGCTATCATAATTCCAGAGATAAATGCATGTTTTCTGAAAAATATTATGACATTTGGCAAATTTTGACCTTTGATGACCTCTAGTGACCCCAATATTTCTCTAAGATGAAAAATGACAGAAATACTTTCAAACGTACGCATTGAGAGCTATCGACTGCTTTTTACCGCGTTTTTCTAGCCCTCTTCATTTTTGAGTTAGAGGTGGGTGGTAACATATGCCCCACCCCCCACTAGGGCGAAGTTGGCTGAGACCGCCACTAGGGCGCGGGTTAACATTGGCGAATGCCCCTCGTAAGCTGACGTTTATCCATGCTCGTATATGCATATCACAAGCGTTATTACGGAGCGAGCGAAGCGAGCGTAGTCTTTCCTTAGATTAACGGAAATTTCTGAGTATGAGCGGCCGGCCGGCCGGCCGGCCGTGCGGACGCTTTTGCGAGGCTTATATCTCAGCAACCACTTGACCGATTTACACGCGGTAATTTTTGTAGGGTAGCTTCATTCCTTCTACCAAGTATTGGACTATTCCCGATGCATGTGGGTGACCCCTTATGCACGTGCCACGTGCAAAACGAAGAGGTGTCACTTTTGTAATTGTTGCAATATCTCGGTAACTACTTGGCCGATTGCGCTGAAAGTTGGCATGTAGGTAGGCACCCACTAGGCACTGCATATCCATGTGCCAGAGTTGGGGTGCTGCTGCACGTGCGCACGTGCAGGGGTCGTTTCCAGATCTCGAGAACGGCTGGACCGATGGCGCTCAAATTTGGTACACGGTTAGGGACCAGTTAGTAGGGTGCCGTGCACAAGTCAGTTGGGATCCATTTTGCACGTGCGCACGTGCAGGGTGCCGCTCCCAGATCTTGAGAACGGCTGGGCCGATTGTGCTCAAATTTGGCACATCGCTAGAAACCGGTCAGTAGGGTGCCGTGCACAAGTCAGTTGGAGGTACCCCCTCGAAATTTCGCACGTGCAAGACTCACCCCCTCGCTCGCTCCGTTAATCGCCCCAAAAGGCGTTATACTGGTGCTTATTGCATAATATTTTAGATTCGTGGGATTTAGTTTCACTAAGATGCGAAGACCCTAGCAGGGGATTGATTTTCATTCACCTAATCTGTAATTACAACATAATCATGAGAGATAGTGAACAAACTGCTCGGATAAAGTATGCTTTCGAAACACTTCCGAAAGACCTACAAGTAACTAAAGAATCATTGGTCAGGCTCTCTTCCAAGGAAAGGAAAGCTGGCACGCCACCATGACGCAAACGGATAACTTGTTTCGACCAAAACACTAAATGAACTTTGGAGAGGCGAGTTTACGGTCTACGGAACTAATGCCTTAGGTATATCTATTCACTGACGGATCCAGCTCAGAGTTTTGGGAGGGGCAAACCATAACAATATAGTGGTTCTTTCCATGCCCTGTCTATAGGCGTGGTATTAGAATTTTGCCGTTTGGCAGGGGCAATCCTATTTGCCCTCTCCTGGATCTGCCACTGTATCTATTATCTGCTAAAGAGTTGATGTTGTTAAGTTTAAAGCATGACTTTACGAGCATCCGTGCGATTGCGATTTGTTCATTGTCCATCGCCCATGGCTAAGAAGACTTGAAGAAAATTATCGTGTTTCCGTATGCTGAAGAGCTGAGGATTTAGTGATTTCGAGGCCTGTTTATCAACACTGAAGTATTATTTCTATCGAAACATTATTAGCTACGTCGGACAAAGTTTAGTTGAAGCAATGAAACAAACTTAGAATCCTTCCTTATCGTATTTTTACCTACTAACGACAATTTTGCCAACAGAAATATTGTCGGCTGCAGTTGCATTTATGCATCAAAATCAGCAAATAATTTTACCAGCCGCGGAAAATGTAGCCGCTGACGTGTTGTCAATTGGCTCATATTTTGATTGAATAGATTTGATTTGATTGGCTCCTGTCAGTTTTCACATCAGCGGCTATTTTTTCGCGTGGCTGGTAAAGCTTTTATGCGGCTTAAAACCTAAAAATAACTACAGCCAGCGCCTAATTCTGTTAATAAAATTGGCCTCTCATCTATGCATGATTAACCATTGTTTATGACTGCCATGAGTTCGTATTTGCATTTGTCCGAAACATAAATAGCGTACATATACCTAATGAAAAACGATCAAGCTTACCAAAAGAATCTGCATCCTGCGTTCTGTTTGGCTGACTCCCGGGCTACGAGGTTGGTAGTCAAAATGGGCTGTGTTCCGCTTTACTTTTTCACCGTTTCACTGGCTTACGCACTTAAAAACAAACTATCCTCTTGGGATATCACTAAACCGCCTCACTGGCGGTACGTTTTAGCACTCCATTTTCACCAAAAACCTCCCTTTTCGGCACCACTGGCTGGGACGTTCGCGCGTCCTCACTGGTCCCGCCTCACCAGGTGAGATACTACTCCGTATCTCGCTCGCAAGTGCCGCCGCGCCGCCGAGCTCTCGAGTGAGCCGGGTGTTCCGTGTGCTGCCGGTGAACCCAGTCGGGCGCAGCGCGCTCTGCCTGGTATATATAGGCGACCGCTCCCGGCGCGGTGCCCCCCGCCGATCCCCGGCCGTTCTGGTTAGCTCTGCGCGCTGCCGGTAGTTGGTCAGCTCCGCGCGGTGTCGTGTGGTCGCAGGGGGCAGAGGCCGAGCCCGGTTCACACGGGGCGGCGAGGGAGCACTGCGGCGCGTGGGCAGAGCTGTAGACCTCGTGGATGGACAGGTGGATGGGTTTTCTCGGTCATCGAGGACAATGGACAAATGACTTCATCAGTAGCTGACGGTTGTTTCCCGCGAGATGACGAAGGCGGTCGCGCTGAATCATGCATAAAGATGTATAATAGATAAAGATGCAACAACTTATTATAAAATCATTCTTCAAAAAGTCATCGCAGAAACAATTGGTTGTATTTACCTCTACGTATTCGTAAGTCTTCTTCTCACAGATGACGTCTTATGAAAATCTATTCATCCCATTAAACAGAGTGATCGTATGTACCACGTTCTCCAGAGTTTAGCTGATGTACACGCGCTCCAGCTTGGACAGAGCTTCAGTATAATTGCCGGCCGTTCTAATAACTCGTCAACTGTGCTTATGTGCTTGTGCATGGATCTAGGATGGGAAGATATGGCGGGTCCGTGTTGGAGATACTATCTCTGCACAGTGCACACGCTTTGCACATAAAAAGGAAATTAAATGATATTTTTTCTAGTATTTTGCACAAGTCTCAGCATAAACCACTCATTACCGTGTAGCACGCCTAACTATGTAATGACAAACGCTTTCCAAGAGGTCTACTATAGCTACTTCTGTGACCGAAGGATATTAATGCTGGGTGAGGACATCACATCGAGCTGGTGGGAGTTCCACTTCAAGTGCTATCAAGTGACGTAGTTGCCTGGTTTTATTTGCGCTTATAATGCATTTCACTGTTTTCGCTCCGATCACTCCGAACCTACTAATTGGCTATACAAAAAAAAAAACATTTTACATATGTTCTTAGTAGTTATATGTGGGAACTGGAAATTACTCGGATCTCTACCTAATTAATTTGAGTACTCCCATTGGCCATTTTATCAAAAGACATAAAACATATTGAATGTAAACATTGTCGGGGAAAATTCCTTATGTCGCAACCGATGCAATTCAGACAAAGAGCTCGAGTTCAGGGCGTGTCAACGGCCCATGCGTCAGGGGCCAGTGAATGTGGTCTCCAGTGACTCCAGTGATCGGTTTTTGTCGGTTATCTCCCCGATAGAGTGAAGGTTGGTCAGGAATCGGCTACTGCAGGCCGGGAAATCCCATTTGCAGCCGCGACTTTGGCGCATTTCTTCTTAATTATTTGAGTGACACGTTTGCGCTGTGATAGGTTTTGCAACAAAACGGCCGGCCCAAAGTTTTTGACTGTTTTATTTATGGCGTTTAGCAGCATTTGCAGCCATGCCAGTGTGGGTTAATGTATATCCGAGTCAACGGAAAGATTCATATGACCATAAATATGTGACGGGCTGAAATGCGCAGAAACCATTTTGCATTTACATAATAGCCGTTTTCTGCAATCGGACTCCAGCCAGTGCGGCCAATCCTTTCTACACCATTTATAAGATTGGGCCGTCGAAATAAATTGCACTGTCGAAATAAAACATGTTATGCTACTGTTAGGTGGTGCTCGCCGTCAGAAGCGGCGGAACACCTTCAATTAAGAGGGCACTGCCGACTTTTTGTCCCATTCTTTCCATGCAATGCACCCATAGGGCTAATGTTAAAATGCTAAAATCAAAGGGGGCACGTTGCTCCCCGTTCCGCCGCCTACGCTCGCCGTTGTTAATTAATGAGAATGTCATAACTACGTAGATTAACAGGTTTAGCTAATAATTGCATGGACCGACACGGGGAACTTTTAAGTTGACGGGTATTTGGTTAGTTCACGACCGAAATCTTTGACTCCCTTGCTATTCCATCCCAGCTTACGAGTCTCGTGTTCATCTCTACGATAGGATTCCCATAGTGCTCGCTTTCACGGCTTGATAACGTCATTGGCTAACTACGCAACGCGCATTAGGGCCGGCACCGGTCAGGGGTTATACTGTGATCCCACACATGCGAGGCTAGTGAAACGGGTCTCGACACACTGCAGGCGTTTGCTGTCCTGTCACGCATGGTGGATGATTTTCTAATCCGAATATCTGGGTCACCTTCACTTTCCGCTAAGCGTCTTTTCCGTGTTACCTACCGACCCGTTAGCTGATGTAGTCCATTCACCCAGGACATAACACAAAACAAATGCGCACATACCTACATTCACAAAATCCTGAACGCATCCAAATATTGCTACTCCTATGCCTGCCTTGTGTTTCTTGAATTAAAAGAATATGTGTCAACCTGGTCAATGCTGCTGAGATCACGCTCCACACTAAGCCGCTTCAGGCCGCCCCCGCATGTCACGCGATACGTGAGAGGACACGGCGGTAGCCTGACCGCACGCTTTACCCCACCACAGATCAGGCTACCGTGTGCTGGTTCGCAGACGAAGGTGACCGAAGCGGTGTACGGATAAATAAGTACTCACTACTCAGAAATGGTGACAGGAGAGATAAAGCTGAGGAGGCCGGTAAGGGTGGAGGAGAGAGAGAGATAGAGGCAGAGAGAGAGAAAGAGAGAGAGAGGGAGAGGGGAGGGAGAGAGAGAGAGAGAGGGAGAGGGAGAGGGGGAGAGAAAGAGAGAGAGAGAGAGAGAGAGAGAGAGAGAGAGAGAGAGAGAGAGAGAGAGAGAGAGAGAGAGAGAGAGAGAGAGAGAGAGAGAGAGAGAGAGAGAGAGAGAGAGAGAGAGAGAGAGAGAGAGAGAGAGAGAGAGAGAGAGAGAGAGAGAGAGAGAGAGAGAGAGAGAGAGAGAGAGAGAGAGAGAGAGAGAGAGAGAGAGAGAGAGAGAGAGAGAGAGAGAGAGAGAGAGAGAGAGAGAGAGAGAGAGAGAGAGAGAGAGAGAGAGAGAGAGAGAGAGAGAGAGAGCAGAGTGGCTGCAGGTGAGCTTATAGCTCAGATGCGTGACTAGATATTTGGGGCTGCAGGAACTTGCTATTTTCGGAGAGATTGAGTTTAGGTACGATCACAGGCGGCGGAAAGTTGGCGCCGTTTATAGATTCTCTTCACCACCAGACTCATACGGATCCGCCCATGGCAATGTGTATTATCACAGATGTAACATCGTCTCCCTTGCAGAAATGAGCTGACATCTACAGTTCTACACATTTGGCGTATCCAAATCCAAGAATGCAATGACAATGCGACACACCCACATCAAGTGACATTTATGCGGCACAACATAACATAAGAACACAAATTCACCTTCTTAGCTGAACTCAGGGCCGAGTTACGCGCAGGTACAACGCCAAAGAACACAGACAAAATAGCGACCCAGCCTTCCTAAAAACAACCTATATTCGAGCCAAACAAAGTCAAGACCACACGAGCCTCGTAAACGCCATACAAAGTATTTGTACTGGTCGGAAGGGGAGCGCCGGCTTGCAAGTTCTTCACAAGTCAGTCGTATATTTACTACCATGTAAGGCGCAAACGAATGCAGAAATGCGTGATGCATGTACGAGTAGCTTTGCTCTGTGAGAAACAAACGGATCTCTGATGCCGGAGAAAGCTCAAGGAATTCCGGCTGTCCTGATCAGCTTAGCGAGGCACTGGCGACCAGAGTTGCCTTCAGAACCGCCGTATTCACTACGGCTCTGGAGATAAAAGCCTTCAAAGGCACATTCTCTTGGCTTTTTGCTAGAGATGTCTTCTGATACATATTCACTAGGGCTGGGGTGAGAGATGCCTACAGTGACACATTCACTACGACTCTGACGAGAGATGTCTTCAGTGACATCACTACGTTCAACGACTGGCATCTTACTCTCTTGAGCAGTGTGCTGCTCTGCCATCAGTGCCTCTCGCATGTGAATACGCATATGCTTAGTCAAAGTCCGCCTCGCAGTAAAACGCTTATCGCAAGAACAGCACACAAAGCGCCTTTCGGTGATGTGGCGTGTGCGATGAGCGTACAGGCGTTTGGCAAGCGTAAATCCCCTGCCGCATACCTCACAGAGGTACGGGTTCACGACCCCGTGCAGCAAGGCATGCTGCTCGAGGCTATCCCGGTCGTGGAAGGTATCACCACACTCTGGACAGTCCCAGCGGCCGTCATGCTGCAAGATGTGCCTCTTCAGCGACCTCGTGCGCTCAAACACCTCGCCGCAGACGCCACAGGCCCATGGGCGTCGCCCTCCGACGTGTCCCAGCGCGTGGTAGACGAGCAGCGACCGCTCGGTGAACGGAATCCCACACACCACACACCCGAACAGCGCCACCACACCGTGACCGCGCGCGTGGCGTACCAGGAGCGCCTGACTGAGGAGCCGCGCGCCGCACACTGGGCACTCGTAACGTCCCGACGGGTCGACGCCGGTGGTGGGTGGTCCCCGAGAAGAGGTCGGGCTGTCTCCGACGACAGGGAGGGAGTGGGTGGCGGGCGTTTCTTCTGCTGCCAGTGTCTTGTCGGCACCAACAGCCGCTGACGAAATGGTGCTCTCTTCAGGGATGTCCGAATGGAGCAGCTGTTGTCTGGAGGAGGGCTCAAGTGGCTCAGACTGGGACAAGTCGATGGTCACGGTGCTGAGAGGAGATGGATGTGCCACCGTGACGTCAATTGGTCCTACCGGGGTCGGAGCTCCAAGATCAGACACTTGTCCATCAGCTGCTCCAGCGGAATAGCTCGCCCGTCCATTTATGGTTGCCCCGGGATTCTGCCTCCCTTCGACGGCCACTGTTCGAGGGTTATCCCACTGCTTAGCGGTTGCTGTTCCAGCCCCCAACAGATGTTCACCAATCCTTGTTACAGGCTCATACCCCCGATAAGCAGTCGCTCTTTTAGGATAATATGTCTCTCCAGCAATGGCTACTCCCAGATCATACCACTGCGTAGAAGTCACTGGCCCAGGAAGATACGTCTGTTCATCAACGCCTGCCGAAGGATCATGCGTGAACCCTGCAGCGGCTGCCAAAGGTTCATACCATTGCTCAGAAGCCACTGTTTGAGGACAATGCGTCTGTTCAGCAATATCTGCCGAAGGGTCATGCGACTGATCAACATCGCTGACTGCAGGACCATGCAACGGACCAGCAGTGACATCGCCATGAGCATTGCACGTTTGCTCACCAGCGGTTACTCCAGGGTTGCAGGACTGTTCAGCAGTGACTGCTGGGAGCTCATGCCACTGCCCAGCTACGGCTTCTCTGGAAAGGTGACTCGCCTGTTCAGCCGTGGCTGCTTCAAGATAGCACGTCTGCTCCACAAAGGCTGCTGCAAGCTCATACCACGGCCCGGCAGTGGTTTCTTCAGCAGTGGTTTCTCCAGTAGCAAAACACCTCTGCTCAGGGGTGGTTGCTGCCGGCTCAAACCACGGCCCAGCAGTGGTTCCTCCCGGATCGCGCGCCTCCCCAGTGGAGTCAGAGGCCGGACCAAGTTGACCAGCGTCGCTCTCCTGAAGGAGTCCAGCCAGCCGGGCGTGGGTCCGTCGCTCCTGGCTGATGCCGGTGGCCGGAGCCTCCGCTCTCGGACGGTCGTCATATTGCCCGGGCGACTCCCGTAGCGCGCATTGCCAGAAGGTGTCGCAATGGCTGTCAGCTTCTGTGGCGGAGAAACAAAATCCTTTCAACTGATTGATCGGTAGCTATGTTTAGTCGAGCTCATGGTCAATACTTAACCCTCGCCAGTCGCCCGTATAGGGTGGGGGGTGGGGGGTCGAACGGACCCCTCTCGGTTTTTCGCGAATAAGTCGCGTAAAAAGCGGCCGATCGCGACGAACCTTTGAGTACTCTCGCGCCAATCAATGTTACACCTACCCTGAAAATTTCATGACCCTGACCCAAATGACCTTTGACCTGTAACCTACTTTTTGAGACCATGTTTGGCGGGAATCGCGATTCTGCGTATATGTCGGCTGGCATTAGCCGCGCGTTTGCAGTCTTTTCGTGGTTTCAAGTGTTCAAACATGTGATATGATGTTGGTCCCATGCATTAGGGTGGGTTTCAAGGTCACCTGAAGGTCAGGTCAGGTCATTGGCCTGTTATGACTTCGGCTCACGTGTTTTAGTTTTACATGTTTCCAGGCTAGTTTTTGGAGCTGAATTCGAATTTAACAACCATTTGAACATTTACGAAGAAGTTTTGTTGCCTTCGTAACAAGTTACGAAGCTGTGAGAGGCGAATGACACCTGCTACAAATACCCGGGCCGGCAGGACACCTACTGGTTGACCTGACCTGATCTGACCCGACCTGGTCTAAATGCATGAAGACATCATCTATGATCAAAACTAACATGATATTCGCGATCAGCATCCCGAAAAAAACATAGCAGTCACACTTGTCACGAGCAACACGCTCGTTTATTTCCGCGAAGCTCTAGCTCGATCAGGGGCGAAACGGCAAGGGGGTCCAGCGGACCCCCCCTCGTACGTTCGCGGCTGGCAAAACACTAAAACGGGCGAGGGTTAAACTGCCTCACCGATTTCAACTGGATTTTGTGCGTAACAAGAATTCGCTGTAGGTATTCGAGCTTCATTACGCTCGACTGGCGACAGGCAAGTCTTTTTTCCTCTTCGAACAGTATGGCTGCCTTTGCATAATACCTAAGCACGAACATCGTTAAAACAATGGAGCTAATTCAAGATTATCGGATAACGATCGGTATTAGTTCCCAAATCACAACCGTAAGCATGCTCGTGTGTTTCAAAGGATACCATTCCCTTGAATCATACATCTATTATCAATTATCATATAGTATCGATTGGAAAATTTCATTTCGGCAACCTTTACCTAAATTTTTAAGAGATATAATGCTTAAGAAGTTGACCTCTCCTCGACATTTGAATTATCTTAAAGGTAGTGTGCCAGCTCTTTCCTGGACGGTATGGAGTTAAGGGCCCAGATAAGGAGAACCGGATTTTTAGAACTTATCCATACCTTCAAAACTCATGGAAACGTCTTAAATTCTTCAAATTTTGAGTACCCCAGTGCGAAATTCGCCCCGACGGGTTGTCGGTCGTACCCCAACCACATTTCACACCACTATGAACAATAAATGCACACACTGAAATCGCTATTACCGATAGGCTCATCCAATCAAGTTTCGATAAACCCGTTCGCTGCGGTTTCGAACACGCCTGTTAGGTGGTGCGGTAGACCGCGCCCAAAGCCAGGGCCCCGGTAACGTGAGGTAGCCGAGTCAGGGCAGCGTGCGCTGACCCAAGCCGGGGCCGCGCGTCCTCCCGGTGTCATGTGATAGCCCGGGGCTGCCCGGGGATGCGGTAGACCGCGCCCAAAGCCGCGGCCCCGGCTTGGGTCAGCGCACGCTGCCCCGACTCGGCTACCTCACGTTACCGGGGCCCTGGCTTTGGGCGCGGTATACCGCAGGCGGCTTCTGCTCATACTTTGTGGTGCGGTGGTGGTGCGTCGGGCCGCGCGCTCTGACTTCGGCCAAGAAAAAATGCGTCAGCTGATCATTGTCATTTCTGCCACTTTCATGTGGTGAGATGGGGTCATAACTTTAGAGACGGCTGTTTCATATCAATTATTTTACGCAAAATAATATTTCAAACCATAAATTAATGTTCGACAGCCAAATTAAAGAAACAATACCAATACAGGCTTACAGTTTAAATTCGACATTGTGCTGTCTACGATTAGACAGCTGATAACTCATTCCCGTACGTCGTAACTCTATAATGACCTTTGCTTATTGTCACATGTGCGCCGCATTCGCGATTGTTGCCGACGCCTGTTTGCAGGTCAGCCCACTACAGTCGTTATACATATCGAAAAACCGATAAACTTTTAGGCGAAAAAAGCACTATTTTATGCCCATTTTTGATTTTTTTTGCGATATTAGGTAAAAACAGAAGCTTCTTATCCTAGGAAAAATAAAATGGGAAATCATTGGAAGGTGGCACACTACCTTTAATAGCCAAATATAAGTAACTTTATTGATATTTCGACCAACAGGCCTTCTTCAGAATACGACAGTGTACACAAGTGTACGAGAATACTTGTATTCTCGTACACTTGTGTACACTGTCGTATTCTGAAGAAGGCCTGCTGGTCAAAATATCAATATAGGTACTTATATTTGGCTATTAAAATAATTTAAATGTCGAGGAGAGGTCAACTTCTTACGTATTATATCTCTTTAATATTCATAATGTTCGTCGCAAGAGCTCTCCAAAGAATTTACCTAAATTTGAACGATTATCTTGAGAGAAGCCAGCACCGGGTTAAGTTTACGTACCTACGGCGTTACGAATATACCTATTGTGCTCTCTGTTTCACCCATGCTTGATTTGTACTTAAAACGCAGTGTAGGTATAGATGCTCACCTGAAAGTGTATCTTCCACCCAAAGAGGAGCCGGGCAGGTCTTGATGACCCTCTCACTCCTTATCAGCTGGGCGTCATCCATTTTGGACTGCAACGATAGGCAAGTTATGTATAGGGTTGCCTGTAACTCAGTCGGCGAACAACTCAGATAGCTAACGATTTTCTTGCACGGTGCACATTGCGCGTATGTGAGTATTTTTATCTTAAAATGATATCGTACCGAGGATGTAATAAATGAGAAAAATCATTAAGAATTTCTGGAAAGATCGCAATACATTGAACGCTTAACTTGTACCACAGATAACAGTAGCTATAAAACATCAGCCATTACATTCAACTGTCAGCGATTGTCGATGAAACTACAATTTTTAGAAGTGCACAGACCAGCCCTCACTAACCTGTTAACAGTCCAGTCGGCCTGCTCTCGATTGTGTCATTGGCACCCAGCTCCCTCCTGTCACCGTCCCGGGTCGGCCGGCCGCCGGACACCGCCCGAGGCTACGACCCGCTCAAGGTCACAGCTCAGTCAGCTGTTGCGGCGCCCCGTCTCGGGTCAGGCCTCGCTCCCGGTGCGGCCGGGGCGGCCGGCCTGGGACCGACTGTGCCTGGGCCGGCGGGAGGGCATCATATTTTTTGTTTTTGCAGCAAAATGAAGCAAAACTTCGCAAATGTCTTCGTCGTCGGCGCTCTCGAAAAAAAAAACTCAACTAACGAACAGAGACAGATAATCCATATATGATCGTTGTTATAGGAGAATAAAGAAGTGGCATATAAAATTTGGCCCCTTTGCTGAATTGCTGAATAACGGCGCGAGCTGTAAAAATTTGAACAGTGAAATAAAGTAATAATAAAAATAAAAAAGTATTATTCGTGACGCCGTATTTTGTGTGATTGCTTTGTATTATCACTCATGGCGAATTTATCCACAGTAATGACAACATAAACAAAAATACCCACACTTATCCGATGCATAAAAATGTCCACTATTCGCGATACATATTGCCAAATCAACAGTTCACACAACATGTACAGTCTGTCTTAAAAGTACCGCGCAAAGTGACGGTGGATCCATCGAGCCTGAATGAGGAAGGGCCGGCTAAATTTGGGTCACCGAAGCAATTGACATCCTCGTCCATTCCCTAGGTCAGTTGGTCGGTGACTTTCAAATTAAAGCAGGCCCTTTCTCCGTCAGGCTCGATGGATCCACCGTCACTTTGCGCGGTACTTTTAAGACAGACTGTACGTATAATAATGATTCCAATGTCATTGAGTCATAAAATGCATTCACAAACTCGTTCGATACTGAGCATGTCAGGCGGAATGACTGCTTTTCCGGGCAGTTTCAAACGTGCATAAAAGGTGATCGTTTCACTCGTTTTCCTTGTTATTAATGTGCTTCGCTGCCTTCGAATCAAGTAATATCGTGTCAGTTATGAGGTAAACGCAGCCACCTGATTACGATGACTATATAGGCATCAATCAGTCAGAAGGCACGCATCTTGCAAACTTCTCACCGGTGGCACTCGTGCACACGGCAGCACGGCATATCTCACAGGACGCGGCGCTGCCCCCTTCCCCTCCCTCCCCCCCCCCCCCCCCAACACACAGGCCAGCGCACACCACCCAATAGGTAATTCATAACGGCAGCATACCTACATTACCTGCACGACTTGTTGATTCATATCGCTAGCATTTTCTGACTGTAGCAGCCTCGCATATCCCCATCTATGAAATGAGTAAGACACATACATTTTCAAGGCACTCCCGACAAAAAAGAACAGTCACGAACATGACAATGAGTCATGTTCTAAGGCTTATTGACTTTAGATTTGTCATTGTCTGGGACATTTCACCATTATCCCGGTCTTTGGCTTCTGACTGCATCTCTCGGTATCGTTAGCCAAAACTCATCATGTCCATTAAGTTTAAAGCTCGTTCTCGAGTTCTCGACATCTCCAGGCTTCAATGCGAACACTGAAGCGGTTTCGCTTCATCACGAAACTGTCTACCCGGTCTAAGATCGGGATATGGTTACGTTCGCTACCATGAAGGTCCGACTAACAAGTCAGAACGCTTCTCACATAGCGGTGACTCATTGTCGGGTTCACGGTTGATACAGCCACACCAGTTCGTAGACGCGACTCCCGCGCCGAGACACGGTCGGAAAGAGTTTCTCTGCCCCCGTGTACGGGTTCATCTCGCTATGGAACAGCCGGAATCCCATGGCCTCCAGTCGCTGGAACACGGCGAGGTACTCCCTCCACCTGTCGAGGCCGGCGTTCCTGTCGCGTGGATCATACGCCAGGTGTATCTCCATGCCGATCTGACGCACGTTTTGCAGTAGTTGCGGTGAGCTGGTGAAGATCTGGGTGAACATGTCCCACTCGGCGCCCTCCACGTCTACCTTGAGGTAGTGAACGGTGCGCCGCTGATGACCTAGCATCGACACCACGCTCTGGTAGGTGCGGACGTCCCAGCGTCGCCCCCGCACCTGAATCGTCTCGTCCCGGCCGCCGATGCCGAGGTTGTGGAAGGAGATGTGCTCGGATCTCTTGTGGTCCTTCTGGCCGATGGATGGATCGAAGGCGTGGATCTTGCACTGCAGCCGCTGTACGTTGTCGTCAAACGACCAGTCGTGGTCGACGCCGAAGCTGTAGATGAGGCAGCTGTTGGTCTGCAGAAGACCCAGCGCCGGGTCCAGACACACCCACTTGTAGCCGTCAAACTTGCGGTTCTTGTAGTCGGCCTGGCCGCCTATACGCATCGACTTCCCGCACTTTGCGTACGGTTTTTCGATGTAATCAAACACAGCTGACGCCAGCTCTTCCCAGTTCTTGGGTTTGAGTGTTCGCCACTTTGCCCGCGCCTCCTCCGTCCACACTGCCGTTGCTGACGTTTGTGACGCTGGAGATGATTGCCGTGGGGGCGGCGCCGCAGTGGTCCCCAGCAGTAGGTCACGGAGCCGGGTGCTGATCGGGTGAAGGATGGTCACCGTCGGCACCGGACAGTCTGACCTGAAACAGCAAACAGAGATGTGAACTCTGCCGGCTACCGCTTGATCTGTGATCTATTGATCTGTGACCAACTGATCACCGGCCTTATGCGTTCATAATTCATACACCATACCGTACCATAAGGCGGAAGCACACCCACACCTTATGTTTTTATGCATGGTCATTGATCATTTTGCTATTTATTATGGCTTTGAGTACCAGGGCCTCCTCTAAGGATTTTTCACTGGGTGGGCAAAGTTTTCGCTACTCCCCTGCCCAAGGGTGGATCCAGCCACTGTTTTGGGGTTCAACCAATTTCATAACCTGTTACCGGGGGGGGGGGGGGCGGGGGTGAGGCGAAATAAGCAGTGCCGTTATTGGAAATAAGATGATAGTTTGCAAAGTTAACGTTTGTCGTATGTTTTATGGTTAGCAATGCTCGAGGGATTCGTTCCAGAGTTACATGTACAGCCCTCTGCAAACTGCGTGGTAGGTAGGTATTCTTATTCGGTATTCTTGCTATTTTGACAATGCACCAGTTTTTGTGACCTTGTGACCTGACCTCGGGTCACTGGAACCTAAAACTCCAAGGCCAAGTGACAAACAGATGCTCCAAGTCGTGTCTTAAATTTGGTAGCGCTACGTGCTATAGAACTCACGCTATCAACGAAAAACTCTGGCATTCGGTTGCCGCTTAACTGTTAGTCCAATTTCCCCCTGACCTTGTACCGGGTTTGTGACCTGGTGACCTGACCTGAAAAGACTAGAGACCTGAAATTTTCAGGACAAGTGCCAAAAGGCTGCCCCAGAGGGTATGCGAAATTTGAGCGCCGCCGTTTTTACGTTATTTGTGAAAAACCTTAGGGGGGTGCATCAACCCCCCTCATCGGGCGAGGGCTAACTAACATAATACATTGTAGTAAAGGCCAGGGGCGTCGCCACGGATTTTTGAGTGGGGGGTCGGGTTTCTAGTCTTCACCCGACGGGTAGGGGTGATTTTTTGCCACACTTCCCAGTTTTGTGCGTGCGTATGTGTGTGTGTGTGTGCGCGTGTAACAAATCGGCGCGCAGCGCCGCGAAATTTGGTATAACCTATTAGGTAGGTATACCTACCTACATCACTTGCGTAAAAATTATCACTGGTCACTTAAGGCCAGGTCGCCATGTCAAGTTCAGTTATACATACGGTATACCTCTATCAAACTTTCCCCTCTCGCCATTCTTGTAGCTTTTCTCCCATAACTTCGAAATTTGGTACACTGTATACCTAATGTATGGGGTTATATGTGTCAGCAATTCATGATTCTGAGGATTTACATCTATGATCTGGAGGCAGGTCAAATACGTGACCTCATCATGAGAAAATAATGAGAAATTAGAAAAAGCACGAATGCCTCCTGCTTTGAAAACGTTCGTCAGAAACGCAAAATATCTTTGGAGCCATGACAAATCAGCTCATCATTGCCAGGGACAGGGTGCAACTTATGGCGAGTGATGACTCGAAAGGTCATTAGTGGAAATGTCCATCGAGGGCCACCAGCATTTTTTTTTCTACAACTTTTGACGAAGACGCGGTAGAGCGATGACAGCACCTGGAAGGTGTTCATTGTTCAGCTCAACAACACGGATCCATTCATATGCAGCAGGAGGTCCTTTTTCGATCAGGACATAACGTTGACCTGAGGTCGTTTTAACGTTAACCCGCGCCCCGTAGGGGGGGGGGGGCCGAAACGGCCCCCCCCTGTCCTTTTCGGTCGATATCTCCTAAACGGCTGGAGATATCGCCACCAAACTTTCAGGACCCCTCCGGGCATCAATTTTACACATTGTGACCAAAAAATTTTCCAGAGGCTATGATAGGTTGGCCACGAATGACGTCAGAGTGACGTCATGTTCTGTCATTTTCGACCGAAAAAAGACCTTCGCGAGAAGACCTGTCAGGACTACAGCTTTGAAGATACAGAAAAATGATCAAGACATAAAAGATGTATAATTGACAGGGCTACAAAACTGCTATCTCGAATTTTTGAAATTTTTGAGTTTTGACCCCCAAAAATCAAAAAAGCATTTTTTTGGGTATATTCGCCAAAAAATCCAAAAAGTTTTTTGAGTTTCGAAAAAACCGGAATATATGTGATAGTGCCTACCGTCTTCTATCTACATACCAAATTTCAGATCGATACCTCGTTTTTTGGCCAAGTTATAGCGAAAAAACTGTTCAAAAATGATGACGTCAAATTTTCAAACTCAATTTTTGGCAATTCTAGAACTCGTAGAGCAAAACGAAGACCACCATTAGACTCCCCGTGACGAGCTGCATCGAATCGATACCCATTTTATGCAAAAATATCAACTTTGAAATTTGACCTAATTTGACCTGACCTTGACCTGACCTTCACCAAAACGTGACCTAGGCTGGCCCCAAAGGCTGCCTAACCACATAATCGCATTTGTCATGTAAAATGGACCATAAAACATGTATCACACGACACATTCATATTGTGACCCCCGGTGACCTGACCTCGCTGTGACCTGACCTGGTATCAGTGACCTCAGATAGCAAAGTATGTGTTTGACGAACAATGTACCATCGATGGTTTTCAATAAATTACCAATTTACTCGCTTTCACAGCACATTTCTTGAATTGCCTGTGAACGGTGAAAATCTGACCTTTGACCTGACCTGTGACGTCATCGGTTTGACCTAGGTCAATGAAATTTGGTCACAAGGTAGTTCCCGGGTGGGGCTATCGAACGCCGTTTGAATTTTGAAAATCGGCCGGTAACTTTCCGAGATCTTAGGGGGGGGGCCGAAACGGCCCCCCCCCCCCTACGGGTGGTAGGGTCCGCCGGTAGCCCTACGGGGCGCGGGTTAATTCTGAATGGTCAAATTTTAACTCATGTGACGCGTCTCAAAAGAGATAAACACGGTGGTGACAAGACAACATATGTAAATACAATACAAATTCACGGAATCTAAAGTTATTGCAAAGCAAATGTTTCGGCAGAATCTGTCCAGTTCGCTGTTTGCCTTCTATGGGCAAAACATAGACCTGAGATGAAATCTGACGCGAATCTAGCGAAAGAGCGTTGAAAGAGCTATCGAATATGTTTTCTGCTTCACTGTAGCCCTTCTATTGGTGGGTTCCTGGGCCCTGTTTCACCGGTGATAGCAGCACGCTGCTTTTACACGTGTCAAATTGGGTTTCCATGGAAACATCAACAGGCCCGTTGCTCCAACACTACCGCAAGTGTGACGTCAGCTCGCGCAATTTGATAGCAGCGTGGTAGCAGCGTCCCGTGAAACACCGCCCCAGTCGCTAACGTATAACGTATACTAAAGTAACGCTGAGGTATGCTTTCGAGCCCTGATCGATCTAGAGGTTTGCAGAAAAAGAGCATGCTGCCCGTGACGAGAGAAAGCCGATGATACCCATTTACAAGGTTTCGGGTCATCTCAGGACTCAGGTCATCGCCAATAAGTAGGGAAACTCGGGACCTGCTAGAACTTTGCGAATGTAAGTTGTGATGGTTTTTCGAGGTTCTGATTACGAATGTTATCTTAGTTTTGAACGAAGATGATGACTCCATGCATTTGGGGTAGATCAGGTCAGGTCAGATCAACCAGTACCTAATAGTGGATGACCACCACCGATTGCTTCCTAACATGTTATACATATGTATAAGCAACACAACTACTTCTTAAATGTTCAGATTGGCGCTAAGTTCAAAATCAGCTCCAAAAACTATCCTATACCTAAATTAACCCGCGCCCGGCTGGGGGTCCTGGATTTCCACGCCCTGCTGGGGGGGGGGGGGTTGAACACCCCCCCCCTTCTAACTCGGCTCCTGGGCCACGTAGCGATACGCGGAAGGCGGCGTTCGAAAGAGCGTCAAAAATAATGAGGAAATCACTTCGGTCAATTTTTTGGTCAGGTCAAAGGTCAGGTCACCAGAGGTCATTGAATGCAAAATTTCGCCGATTTCCAGGTCGAATGTTGACAATTTCCAAGAAGCTAACGCATAACTCGGGAACCAATAGAGATACAGCGCCGCGGAAAAGCGCATTCGATAGCCCTATTAACGCCCTTTCTGAATAATTTTATTTGACCTAACGTCAACGGTTTTGCCTGCAGGGGGCAAAAACTGCAAAAATAGCCGATTTTTTCGGAAACAGTTTTTCTGCAATAACTTTTGACCCAAGCCTTGTACAAGCTTACTTTTACCGGCATCGTGTTCCTCTCGTCAAGACGCATCGAATGAACTATAACTTGACCTTGAAAGGTCAACTTGAAAATTTGACCTCAGGTCAAGGTCATGACCTGACCGGAAAGGGTCATGTTGCATATCAGTCGATCCGTATCGTCGAGCTGAACACATCTAAGGCGTTTTCATCGCTCTAGCATGCCTCTATCAAAAGTTATTTGCGAAAAACTGTTAGATACCATTCGTGACCTAAGATGACCTCAGGGCATAAACAGGGGTCACGGACATCATTTTCATGTTCAGTGTGTCTAAACCACTTGTAATTCAGTGTTTGGGAGTGTTTATAATGTCTTTCGTCCAAAAGAGGCGCATTTCAATTTTCTCCCATTGACTTATAATGGGGAGGTCGCAAAATTGACCTGACCTTAGGTCATCGACATCAAAATTATGAGAAATACATTTTGTACATGCTATTGCTCTCAGCAATCGCTGAAAGTTTCAAAGCGATCGGTCACTCGGTGTAGCTATGACAGACATTGAAACTTTTTATAAGGTGAGGTCACTTTAAGTGACCTGGTGACCTGACCTTGAATGACCTTGGTCTGAAATTTTCACAACATGTGTAGAATTGATGTATGATAAGGTGTACCAAAAACGGCGGCGCGATATTCGCGAAAAACCACAAGGGGGGTGTTCAAACACCCCCCCCCCCAGCAGGGCGCGGGTTAAAAGCATGTTATGAAAAATTTGAATCAGGGATATCGATTTATTTTTAAGTAGGTGATTAACTTGAGCGCACCGGAAGTTTCGTTGCAATCGGCTCCTTTTTGCGCGACTTCTTTTCTTTGCGAAAGCCCGAGACGGTCTCATCTGACTCCCTGTCCCCTACTGTCCACAACATGTGCACAGCTAGTTGTGACGGTAGCCATGGGGCTGAGGCTAGTTTGTAGTTTTGTAGTTAGGTACTGATCCGACGAATCGACTGCGACCATTTTTTTAACGATCAGACGAACGCTCGGGGCAGTTTTGGCGCGTCCAATCCTTTGAGGGATAAAAAGGTACTAGAATGGTGGCTACTTAAAAGTATTGTTGTGCTGGTGTTCCCCGCCCACAGCTAATTGAACTTAAGCTAATTGGCTAATTGGCTTTAGGGAGCTCTTGAAGCGATTCTGAATCTGATGTACATATTTGTTGGTGTTGCTGACGCCTGCTTCACTGACATAAAAGCTAAAAAAGCATACTCAACATCGCAAAAAGTGGGGGGTCGACACCCCCATTTTTCAAGAGTGGGGGGGGGTCACGACCCCCCCCCCCCCCGACCCCCCCGTCGGCGACGCCCCTGGTAAAGGCTACCCGAACCGGTAATGATTCTTGCTTATTTGTTCAGCTCAGCCGTATTTAGAGATTTAGCTGGCTTTGTCCATGAATAACAATATCGGCAGGGGCGTAGCCAAGGGGGAGGGGCCACGGGGGCAATGGCCCCCTCCCTTGAGCGCAAAACGCGCCATGGGAGAGCCCCTCAGGCCCCGGGATATTTTTTTCAAACACTGGATAAAACGTCTTTTACTCGGAAGAAAATTGATATCGAAGTTTCATTTCTCTGGCCTTCTGATGACCCAATGGGCCCCTGCACTCATCCGATGACCCCCGGTTTTCTGGGGCCCCTGGTCGCCTAGGGGGCCCCGGTCGCTTGAGGGCTAGCCGCCTGGGGGCCTGGTCGCCTGGCCCCTGCCCCCTGGTCGCCTGGAAGAACGTTTGTCACCTGCAGTGGCATAGCCAAGGAGGGGGCCAAAGGGACCATGCCCCCCTGGAAGCCAGGGGTCCTTATTCTATAGGGGCCCCTGGCTGACACAGTGGGCCCTTGGCGACGCAAAGGCCCCTGCGGCAGATCCTTTGACACAGCTGAGTAGTTATACTTTGGCCAAGAGAGCCCCAATTTTAGAGCCTTGGGGCCCTATTGAAACCAGGGGGCCAGTTGGATGGGATGGGTCCAACTAGGGTCCAACGGTGTGTAAACAGAATCAATGCGTTCCGACTGTTGGTCTGACCCTATATCGGTTTGAGGGAGCTCGGATCGGATCCACTGTCGATCTGAGGGACCCCTATCGGTTTGAGGAAGCCCTCAAATGCCCTGAACGGGTCCTTAGTTTGTCTAAGAGAGCCCTCCGTCGGCATGACTGGGCCTCTGCAAGTGCAAGGAGGGCTTTTGTCGGTCTTAGTGGCCCTTAGGCGGCTTATATGACCCTCAGACGGCTTACGAGTTACGAGGCTCTCATGCGCTGTAGGGGCCTCTGACGGTCTGAAGAACCCTCATCCGACCTACGGGCCCTCAGACCGCCCTCAAAACCGACTGGCGACTCTATGAAGCTATTCGTGGGCCTATCTAACAGGGGCCCATGGACTGCTTACCCCCTAAGTTCTAATATTTTTGTTAATAAATATTTTTCCCTATTTATTTGGGCCCCCTCCAAAAAATATTGGATGCAACCAGATGGCTTTTTGGATTTTGAGGGGGTTATCTTGGGCCCCTGTGCGTTTGGCCCCCTCCTTGAGGAAATCCTGGCTACGCCCCTGAATATCGGGCAACCATAAAACTTTTTTTGACCTTCAAACAGCATCCAGTTTGCTTAAGACCAGAAAGGTAGTACCGGACGCCCGGCCGGACCAGAATTTTTGCATTTGCTTCTGGGTGGGCAAATCGACGCCACTGGGTGGGCAATTGTGGTGACTGGGTGGGCATTTGCCCACCCAGTGGGTATGTTAGAGGAGGCCCTGTTGAGTACCGTCTTTTGTTTATTCATGACCATCAAAACTTCATTCATTACGGTTCCCGTTTGTTATATTTCGCCCTTTCCAACTCTTCCAGCGCCCAGATAAAAAGTTTATTTTGTGATATGAAACATTCTATTGCAATCACTCAACGCCTTTCTAATGGGAAAACGTGTCCCCTGGGATATTTCTGAAAGAGTTATTTATTGGTTAACTGTGTATTGGTGCGGCACACCAATTTCTGAATGACGACGGCTGCCTCACCAGAGAAATGACCACCAGCCGGTCTGACAATAGACGACTGACATTTGCAAAGGACGTTCGGCCCCCTATTCAATATACCCTGGTTCGGCCTCGCGCTGGATCTGAATGCCCGCTTTGGGTTCGAACGGTAAACGCCGCGGATAAAACAAACGCCCACGTCTATGCGTCGACACACAAAGTATCAAAGAAGCAGCCTATAGCGTGGAAGGTGAAGTAAAGCGTTCGTTCGATATTATGCTGACAACGACAACGAGCACGTAACAGCAGTTCAGGCTGACGGCGGTCAGGTCAGCACGCGCCACTCACTCAACCATCAAACACATGACATTTTCAGGAGCACAACCACATGAATCTCTCCACGCCCCGTCACCCAAGTCCGCTTCAGTCATTCCGTGTACCCGCGCCGCCTCGGCTGGCACCTCGCCTGGGTTCGGTTATCCTCGCTAAAATGGCACCCTCTGACCTTTGAACATTATGACCAACCACCCGTCCCACGGGCCCCCATCAGCCGTTTCGTAATACGTTATCAGAAATAACGGTTAGTGTGGAGATAGTGCGGGAAAGCGTCCCCTTACAGTACGGGAGGGATCCGGGAAATGTCCTATCGGGCGCGGGTTAAAAAGGTTGGATAACAATCAAAAGATAACGATAAACGATTCTTAGCTCTAGCCACAACATCGGCTGGCCCACCAATCACTCATTTAGGACTCATTAGAAATCAAAACACCGACAAGTTGAGTGTAAAATGCATCGGGAATCAAGAGGCTTCAGGTTTGCAACCTACTTTAAAATAGTTGGGGTTTTTAGCAAAAGATTTTATGCGGTTTTAAATGTAGGTGCCCATATTTATCGATCACAAATTATTGCATCGGAATCAAATCACTCACACAGCTAGGAGACACTAGACAGTCGAATTTTGAAGACAGGATGCCCATCCTGTAGAGCTTGCTTTATGCTAATTACAACTTAGGTACGATGTGTAGCATATGTCATTCTGTTAATGGCTCAGCAGAATGACCTGTCCTAGTCCAGTCCCCAAACATGAAGTATAGTGTACAGTACCTACACCGTTTTAACGATCCAGCCGCTCCGCACTGAAGTTATTCGTTTGGTTTCCCGTCGAATTATATTGAACGTCATACCGTAATAAAGTTGAAACTCATTATATGGAGGGCCGGGGGGCGGGGGCTAATCAATATAAACGTCCACAGCTCGCACTGGCGGTGACTTTTGACATATACCTAAATGGGCGTATGACGATGGATGGTCAACGACCATTCATGCCACATGTCGACCTGCAGGGTGGATAATGACGGTCCATGACGGCCACTGCCGCCTTCAGTCGACTATGCGAGTCGTTCGCTGAAGGGAGCAATTGTTGACGCATGGGGCCTACTAGCTACAATCATGTGAACGATTACGGCTCATAATAGGTATTTTGTTATGCGATGGGTATGAAAAAATCAATCCCGTAGCCATTGAACCTCTGCATTAGAGATGTCAATCGGATACCAACTTTTTGGTATACCGATACCAAACCGATACCAACTTGGTATTTGGTATTTCAATCGTAATGTGTTTGGTATTTTGTTGGTATCATAAACCCTCACTAATGTATAAGAGGCTAAGAAATCGGTAAAAAGTTGGTATTTCCCTCATTTTGCCAAGTTGGTTTGGTTTCGGTATTTTGCCGTGGTTTTGGTTGGTATTTGGTTTGGTATCGGTATTCCGATTTTCCGTAATTGACATCACTACTCTGCATACCGAGTTATATGCATAGTTCGGAGACATACAAGGTCTGTGACTTATAGCTTATGTGTTTTTCCAGTGTGTTGGCTGTCAGAAGCAAGTATGTTGGATACCGTTTCGCCGCACGTTATGGATGTGAATATGACCGGCACGGATGCGCTAACTCACCCGTTACACTGGACCGCCGGTGACGTCTTCATGGTCGAGTAGATCACGAACAGACCTTGTAGCATCAGCAGGAGGAGCAGGACAGCCAGCTTGCGACGGTTCTGCAGAACGGCCCCCGCGAGGAACCCGCAACCTGAGAGACAAGTCATAACCAAAAACGCGATTTAATTAACTTACTTGAAAGTACGGAATAACATTAACTTACCATTTGTACTTAAAACAAACGTCAGGGACAGAACCGTTAATGAACTAATATCGTTCGACAGAAAAATTACTGACAGTTATTGATGCCTCCGATTTTCCGTCTTTAGTCCCATGGTGGATGCATAAAGATGTCGCGAAAGTGTTGTGGTTGTTGTGGTCGAAAGCGTTGACCGTAAAAACGTTTTTAGGTCAAAAGTATCAGCCGTGCATAGCTACAGGGACCGAACGTTCGACAATTGTCAAAGAAACCTCGTTCAGGCTGGTGGAGTGTTCGAATGAATACGAAGTGTTCGCCTTAGGTAGTTCGGCGCGGTCAAGGGCCGTGGTCGATACATGTCAGATGTGCCAGGTAGTGGGTAGTGGATATGGGGCTGGGCACGGGGTACCTAACAACATGTTCGCCACACCCGAGGAAAGTAGGTAATCTTTTGCGGATTGTCAATAAAACGGGCATCCATAAAAGAAGGAAGCATGGTATATTAGGAGCCCCTGGTGGTTTGAGTGGATTGGATATTTGCGTGACAGATATAGGATGAGGTATTTGGTGGCTTGTAATTACGATAATAAAGAAGCAGTTATTACGTTTTTATTGACATATGTGTCGTCATCCGATACCAATGTGCTCGGTGCCGTGGAAAATGCTAATAGATCCCGAGTGGGGTCACTGGAATGCATTTACCTATATATAATATTATAGTGCACCCGGCTACGTCCGCCATTTGCGGTTCATTTAACTATAGAATTATGACTCTTGTGGGCCACTCCGAAACTACTGACATCTCGCTTAGCGAGACAAAAGAGCTTGTAATAAATTAATCTAAAATTCACGTTTGCAATGCCCCATCTCTTTTCAGCACGCTGACCTAGGTACTTACCTGAGCTGGACATTGCATTGGCGAACGTTGACCTCTAGAGCTTCACTTGCCGGTGCAAATCGATCAGAATACCTAAAAATGCCATGATTCTATTATTGGTTCAAAGTTTTCTCGTTTCAACATAACCTGGATCTTAGATGGCACGGACGAACAGCTTGGCTTCCATTCATGCTCTTGTGTCTAGTGCTTGTTGGCCCATTTTCCGTCTAACTCACTGGCTCTGGGACCATAGCTTCTCGAGGTGAGGCGATTACACCGGGTTTTCACGTGTTCTCATGATCCATCTCAGCACGAGCGTATCACAGAGCGATTCAACTAAAAGATTCGTGTATCTCTTGGAGGAAGCCGAATCTCTATCGGTAGCCGAGACGGGAGCAGCAGGAGCTGTCGGTGCGGGAGCAGCAGCGGTCGGGACGGGAGCTGCAGCAGCGCGAGGGAGCTCCGGCCCCGACACGCCCTCGTCGGCGGCACCGTGGGTCAACTGGCGCCGACGGACCGCCAGCCCTCCGACGGTGCTGTGCGCAACTCGCACGTCACTCGAACACCAAGATTTGGTCCACGTCGCTCGGAACTGTCTCGACAATCTTCACGCGTCCCTCATTCTTTGGCCACGTTGAGCTGTGCCTGCCTCGAAATGTGGACTTCCCTCAAAACAGATGTGTCAACAGCGGGTCAGCACCCAGCGCCGTCCAACATCAGGTCCGTCAAGCAGCACCGTTTGTGTGTGTATGTGTGAGTGTGTTTGTATAAGTCGCTGCAGTCGGACCGTGTAAAGACGCTGAAAAGCATATGAAATAGCGCATAGCATTGTATAATATGCCATTCCGTGTCCTTTTTAACGCGTGAACGAAATGGATGCGCCTTCTAAGTTAATAACAAGCGCCAACTGACGTAAAATATTGCTCCATTGCGCAAATAAGACCGACAACGCTACGGATGCAATCTGTTTCCATAAAGGTCAGCTATGCCATGGGATAATGTTACCGTTAATATTCCATAATCGCTGTATTCTTCATTTGAAGAAGCGAGGGAACTTAAGCGTAAAATGAAATAATTTTTTAATATGCTTTGCAACGGTGGAATGCTGTAGTGCATACCTGGGCCCGGCCCCACACCACGAACACCAAAATATTTGAAGCTTTTGTCCCTAGCAGTCACGTCGTACGCAACGATATTGCACATCTCGATCGCGTGAACAATGTACCTATTGCATAATACAGACGTTGATTCCGTATAGAGTAAAGCCGATGTACCGATGCATCATCTATGGTAAAAGAAAACGTACAAGAAACACAAGTCTGCATTATATATTCGTTCACTTTCGAATATAGATATTGCGAAAACGGCACAATCCAATAAACAATGTCCCGTCTTTCGTGACAGGCCGCTCAGAACCCGACATCGATTCCACGACTATTCACCAACAGTCACAGAGCTGACTCCACCGAAACTCAATGGACAGTAGGCGTGCACTGTGCAGTGTGCACATCCAATGCACATTGGCCATCGCAAGTTCCCTGTTCATTCTGCATAACTGCCGCCGCCGGGCGCCAGCCTCGCTGATCGATACGGTCCGCTGGACATTTGTACACGTTACACTGCGAGTCGGGCATGTAATTGACCGAGTGCCGCGCCCGCGTGCCACCGCCTCCGGGCGACCCGGGCGAGCTGAGGTGAAGTCGATTGCAGCCGCGCCGGGCCGGCACCGTTGCCACGAGGCCGTGTGTTAGGCTGGCGTTGCCCCGGCCTGTCGTATTGTAACATCCGTCGGTCCCACGAACGGACACACGATACACTATATTCACACCCCGCTCTCACTGCCACTGCGATCGGCGTCACCGTCCGACTCAGAGTCCTCCTCCGACTCCTCCGACTCTGACTCCGAGTCTGTCTCCACCTCCACCGGAGGCCGGTTCGGGTTCCCCTCCTCCAGGTCCAGGTTTTGTAACTCATCAGCTGCCTCGTCTGCCGCCGTCGAGCCTACCTCATCGAACCTCTCTGGCCAGGCGCCTGCGCTGCGCAGTTCGGTCACGTGCTCCCGCGACAGCACTCTCACCACCTCTGCCCGCACCTTGTCGCCCTCGGCGATCGGCTCGAGGATCAGAAAGGTGCCGCGACGCACCCAGATGTTGCGCCGGAACTTGTTGGGCATACTGACCAGGTACACCTCCCCGTTGGCGTCCTCCACCTGGTGCAGGTTGTTGCCGCGGGTCTCCAGCAGGCGGGCGATGGTCTGGTCACCGCTAGGCGGCGCCACCTCCGACATGTGCTCCTGGTACACGTACTTGCGCTTGGTCTTGGATGACATGGTGCTGGACACAACTGAAAACATATATGACGTTAGATAAGGTCATATCAATAGCATATCACGATTTGGGGACAGGGTGACACATTATTGCCGTTGAATATTACATATAACTGGTTGGTACCACTGACATGGTTTGTAACATTCCCTTCTGCCAGTAAATAGCAATGCAGACTGTGAGTGAGCCATAAAACAGTCCTTTTTTAGGTGCAAAAGCCAAAGCCATCACAAAGTACTAAGTTAGTAAGGACTCAGGAGCATGAAAGTAGCATAAGAACTAAGCAGTGGCCTGAGGATCACTTTTGAAGTCCTACCATATAGGTAGATGTTTCTTAGCATTCAGGACACAAGTTGAACTGACACAGATTTGTAGCTAACGTAATACAAGGATAAAAAATATTCGATGATTAAAAAGTAAAATGCCAAATTCATTGTATCACCTTGAGGCCAAAGTCAAGATGGCAATATCGCTTGAACCAATTGGTTCCATGACCAGCTGATGCAATTCCGTTCCATTTCGTTTTGCAATTGATGCCAAAGATGCCAAGTGTTGAGTGTTAATTTGCAACTTGAGTTTGATTTATCTATGCTCTGATGTTTTCAATTGAGTTAAGTCAATTAGGTATGTCACAGCTAAGACATGGACACAGACAATATTAAGGGACAAGTACTTTATGCAGAGATTAGGCAATAGTCAGCTCAGTTACATAAAAAATGCCTATGAAACTTTTGCACTTACAGTACTGGCCTGAACTGATAGAAATGTAGCTGCGTTAGCCTTCCCGAAAAGCAGTATCTATCAATATTTCTTCACCAAGCTCCAGGTTGTTCAACTGTCTTGACCCAATGGCATCACCACCTGCAACCAAATCAAAGAGTCAATGACTTGAAGCTTGCATAGAGAAGTCTATAAAAACAAATGGTATCTACTAGTGCTGTCAAGTGTCAACAGAAAATTGGAATACCCGACACCATAACCTTTAGCATACCTTTTACTTACTTTAGAGTTTAGATTGAGATAACCTTTAGCATCATAGTGCCTGTATATCGATGTTAAGCATTCAATAGCATTTTGAAGCTAACCACATCACAAATGCCAAATGCTAGGGCCCTAGCATTAGAGAAAAAATATTAAAACCCTAGAGAAAAAACCATCGCATACATTCACAGACATCTCCTGTCTACCCACTCCCAAACGTTCTTACTTCTTACCGGTATGAACGGCCTTGCAAAAATTAGGGTTGTGAAATCCAAGCCCGAGTGTTTATTTATCAGTTGGGGGAGGTTTGGTCAATGGTTGTCATTTTTAGCACATGCCATTTTTGGCAACCATGTGCTAAAAATGACAACGCTATCAGCTATTTTTAGCAACGATGAAGCCGATTTCACTCCTCAGCGAGGAAATCACGATTTTGGAAATACAAGCACTGATTTTGGAAAAGAAGTGCTGCCACCTGGTGCAAGAAGAAGAAACCAGCTTTAATATGGCCGTTGTTTGTATGGTAGTCCAACGTTGAAGTATACCCTTTTTTGTGGCCCGAAGTTGGAACTTTAAATTGAAGCATCCGAAAATGATCGATATTGATCGAAATCATGATGTTGATGAAAAAAATAATATGTTAAGTTGAGAGAGGAGGCCATTTTATCCAGATGCGGTGGTTTACTTCTTGAAATTATTTTTGCTTACGACGACTGCCATGTAATGAGGGATAATTAGCAGCCGTCATTAGCAAAAATAATTTCAAGAAGTAAACTACTGCATCTGGATAAAATGGCCTCCTCTCTCAACTTAAAATATTATTTTTTTCATCAACATCATGTTTTCGATCAATATCGATCATTTTCGGATGCTTCAATTTTAAGTTCCAACTTCAGGCCACAAAACAAACTACCATACAAATAACAGGCATATTAAAGCTGGATCAGGGGGGTACGCTCCGGCTGTTTAGCATTACGAAAAGTGGTGACAGACGTTTGTGGAGGATTGTCGACGAACTCTTGTTCCGCGAGCAGCACTCACGCGCTAGCGGAAAATCCACCAATCAGCGCTCGGCAGTGCTCGACGCTGATTGGCCGGACGCTCGTGACGAAATTGCGGGGGACCGCAGTTATTCTCTATGGACCCGAATAGGCTTTTGGATTTCGGAGGGGTTTCTTTAAGATTATATGCTGTTTCGAGCTGTTTTCGAGTTGAAATATATTTCTTATGACTGTTAGCTATATAATGGCACCATAAAATCATGATTTTGATTAATATTACCGATGTAATATCGGCCGAAAAGACATGCTGTCTTGGCACGGACTGCCCTGCGGCTGATGTGGGGCCTCTAGTGCCAGCGTATGGTAATAATGGGCTGACGAAGGGTTATTGGAGACTCTTAGAGCCCCACTAGGATTCAGTATAGGGTCATCAGAGGCCGGAAACATCCATCAGGGGTCTGAGTAGGCCTGCCATAGGGGCATGCATGACACGTATCATGGAACATGGGTCAATCTAGATCCATTAGGGGCTGTTGAAGGGCCATCATTGTTCAGCGTGGGCCCGCAATCACCTCTGATGGGCATATGCCGTGCCCCGATGGACTAACGCTGGCCCCCGATAAACCATCACCAGCCCCTGATAGGTCTACAAAGCCCCCTGCTGGGTCTAAATTGGTCACTGATATGCCCAAATGGGCCACTGAGAAACCCGTACAACATCCCCTGACTGCACCTGATGGACCAATGCCGTCCCCTCATGGGCCCACCACGGCTCTTGAATGGCCTCTTCAAGTCCCTGAAGCGCCTTTATTGGCCTAAATGGACCCCTGATTGGCTTATGTGGTCCCTAATGGTCCTATATGGCCCCCATGAGCCCTCAACGTCCCTAGACAGCCTTACATTATATGCCACCGGTCCCTGGTAGGCCTGCACTGGACCCAATGGGCCTATACCGACCCATAAAGGGCCCATGTCGAGCCCTCATGGGCCTCCGATGACCACACGCCGGCATGTGTGGCCCCATCAGCAGTGGTCCGTCTATCCCATGTACTTACGGTCTTTTTGGCCGATGTGACACCGGTAGTATATAGAAATGTCATGATTAAATGTCGTTATTATATAGTCAAAGGTCACGGAAAGAATATCCAAGCTCAAAAAATGGCCTCAAACCCAACAAAAACTGATACAAATCCCCTTCAAAAGTCATAAGTCAATGAAACGCCATAGGGGAATAGCTGCAGTCCCCCGCAATTTCGTCACGAGCATCGGGCCAATCAGCGTTGAGTATTGCCGAACGCTGATTGGTCGATTTCCGCTAGCTTGTAAATGCTGCTTGCGGATATAGTCTTGAACAAGTGAGGGTCGCGGCAACTAAATATTGCTTGTCACCACTTTTTCTTCGGGAGCGTTCTACCTGGTTTATATAGCCTTGAGCTGGATTCTTCGTCTTGCACTAGGTGGCAGCACTTCTTTTCCAAAATCAGTGTTTATCTTTCCAAAATCTTCATTTCCTCGCTGAGGAGTGAAATCGGCCTCATCGTTGTCAAAAATAGCAGAATCGTTGTCATTTTTAGCACGTGTGACAAAAATAGCACGTGCTAAAAATGACAACGATTGACCAAACCTCCCCCGACTGTTATGCGGTTGAATAACCTCCAAGATAATCTCTAATATTTATATACAATATTACCTCTAAACTCCGTGAAGCACGTTCAAGTGAGTGCGCAAATGTGAAGCAAATGTGAAGTTACCCAAAGTTACCCAAGAAGTTACCGAAGTTACGCCACGTGCTGTTCCACAAAATGCTTTATCATGCTGTTATGTTCGACAGAAGCGGCTAGCTGTCGCCTGCACGGAACGCATAGTTAATACCCTACGCATGTTGCCTGGCAACCACGTTTATAGCTGCTCACAGCAGCTCGCCGAACAGCAGACTGATTATTTATTTGCAATGATGGAGGAGCAGTAAAATGAACTGCCGTCTTTTACTGTATAAATTTTTTTACTTTTCCAAATATTATTCTCATTTAGATGTCGACTTGGAAGGACTGTTTTACTCATTTCTGCATAATAAATTCAAAGCCGTCAAGGGTTACTATCATTTTAACATTTTTTTAATGCATTTTACATGGCAGACGACAAGCATGCTAATATTTTATTGGTCGTTGAAGAGAAATAAATTGCAATATCATGTCATAATCAAACCGTCATCAATTAAAGAAAAGAAAAATTACGGCAGGGTGCTGTGTTTTGGTAGAAAACTGAATAGCTTGAGCTGATTGCAAGAGCTGTACAACACCACTATTGCAGTGCTTTAATAGCAAAAATCTGCTATGAATCAATACATTAATGGCGCTTATAAGACAAAATATGATTCATCGGGGAGTCCCCGCCAAGATTCTTTTTTTTTCATGACTAAGCGTTCAATCTTTATGCCACAATACTAACGAATAGTGTTTGTCTAATGAAACATCACCCTGCGGTTATTGATATTCTGGCTGGTCTGCACTTGCCACTCTGACTCTGCATTTCAATTTCATATTTTGATTTTCATGTCATTGTCATCCATCTGTAACTTTTGATTTTAAGTAGGTAATGCTGATACTATCATATCTTGATTCTTGATCTGTAGGTATCCATTCGTGCTTCACTATCCATCCATCCTGCGTCAAACATAAATTTATGTTTTCAGGTCTGCAATAATGTCATTGTCTGGCAAGACACCAGTGCAGGTCATTGATGAGAGTGTACTGTACGAGGAGTTGGAAAACTGCAGCTGCTTCAAGTTCATCGCCTTCAAAGAGCTGCGGATGCCATTCAGACATACTGGTTTCCTGTTGTTTTTTGATAATGTCCCCAAATACACCATTAATGTCAGGACAGGTAAGTTTAATTGTTGACATTAATTCATATAGATTATTATTGAAAATGTTTGTAAGGCTGAGCTACAATGTACATGACCATCCATGAATTACAATGAGGAAATGATGTGACCTTACCAAACATCCAAACCTTATATCCAGATGTAAGCATGGCAAAGGTGAAAGAGGTCAGCAAGACACACTAGCTAGAGTCATCTGTATCCCATACCAACCACTAACAAGGCTGGGAAATTATATCAGCCTGGACCAACAGGCTGGAAATCTGCACCAGCCTGCACTGAAGAAGACCAAGACCCGTAACTTTAGCCACAAAGATGTATATATGTGCACCATGTGATTAAACAAAGCTGCCGTAAAGGCCAGTTCTTTCCTGGCTGATCTCATTGTGCCTATCGTGCATCAGTTTTTAGACAATGCTCTAGCAACACAGTGGTTCAGCACAGTGGCACTGAGGGCCAGAACTGCTCCGCACAAAATCCGCACCACACCACTGACCAGCTAACTCTGGCTCTGCACCAAACAGTGGACAGAGTGCTGTATGATTGAGATGAGTTGCCTCCTACCTACGAGACATTGTTGATATTACCTGTTACCTGTTTGCAGTCTAGCCTCAAGTCATATCAATCATCACCTGCCCTAAAATCGTTTCATTATCCCCGGCGCCTTCACAGAGGACGACTCATGGTCTCACTGGCTGCAGAGTCTGGTGGTGGCGCCGGGCCGTACCACCGTCGAGTCAGCAGAGTCCCTGGGCAACGTCAAGTATGTGGGCCGTCCGGTGGTGCACGTGCTGAACTCTGATGAGGAGAGGGTTGCGGCCCGCTCCGACCTGAAAACCATGCTGGAGCCCAAACGGTGAGCATCTGTGATGTACGTTGAGTTGGTCAGTGTTCAATTGATACACTTATGGATCGCAAAATGATCATTTGGTTGATTGAGTATTTGGGTGTGTTAGTTTGGAATATTTGAATTTTTCATCAGTTTTTGCGTATTGCATGGGGTAATTTATTCATAGGCGTCGCCAGACATTTTCGATTGGGGGGGGGGGGGGGGCAAAATCAAGTTTTGTGTTAAATCTTGCCTTTCCCCAGCCGTTACTCACTCGTTTTACGTATCATTCGACGCGCAATGGTGCGAGGAATCCGATGGTGACAAAGTTTTCCTTCTAGCTATAGCATGTATTTTTTTACAAAAAAAACAAACTTTTGAAATTTCTGGACAAAAACGACCGTTAGAATACGTTAGAATTATTTATAGTCACCGTGAGAATTACAGTAGCTGCGAATCTGCGATTGCCCACGCACTGCAGAGGAACCCTGTGCAGACTCTCGTCGCTCATGATCATTACCCAGAAGAAGGTGAAAAACGCTCCATTTGAATCGGATCACCTCGCTAAAACCTCCATTCACGCATGCATGCCGAGGTTTTCCGTGAAATGCATATGGCTTATCCCAGCCGCCGATTGTAGCTAAGAATTGGGCATTCGGCAGAGACTGAGAGAATGTCGGAAGTATGAATCGGAAGTACATCATTCATCCTTGCTGCAGTGAGAAGAAGTGTTTTGTTCACTCGAGTGTGAACAAAAAGTTTCTGGTTTTTCGAGTGAAGGGAAGTGCTGCAAACGCGACCAAAAATATTCAACGGAACCAAACGTTACGCACGGCATAGCGGCAAGGGATCCCTTAGAGATAGGATTGCGACTTCCAGGCCATTTCAGGCCACTCAGGGTCAGTGTGGACTCTCAGTAGCCTGCTTAGGATCCCGGAGATCGGCGTGGGTCACTTCAAATATTTACATGTATGTGGTGCTTTAGGACTTTCCGAGCCTAAGGTGGGCCCGGAAAGCCCTTTAGGGCACACGAGCTTTCAGAAGCCAGTGTGGGCGGCGGGCGCTAAGAGACTAGGCCCAGGGTGAGCCTGGAGCCCTCGAATAACAGTGTGAACCGTCGGGGTCTGCGTCGAATCCTTAAGAACCCTACGTTGGTAGGGACATAAGAAACATGTGTTGCGGCCCTCAGAGGGACACGTGAATTGTGACCCCTCAGATGCCGGGTTGGGGTTAGTAAAGTCTGTCGCCTCAAAAGTTCGGCTGAACTAGCATAGGCCAGTTGAGGTTTTCAGAAATTTTCGAAGGCATCCTCAAAGATTCGTGTGGCCCTTCAGATGTCTACGTATGTATAATGTCCTCAAAGATCCCTGTATGGGCCCTCTAGAGAACATGGACACCAGTGGGACTCTCAGAGGCCGGTTTGGGCCCTCCGAAAGCTTCTTAGAGCTCAGTGGACCTCCTTAGGAGCCTGTGTGAAAAGCAAGCTCATGAGCCCTGCGACACTTGAACGGGACTTGTGCCTGTCGCAGACATTTGACGAGAGTTGAGAAAGGCCCCGAAGATTTCGTGTCACGCTTTGAACGAAAATTATGTGTCAGCACTCCAAAATTTATGAAAATCAGCTACAAAATGTAATAAAGAACCAACTAGGAACATGGCATGAGTCATGGCATTGACATTTCCGAGCCTGGAGTCGGAGTCTTGAAGATTTTGGCGACTGCGACTCTGACTTTGGTTTGAACTGCACGCTCCAACAGAGTCTTACCTCACAGGCATTCTCAGAAAGGTACCTCCATTTTTTCCCGACTCCAAAATCTCATCGGATCTGTATCGATCTCAGGGGGTGCCCGGTCCGAGGTTGGGGGGGCAAGCTGCCCCGCTTGCCCCCCCGTGGCGACGCTAATGGATTTATTTATTCCTCGATCTGGCACAGTTACTGGACATTGGGAGTTGGGACACTCTCGTGCTGTCATTTATCTCACGCCGCCTCTGCCGCCTAGGTGGTACTCTCTGCTGTGGCAGAACTGCCGTAACCACGTGCAGGGCATCATGGGTCGGCTGGATGACCGCCACCCGGGCCTGAGGGACGCTGGACACCGAGAACTGCAGCAGGTGGGGACACGGGCAGTGGGGAATGTGGGGACAGGCAGGGGGAATGTGGGGGACGGGCAGTGGGACGCCAGACACCCGTTGCTGCAACAGGTTGGGATGGGCAATCGGGAATGTCATGGGTGGTGAATGGTGATAGGAAAAGGTGGAATAGTGAGAAGACCGACGCGACGAATGGGGAACGGAAGACTAGATTAAGGCTAACTGATACTATAACATACAATTTGAGCAATTTGTGTGTTTGAACTTTGAACCTCTGTGTAGTTATTTAACTTTTCCTTCAGGAAATTTTATCGTATTTCGCACTAAAGTGCGTCCTGTGCGTTCCAGATCCACGCTGAAGACTGGACACTTTTGACTGTCATCGGCCTGCTGGTCATGATTCCGATAGCCATCGTGCTCAAGAGATAAGTTGCGGACTCTTCCGACTCGGCTCCACTCACCCGGTCACTGAGCACGATACTACGAACAAAGATATTGATCTGACACTTGATACCAGTTGATCATCTGGCTATCTGTTCTGCTGATGCCAGTTTTTTATGAGTCCCAGGCTGTCACCGACGTGCCGTGTTCGATACCACGTAGAGATGCCAGTCCGGTGCTGATTTCTGATGATTTGATAAGGCCAGTAAACGAGATGCTGTCTTGTCTTGTGACCTGCCGGCCTCTTGTGCGCTGCGATCTCGATGTTGGCCAGTAGCAAAAGAGCGGGGTAAGGGTGGGGTAGATACTCTTCACCCGATAATCTCATGCCTAATGTACACCTTTGGCCCAGTAATGTCAGCGTTCGAATGCTGCAATTATAATTTGGCAAAATTAATACCCGTCGAAATCAATGACTTTTCATTGCGCCCGAGACAATCTCAGACGATTGGGTTAAGTATTTAACACGGTTTATTAATCAGCTTACTTTTTCTTCGCCTTGCTTCGCCTGCCCACTTGCCTACCCTGTCCTTAGCGCTGTGTTTAAGATAAGTATCTGTATATGTGACCTTTCTTCGTTAGTTTTTAAGCCACATCGCCAAGTGCGATACTGTTAGTAAGGAATCTGTTGAAAGTATCGTAAAGTATCGTTTCACATCACCGACGACCCGAGCGCTGTTTGGTGTCTATATTTTTAGCAACATTTTATCAGTTTTCCCCAGTATTGAAGTTACTGTCTAGCCCAAGGTCTGGCCTTTCTCGGCCTTTTATCGGTCAGCCCAAGTGAGTTTCACCAATGGGAAGCCGGAAAACGCCAGCAGTCTGAAAAATAACGACACTGGGCAGCGCTCAAGTGCATTTAGTTCCGTCATATCCGCTGGTTGTGAGTCGCTTCTCGCGACATCAATAGGCACATGTGGTAAGTTCTTCCTGACAGAAAATATGAAAAACGGGGCCTCGTTCGATGTCTTCAGTGCCTCCTAGATCTGCCATGCTGCCAGTTTATTGGGCGCCTGAGACTGAGCTCATGGAGTTGGTCAAAATCCACAAGGCTGATGTAGTCTCTATTCATAATTTTGCTTAGGTATACCTATTATCAAAAGAGTGTATTTCGGGAATTAACTAATCTCGTATGGACGTATACAAGTCTCTAGATAAGCATATCAGCAATCGCAAATTATGATGCATGTCATATAAAAAAAAATCACTGGTGGCATGGCGACACCGAACGGGGCCCCTAGGACACCAGGCTCGTTTCCTGGTCGTGACGATGCTCGTCTCCACTCACCGGAGCGCGATCATCGTCAGATGATCTGTGATTGATCGTGATCACCGTACTGGCTGGCTTCGTGCCCCGTGATGACGCTTAATTTGTACCGCGAAACAGTGATATTGGGTGGTGTAATGCGTGCATGAGTGGTGTAAATCGCACAAAGGGGTTTGTCTCACACTCATGTGCCAGTGCCAGTCAGAGTCACATCGTTCGATGTGATGCTTTGTATATACAACTTAGAGCGGGAGTTGCACCAAAGGCCTTGTGTGGTGGATGCGTCCATGCGTCCACATCCTGCCAGTTGGAGGTAAAGGGGATTTATGCCACGTGTATAAGGTGATCTAGTGTTTTAACTGTTGACTGCGACTCAGGACAAATTTTGGGTCTGCATATCGGCACTCAAATCGGTCTCACTCAGTATGGGGCGTCACATCAACACTCAACAGGCCAGGTTGCATTTAATGCCTCACGGTACAACTTGGATCATTAATGAAAGTGGTCTTTCGCCGTCAAACTTCAATGGTATACCAAAGCGAAGATCAACCGTGTAACCGTCTTCATGCATAATGTGTCAGCGTCGGTACGAAGTCGCCTGCTAGGAACAAATTCTGCTATATTTCCAAGAATTTGATTCCTAAAACTAGGTAGTAAGTTCTCACTTCTCGCTCTTTGAACTTTTGCTTATTAGTTATTTGCTCCCTGTGAATGTTGGTGATGAAACATCAATCGCTTGTATTTTTGGCGTGTATTTTTTCTTCGAAGTGGCAGATCTGTGGTCTTCGCCTGTTGAGAGGAGTTCCTTTCTGTAAATTAGTGCAGTTCTGGTGATGGACTGGCTTCAGTTGTTCAACCCGATGCAATACATGCTAATCGCTCTTTCACCCAGTTGGGTTTTTCATCAATCTTGTTCAGAAAGTCGAGATGTGTAGGCAATGTCTCGTCGCGTAGTGTCGCACAGTATGGTAGGCACATTCACGCTGCTACGGCCTACGGACGTCCGAGTTCAAGAAGATTGCTGACATTCATGAATATGGGACAGTTTCCAAACCATGCTATTCAGTTTCACTGCATACACTTAGCTCTCTTGCTATCGAACGCTGCCATGGAACGCGCCAAGGTACTTGTTCACGCCAAATCCAACCATTCCCTCCGTCCTCGCTGTTTGCATTGATTGGCATTTGGCATTGCAGCAGTACAGCCTTTGAGCCTTTACCCTTGCACATTTTTGCTTGCACAAGAGCCAGCTGTCTGGTACCATCATCAAATAACCTGGTTTCTGATTAAAAGGTGGCCGACGGACAGTGATTGGGGACCAAGGGGACTCGCGAATGTCGCAGCGCCGTTATGCGTTCACCAGCGTAACCTCAGCTTGCGCGGCCGGCCGAAAGATGTCAGGCCAGTTCCAGTGAGCGAAAGATGGGGTACCCAGTGGCGCCCATAAAAACGGCCTAGCTATGATTCGATAGGGTGTCGGTGTCGGATAGGTCATCCCCGGCAGTACGATCAGCACGTGTACCTGCTGGCTGCGGACCATCTGAACGGACTGCATCTCGGCGGCACAGGCAGACTCAAAGCGAGCGAGCCAGCGGAGCCAGCTCGTCTTCAGAACACCGCGCACTTCGCGCCGCTTGCTTCGCCTGTCTCACCATCGACAGCTTCTAGTTGAAGCGTGATGTGGTGCCAGCTGTGTAGCATCACCAGTATTGGGCCAAAGTCAAGGCCAAGGTAGAAGTAGGGCTGCAGTGGTGGCAGAATACTGCCCAATTGCCCAGTATTCGTTCTTTATTTTGCCTTTTTTCTGGAACTTCTTTTTTTGCAGCTCTTTAGCATCAGCAGACAGCAATTACCAGTAACCTTGATGTAACGGAAGTTGGCACAGATTCAGCACAGATTCAGCACAGCACAGATTCGGTAGGGGGAAAAAAGGCCCCGGTAAAGGGAAACCTTTATGACCCGTTTTCCCCTAGAAATGACGTCACAAAGAGGTAAAAATGGGTATCAATCGAAAGCTCTCGTTTACCCAGACACAGTCCTGCAGGAAAATTCCACTTTTTCCCCATAGGAAAGTTTGTACGGGAAAATCAAAATTTTGGGTCAATGGGGGGTCCCCCCCGATTTCGTTCAAAATCGGCACACAGGTGCCCCACCACCAGCCGAGAAACTTTCCCCAAAACGGTCCCCGTTGCATTGACGTTTAAGGCCCGTAAAGCCCCCTAGACTCGTAAAATATCCGTATAATCGCCTTTGTACGGACAAAAAAGTGGTGCTGTGGTAAAAATGGAAATCAATCGAAAGCTCTCGTTTACCCAGACACAGTCCTGCAGGAAAATTCCACTTTTTCCCCATAGGAAAGTTTGTACGGGAAAATCAAAATTTTGGGTCAATGGGGGGTCCCCCCCGATTTCGTTCAAAATCGGCACACAGGTGCCCCACCACCAGCCGAGAAACTTTCCCCAAAACGGTCCCCGTTGCATTGACGTTTAAGGCCCCTAAAGCCCCCTAGACTCGTAAAATATCCGTATAATCGCCTTTGTACGGACAAAAAAGTGGTGCTGTGGTAAAAATGGGTATCAATCGAAAGCTCTCGTTTACCCAGACACAGTCCTGCAGGAAAATTCCACTTTTTCCCCATAGGAAAGTTTGTACGGGAAAATCAAAATTTTGGGTCAATGGGGGGTCCCCCCCCGATTTCGTTCAAAATCGGCACACAGGTGCCCCACCACCAGCCGAGAAACTTTCCCCAAAACGGTCCCCGTTGCATTGACGTTTAAGGCCCGTAAAGCCCCATAGACTCGTAAAATATCCGTAAAATCGTTTTTGTACGGACAAAAAAGTGGTGCTGTGGTAAAAATGGGTATCAATCGAAAGCTCTCGTTTACCCAGACACAGTCCTGCAGGAAAATTCCACTTTATCCCCATAGGAAAGTTTGTACGGGAAAATCAAAATTTTGGGTCAATGGGGGGTCCCCCCCGATTTCGTTCAAAATCGGCACACAGGTGCCCCACCACCAGCCGAGAAACTTTCCCCAAAACGGTCCCCGTTGCATTGACGTTTAAGGCCCGTAAAGCCCCCTAGACTCGTAAAATATCCGTATAATCGCCTTTGTACGGACAAAAAAGTGGTGCTGTGGTAAAAATGGGTATCAATCGAAAGCTCTCGTTTACCCAGACACAGTCCTGCAGGAAAATTTCACTTTTTCCCCATAGGAAAGTTTGTACGGGAAAATCAAAATTTTGGGTCAACGGGGGGTCCCCCCCGATTTCGTTCAAAATCGGCACACAGGTGCCCCACCACCAGCCGAGAAACTTTCCCCAAAACGGTCCCCGTTGCATTGACGTTTAAGGCCCGTAAAGCCCCCTAGACTCGTAAAATATCCGTATAATGGCCTTTGTACGGACAAAAAAGTGGTGCTGTGGTAAAAATGGGTATCAATCGAAAGCTCTCGTTTACCCAGACACAGTCCTGCAGGAAAATTCCACTTTTTCCCCATAGGAAAGTTTGTACGGGAAAATCAAAATTTTGGGTCAATGGGGGGTCCCCCCCGATTTCGTTCAAAATCGGCACACAGGTGCCCCACCACCAGCCGAGAAACTTTCCCCAAAACGGTCCCCGTTGCATTGACGTTTAAGGCCCGTAAAGCCCCCTAGACTCGTAAAATATCCGTATAATGGCCTTTGTACGGACAAAAAAGTGGTGCTGTGGTAAAAATGGGTATCAATCGAAAGCTCTCGTTTACCCAGACACAGTCCTGCAGGAAAATTCCACTTTTTCCCCATAGGAAAGTTTGTACGGGAAAATCAAAATTTTGGGTCAATGGGGGGTCCCCCCCGATTTCGTTCAAAATCGGCACACAGGTGCCCCACCACCAGCCGAGAAACTTTCCCCAAAACGGTCCCCGTTGCATTGACGTTTAAGGCCCGTAAAGCCCCCTAGACTCGTAAAATATCCGTAAAATCGTTTTTGTACGGACAAAAAAGTGGTGCTGTGGTAAAAATGGGTATCAATCGAAAGCTCTCGTTTACCCAGACACAGTCCTGCAAGATAATTCCACTTTTTCCCCATAGGAAAGTTTGTACGGGAAAATCAAAATTTTGGGTCAATGGGGGTCCCCCCCGATTTCGTTCAAAATCGGCACACAGGTGCCCCACCACCAGCCGAGAAACTTTCCCCAAAACGGTCCCCGTTGCATTGACGTTTAAGGCCCGTAAAGCCCCCTAGACTCGTAAAATATCCGTATAATCGCCTTTGTACGGACAAAAAAGTGGTGCTGTGGTAAAAATGGAAATCAATCGAAAGCTCTCGTTTACCCAGACACAGTCCTGCAGGAAAATTCCACTTTTTCCCCATAGGAAAGTTTGTACGGGAAAATCAAAATTTTGGGTCAACGGGGGGTCCCCTCCGATTTCGTTCAAAATCGCCACACAGGTGCCCCACCACCAGCCGAGAAACTTTCCCTAAAACGGTCCCCGTTGCATTGACGTTTAAGGCCCGTAAAGCCCCCTAGACTCGTAAAATATCCGTAAAATCGCCATTGTACGGACAAAAAAAGTGGTGCTATGGTAAAAATGGGTATCAATCGAAAGCTCTCGCTTACCCAGACACAGTCCTGCAGGAAAATTCCACTTTTTCCCCATAGGAAAGTTTTTACGGGAAATTCAAAATTTTGGGTCAATGGAGGCCCCCCCCCCCCGATTTCGTTCAAAATCGGCACACAGGTGTCGATATTTTACGGATTTATTTTAAGGATTTTACGGATATTTTACGAGTCTAGGGGGCTTTACGGGCCTTAAACGTCAATGCAACGGGGACCGTTTTGGGGAAAGTTTCTCGGCTGGTGGTGGGGCACCTGTGTGCCGATTTAGAACGAAATCGGGGGGGGACCCCCCATTGACCCAAAATTTTGATTTTCCCACACAAACTTTCCTATGGGGAAAAAGTGAAATTTTCCTGCAGGACTGTCTCTGGGTAAACGAGAGCTTTCGATTGATACCCATTTTTACCATAGCACCACTTTTTTGTCCGTACAAAGGCGGTTTTACGGATATTTTACGAGTCTAGGGGACTTGACGGGCCTTAAACGTCAATGCAACGGGGACCGTTTTGGGGAAAGTTTCTCGGCTGGTGGTGGGGCACCTGTGTGCCGATTTTGAACGAAATCGGGGGGGACCCCCATTGACCCAAAATTTTGATTTTCCCGTACAAACTTTCCTATGGGGAAAAAGTGAAATTTTCCTGCAGGACTGTGTCTGGGTAAACGAGAGCTTTCGATTGATACCCATTTTTACCATAGCACCACTTTTTTGTCCGTACAAAGGTTATTTTACGGATATTTTACGAGTCTAGGGGGCTTTACGGGCCTTAAACGTCAATGCAACGGGGACCGTTTTGGGGAAAGTTTCTCGGCTGGTGGTGGGGCACCTGTGTGCCGATTTTGAACGAAATCGGGGGGGACCCCCCATTGACCCAAAATTTTGATTTTCCCGTACAAACTTTCCTATGGGGAAAAAGTGAAATTTTCCTGCAGGACTGTGTCTGGGTAAACGAGAGCTTTCGATTGATACCCATTTTTACCATAGTACACTTTTTTGTCCGTACAAAGGCGATTTTACGGATATTTTACGAGTCTAGGGGACTTTACGGGCCTTAAACGTCAATGCAACGGGGACCGTTTTGGGGAAAGTTTCTCGGCTGGTGGTGGGGCACCTGTGTGCCGATTTTCAACGAAATCGGGGGGGGGACCCCCCATTGACCCAAAATTTTGATTTTCCCGTACAAGCTTTCCTATGGGGAAAAAGTGAAATTTTCATGCAGGACTGTGTCTGGGTAAACGAGAGCTTTCGATTGATACCCATTTTTACCATAGCACCACTTTTTTGTCCGTACAAAGGCGATTTTACGGATATTTTACGAGTCTAGGGGGCTTTACGGGCCTTAAACGTCAATGCAACGGGAACCGTTTTGGGGAAAGTTTCTCGGCTGGTGGTGGGGCACCTGTGTGCCGATTTTGAACGAAATCGGGGGGGACCCCCCATTGACCCAAAATTTTGATTTTCCCGTACAAACTTTCCTATGGGGAAAAAGTGAAATTTTCCTGCAGGACTGTGTCTGGGTAAACGAGAGCTTTCGAATGATACCAATTTTTACCATAGCACCACTTTTTTGTCCGTACAAAGGCGATTTTACGGATATTTTACGAGTCTAGGGGGCTTTACGGGCCTTAAACGTCAATGCAACGGGGACCGTTTTGGGGAAAGTTTCTCGGCTGGTGGTGGGGCACCTGTGTGCCGATTTTGAACGACATCGGGGGGGACCCCCCATTGACCCAAAATTTTGATTTTCCCGTACAAACTTTCCTATGGGGAAAAAGTGAAATTTTCCTGCAGGACTGTGTCTGGGTAAACGAGAGCTTTCGATTGATACCCATTTTCACCATAGCACCACTTTTTTGTCCGTACAAAGGCGATTTTACGGATATTTTACGAGTCTAGGGGGCTTTACGGGCCTTAAACGTCAATGCAACGGGGACCGTTTTGGGGAAAGTTTCTCGGCTGGTGGTGGGGCACCTGTGTGCCGATTTTCAACGAATTTTTGTCCGTACAAAGGCGATTTTACGGATATTTTACGAGTCTAGGGGGCTTTACGGGCCTTAAACGTCAATGCAACGGGGACCGTTTTGGGGAAAGTTTCTCGGCTGGTGGTGGGGCACCTGTGTGCCGATTTTGAACGAAATCGGGGGGGGACCCCCCATTGACCCAAAATTTTGATTTTCCCGTACAAACTTTCCTATGGGGAAAAAGTGAAATTTTCCTGCAGGACTGTGTCTGGGTAAACGAGAGCTTTCGATTGATACCCATTTTCACCATAGCACCACTTTTTTGTCCGTACAAAGGCGATTTTACGGATATTTTACGAGTCTAGGGGGCTTTACGGGCCTTAAACGTCAATGCAACGGGGACCGTTTTGGGGAAAGTTTCTCGGCTGGTGGTGGGGCACCTATGTGCCGATTTTGAACGAAATCGGGGGGGACCCCCCATTGACCCAAAATTTTGATTTTCCCGTACAAACTTTCCTATGGGGAAAAAGTGAAATTTTCCTGCAGGACTGTGTCTGGGTAAACGGAAGCTTTCGATTGATACCCATTTTCACCATAGCACCACTTTTTTGTCCGTACAAAGGCGATTTTACGGATATTTTACGAGTCTAGGGGGCTTTACGGGCCTTAAACGTCAATGCAACGGGGACCGTTATGGGGAAAGTTTCTCGGCTGGTGGTGGGGCACCTGTGTGCCGATTTTGAACGAAATCGGGGGGGACCCCCCATTGACCCAAAATTTTGATTTTCCCGTACAAACTTTCCTATGGGGAAAAAGTGAAATTTTCTTGCAGGACTGTGTCTGGGTAAACGAGAGCTTTCGATTGATACCCATTTTTACCTCTTTGTGACGTCATTTCTAGGGGAAAACGGGTCATAAAGGTTTCCCTCTACCGGGGCCTTTTTTCCCCCTACCGAATCTGTGCTGTGCTGAATCTGTGCTGAATCTGTGCCAACTTCCGTTACATGTAACCTTGAACTTTGCGAATTGTTTGGACTTATTGTTTGGATACGATTGTGGTGCAGCAGAAATATTTTTTTTTTCGGCACATTATAGAGTTCAGTGATTTTCCGTGATTTTTTTTTTTCTTGGTTTTCCATAGGTATTATTTTTTAAATGGCAGAGGAGTGTAGGTATATAGACGACATCGAGGACGACATTCATGCACGAGGATGCACGCTAAGTCCTCACCCTTAGTCACGCTAAGTCAAAGTTAAGTGTTAGGTGCAGTGTCTGATGATTCACACGTTTTCACTTATCCTGCTGACTTTTTCATTTTTCAAGGATATTACATGGGCCTGTGCCCTGTATTGTTGATGTTATTTGACGTTGGGGCTGGTCAAGGTGGCCTGGTATTAGTAACTTAAGCGACACAGCGTTGCGAGGAATATCTAGATATCTAGGTAATTTCTCGACTGTCGACATCTGGTATCTTCGTGGGACGCCAAACGTGCCAAACTTACTAATGCCGCCCTTAGGGCACCTCTCTGGCCTCTCCTGAACAGCCACCTATTTGACTATGGCTTAACCTTTGCCCTCTTATATCATCATTCATCGTAAATAAATACATTCTTATCACCCATCTAACATTTTCTAATGTTTCTTTATGCCAGGCTGTTTTTCTGAATCATCAGCATGTTTTTTTCAATAATCTGATCATCCTGAATTATTTACAGGTAAAGGGCCTTTGTGATGCCTCAAATTCATCTTATTTAACTGCTGTTATCATACAGTGATGCCCAGTAGGGGATAGACAAGATGCCAGAAGGACCACCACTGAGAGTTGTAGCACTAGCCATCTAATGATGGAAGAGAATGACGGCAGCTCACCGGATGGTGCCATTGGAGCCTTTCTGGACAGCTGCTACAAGGGCGATCAGGCAGCCATAGCATCTCTGCTGGAGAAAGGTGTGCAACATTTCTTTTGTTAGATTGAAAAAATAAAGACAAGATGCTCAATTTTCTATCATAGCTTTGCAGTGAAGGTGATTAGTAAATTTGACCTGAATATATTGTCAACAACAAACTTGCTGAGTGCCAATGTCAGTTAAAGTTTGATATTGTGACCTTTGCTATGATACGCTGTTCTGTTTCTTGCTACTGCAGTGTCTGACAGTCCTCCCCTCTCCTCAGGAGTGGATGTGAATGGCTCGGACGCCGTCTACACCACTCCACTTCAGGTGGCCGCCGCCTCCGGTCACGAGACCCTGGTACAGCTACTGATGGCGCGCGGTGCACAGCTGGAGGCGGCCAACCTGTACGGATGGACGCCACTAATGCACGCGGCTCGCCACGGCCACGCGGGGGTGGTGCGGCTACTACTGCAGCGGGGAGCCGACGGCCGCAGATGTAACCGGCTTGGTACGTGCTGCGTCGGGGTTCGGGGAAAGGGAGTAGATCGCGGAAAGGCTGAGTATTCACAAAGGAGTAGCGTGAAGTGTGGTACAAAAGATAGGTGGGGCATTCCACGATAGATCGTACCAGGCCCGTCACCCTCATCTCTCAGATTTTAATGAAAATCGGTCCTAGGGGTAATCATAGGCCCCAAAGACGCCTGGCAAAATATCAGACTTCTCAGATCAAAACTTTTTGAGTTATATTGCATTACATTTTTTTAACTTCGGTATGTAACGGTGAGTTTGATGGTCTATAACTCAAGAACGGGTTAAGCAACCAACCAAAAAGTTAACAACACTAAGCTTGCGATGAATCAAAAATTAATATTACAATTCAAAAATTCCAAAGAAAAAATTTCATTGTTGAGCAAAAACCTTAATCTTTTTTCATTTGCCTCTAATGACTTTTGGGACCAAAATTTTTCACATTTTTATTTTTTCAAAATAATATTCATGTCATTGCAAATCGACATGCAAAAAATTAGAAAGGTGTTCTTTCTATTAGTTCCTCATTTTCCCGCAAACAAAATGGGTTTCGGAGGGGTTGATACGACCCCAGCACGCCGTTTCGCTTCTAATAGAGCTAGAGCCTCGCGGAAAAAACGGGCGTGTGTGCCGTTACAAGTCGCAGCGATTGGTACCCGATTTTAAGGTCTCAGGTTAACCGGTAGCGTCTGAGGTCAGGTCACGTGACTGAAGTTACGGGTTCGGTTTTTAGTAAATAACTTCGCAAAAAATGGCCGCAGAGCCGCGATTTTGGCATCATTGTGTTCGCCTAGCTCAGGTGCATCGAATGGTATACTTTTTGCTAGGGTGAGGTCAACTTAAGTAGTTGACCTCGGGTCAAGGTCAGTTCAGAGCCCCTCAGGTCACGAAGCTGGGCAAAGGGTATCATATGGCATATCATTCGATTCGGAAGGTCTTCCCGAGTCCATTGGTGGCTTTCCCGACTCTCTAGCTCTATTTGATCGGGAGTTATTGACGAAAAACTCGTACGACCCTAGTGATGTCATAAATGACGTCACGCAAGGTTAACAATGCAAAAGTAAAGCATTGGACTTTGCAAGGAGTGCATGAAATCACGATATCATGTACGTGGGATAGTTTTAGATCATTCTCGGCGCCAAAATAACAGTTTTTATATTTCCCCATTGATTTATAACAGTGATGTCACGTGACCGACCTGACCTCATGTAACCTTGAAAATTCCCAGATATACAAGTTGTGGGACCTCTGGAGGACACCATGTATGCGTCCTGTAACCAGGGGCGGTCGCAGACTTGGAGTTTGGGGGGGGGGCCAACTTGGCAAAGGGGCCCCTGCGCTGACCCGGGGGGCCCGGTGCTAGCTCAAAGGGGCCCACGGGCGTAGTGCACGGGTACAGAAATCCAGGCCATGACCGGTGAAGCGGGGGGGGGGGGGGTAGGGAGCGGCACCCGAGCGGAGGCTCATTGCGAGCTTTGAGGGTGTACAATGTCGAAAAGGTACCGATAAGTGCATTTTGAATTATTGATATTGTCTAATTCACGCAACTGTGAATGGACTACCGCAAAAGTAAAGGCGGCTTAGGCGGCTAACTTTGCTATTTTCTAAGATCATCGTGCTAAAACTTTTGACAGTGGGTCCTCGGTATCTGTTCACTGTTCAATCACATGTGTTCCGTTTCATCTTCTCTCTTTTTTTACTGGGCACAAATGTAAGTTTTGAAGACCATTACAGTATCAAATGCTTCGAAAGATGGATAGTGGGCAAAATATCCTAAATTTGTCGTGCTGCATGGAAAGTAGTGTTGCTGAGAAAAGGGGGTTTTGTTCTAGATTATTGTGGATGCAGAATACATTGTCTGCACCCACTGCAGAATTGTGTTTGGTGCAACTGCGCCCACTGCACCCATGGTTCCTACACTTATGGGCCCATCGATAGCGCTTAGGCGATACCTATCGCCTAGAGGCTGCAATGGGGCCCTTAGAGTACGGTGTCAGACCCCCCAAAGGCCGGCGTTGGACCCAAGGGTCAGCGAAGGGTCTCAAAGGCCCCAGGTAGGACCCCAGAGGCTGATGTGGGCCTTCAGAGGCAAGTGCGTGACCCCCGAAGGTAAGGCTTGAGCCCCCCAGAGAACATAATACGGCCATCAGTGGCCGGTGTAGAGACCTCATAGGCGGCCAGTTTGGGGCCCCTCAGAGGCTAGTGTGGGGCCTGAGGTGTCGGCATGAGACACTTAAAGACCGTTATGGGTCCTCAGAAGCCGGCATCGATCCTTCAGAAGCCAGTACGGGGCCCTCAGAGGCACATAAGGGTCAGTTTGGGTCCCAGAGACAGAAATGGGACCATCAGAGGCCGGTGTGGGACCTAGGCTGGTTTGGGCCCTTAGGGGCCAGTTTAGGGCCCTCAGAGACCAGTACAGGGCCTGCAAAAGGCAGTTTGAGACCATCAGAGACCAAATTGGGCACTCAGAGGCAAATGTGGGTCCTTACAGGCCAGCATGGAGCCCTCAGAGGTTAGCGTGGTGCCCTAAAAGACCGACATGGGCCGGCGTTGGACCCCAGAGGCCAGTAGAGGGCCCTTAAAGGCCGAGATGGGCCCTCAGAGGCCGATGCGGGCCCTTACAGACCGGCATCGGGTCTTTAGAGGCTCGTGCGGGGTCCTCAGAGGCTAAGGTGGGTACTTACAGGCCAGCACGAGCTGTCAGAGGTCAGTGTGGGGCCCTAAAAGACCGGCATGGGCCGGCGTTGGACCCCAGAGGCCAACAGAAGGCCCTCAAAGGCCAAGATGGGTCCTCAGAAGCCGATGCTGACCCTTAGAGGCCGGCATCGGGTCTTCAGAATCCAGTGCGGGGGCCCTCAGAGGCTAATGTGGGCCCTTACAGGCCAGCATGGGGCCCTCAAAGGTCAGAATGGGACCCTAAAAGACTGGCATTTGCCGGCGTTATACCCCAGAGGCAGTAGAGGGCCCTCAAAAGTCAAGATGGGCCCTCAGAGGCCGATGCGGGCCCTTAGAGGCCGGCATCGGGTCTTCAGAATTCAGTGCGGGGCCCATAGAGGCTAATGTGTGTCCTTACAGGCCAGCATGGGGCCCTCAGAGGTCAGTGTGGGGCCCTAAAAGACTGGCATGGGCCGGCGTTGGACCCCAGAGGCCAGCGGAGGGCCCTCAAAGGCCAAGGTGGGCCCTCAGACGCCGATGCGGGCCCTGAGCGGCCGGCATTGGGTCTTCAGAATCCAGTGCGGGGGGCCTCAGAGGCTAATGTGGGTCCTTACAGGCCAGCATGGGCCCTTAGAGGTCAGTTTTGGGCCCTAAAAGGCCGGCAAGGGCCGGCATTGGACCCCAGAGACCAGCGGAGGGCCCTCAGAGGTCAAGATGGGCCCCCAGAGGCCGATGCGGGCTCTTAGAGACCAACATCGGGTCTTCAGAATCCAGTGCGGGGCCCTCAGAGACACTTAAAGGCTGGTCTTGGGACTCGAGAGACAGAAATGAGGCCATCAGAGGCCGGAATGAGGCTCTCAGACGCCGGTTGGGCCCCTGAGACCGGTTTAGGGGCCCTCAAAGGCCAGTGGAGGGCCCTCAGAGGTCAATTTGGGTCCTCAGCGGTCAATGTGGACGCTTGACCGCCACTGAAGGGCCCTCCGACGTCAGTGTAGGACCCTCAAAGACTGGTATGGGAGCTGTTAATAGCTGGCGTGGGTTTCTCGAGCCTCGTGACAATCGAATACGGGCCAGGGCCCCATACGGCCATGGGGGCCCATCGGTTGTTTGGGGGGGGGGGGCCAAATGATATGATGGCCCCCCCTGATTTGCCTTTGGGGGGGGCCATGGCCCTGATGGCCCCCCCCCCCTGCGACCGCCACTGCCTGTAACTTCCATCTCGGACAGCTATGGTCATGGGCGTCCAAAACACTGTCAGAACCAAACAGCCTTTTTCACCCTCGCGCTTATGGGAAAGAGGGTTGAATGAACCCTCTTTTCACTTTTTTCAGATGACTCAGACTTGAATTGAAATTTCAGTAACCCGTGATGTCACTAGGCAACTTTACCACGCCATTTGTAAGCTCCCCTCCCGAAATCACTATTCGAAACCGTTATCGTGACGTAAAATAAATACATTTATAGAAAGAACACCTTCCTAATTTTTCGCATACTTCTTAACAATGAGCCAAATATTTTTTTAAAGAAATAAAAATTCAAAAAAATTTGGTCCCAAAGTCCAAAAAATACAAATGAAAGAAAACTCGATATGTCATATATCAAAAATAGCGTATTTTTCGAAATTTCAAAAATACATATTAATCTCTGTTTCATTGCAAGTTCAATGTTATATTGCATTTGGCATTTGAATAATCCGTCTTAGAGTTACAGCCCGCCAAACTTAGCGCTGCAAAGCAAGATCCAAAAAATGTTATACACCATAACTAAAAAAATACTTATCTGATAAGCCTGAAATTGTTACAGGTGTATTCAGATCCCCTGATTACCCCTGAGACCAATTCTCGTCAAATTTCGAGAGATGAGGGTGTCAAATTGGAAAAAAGTGGTACGATCTATCGTGGAATGCCCCCTATGTATTGTTAATGATTGTAGTTTTAATACTTATTCATTGTTGCCTAGGTGTGCCGACTGCCGTCTTGTCTGCTGACCAATTCTCATGTCGCGTGATTTGTTTGTAGTAATTGTCGTACCTCTACGTGTCGGCGTGTGACCGTCTCACCACTGTTTCGATAGGAGCCTCCCCGCTGCTGCTGGCTGCCGTCAGCGGTCACCTGTCCACGGTGTCTGCACTGCTGGAGGCAGGCGCTGCCGATGCACCACCGGCGAGTCCAAACCCACAGCCGCGCACGGATAGGGGCGCACAGCCCGGCAAGGAGAGAGTGGCGGCACAACCTGGCAAAGGAAGAGCGGTCGCACAGCCCGGCAAAGAGAAAGCTATAAAACAGCACAGCAAGGAAAGGGTTACAGCTCAGCTTAGCACGGAGAAAATCCCCGCACAGCCCATCAAAGAGAGAGCAATGACACAGCCTGGCAAAGGGAGGGCTACCGCGCAGATAAGCAAAGAGAGAGCGACCGCACAGGTCGGCAAGGATAGAGCGACTGCACAGCCCAGCAAGGAAAGAGCAGTCGCACAGCCTGGCAAGGAGAGGCCCGCCGCTGAGAAACCGGCGTGGACCCCTCGCCGATGTCCGACCGCGTCTCTGGCGGCCACATCTGCGGCCACACTGGCGGCGGCGGCTCACGGTAACAACTCTGTGCTGCGGCTGCTTCTGGACCGCGGCGCCGCGCTGGACGTTCAGCTTCCTGAGCTCGGTGAGTAGGACGTGGTTATTCTCTGAGCGGTGAGTCGCGTAGCTCGCTATGCAGCCGGAGGATATTGCACACTCAGTTGCCCAGTGCTTTGAGGATGAGAGCTTCATTGCTCGTCTACATGAGAAGCTGCTGGCGCCGATCATTAGCCGGTGTGTGACGGAGGCCGTCCAGACTCGTGACCGAGAGATCGAGCAGCTCCGAGCCCAGCTGTCTGCCGCACAGAACGATATCGACAGTCTCGAGCAGTATTCCCGTCGGAATTCGCTGATGATCACCGGCCTGCCCGAGTCTGCGCGGGAGAGCACCGACTCCCTGGTGATCGACCTGGCCAAGGCCGCCGGGATTACTGTGACAGTGGCGGATCTAGACCGGTCTCACAGGGTCGGCCCGCCGAGGCGAGACAGGCCGCGTCAGATAATCGCGAAGTTCGTCTCCTTTAACAAGCGCCAGGAGCTGCTGGAGGCCAGGACGAATCTGAGGGCCGGGAGACTACAGCAGCACCCGATCCTGACGCAGCAAGTCCTGGCGAACACGTTCATCGCCGAGAACCTGACGAAGAGGAACCAGTTTATCCTCTTCGTAGCTCGCCAGCTGCGCAGAAAGGGAAAGCTGCATTCGGCCTGGACCAATAACTGCCAGATCAAGGTGCGCACGAGAGAAGGAGGACCGACCAGGAAGATCAACTCCATCAACGACCTTCAAGACATCGTCGGAGACGACCCAGACATACAGAGCGCTATGCAGCAGACCGGGGTTATCGCCGCGCCTACTCCGAGGGAGAAGCGCGTCCCCGCCGCGGCTGGGCCTGGCGCCGCCACTGCGCGCCGGCCGGCGGAGGGTATCGCGGCAGTGACCGTGTCAGTCCTCCCCGAGCCGGTGAGCGGGGCCCCTGCCGCTCGCTCGCCCGTGACCGTAGCTGCCCCTCCGGACGTGCCAGGGGCCGGGGCTGAAGCCGAAGCCGCCGAGACCGGACCGGAGCCGGAAGTGTCGACCAGGACGGCAACAGAAGCTGAGGCCGAGACTGCAGCTGGCGAGGCCGAGTCGACCGAGGAGACGACGGCCGAGTCGCCGGAGCCGGGGGCGAGAGCTGCCACTCTGTCGCCGGGAGTGGGAGTGCCTGCTGAGGTGTCCGGTGCGGGACCGTCACCTGCTCCGCCGGGCACAGGGACCGCTCCGTCTTCCCCGGTGACCGGTGATGGTGAGACTGCTGCCGCCGAAGGTCAAGGTAAGCGCAAGAAACGTGGAACTAACCTTAAAAAGCTCGGTAAAAAGTAGATCATGCGAACACAGACTGTCCAACTGGGAAAGTTTAGAAGTGTGTTTATGTTGTTTATGTGTTACATCTTCTGTGATGTCAGCTGAAATGTCGGTGAAGTGCCTGATATGAGGTGGAACCCCTCACACCCCGCCGCGCTGGTGCCACGGGCGCCGTCCTGCCGTCCGGGTGCCGGGGTGGGGCCGGGCGGGGGGGGAGGGGGGGAGGGGTGATAGACTGTATGAACCGATCTGACACTATTCAACGATAGCCTGTGTAGTGAAACTGTTATAATGTCACTGCAGTCGGTAATTTAGTGTGTAAGTAGCATGGTACGACTAGGTATTTCGTTAACCAGAGCTGTTTATGAGCAGCAGTACCTATTATTCGCCGATGTTTACCGAGGGTTCACGAGGGTATTCGGACCTTTCTTCTCTTTCACTGATTCATTTTTTTTTCTTTTTTCTCACGTGCCAGTCACAAGCAGTAGTGCTGTCTTTCTGCACCTGTCTGAGTCTCCAACCGTTGAGAAGGAGTTATTGTTTTGAGCACAAGTCTTATTTCGCATCCCATAGCACCTAATTTAATGTGCGAGATATATTAGTAGCGTTCATTCGTTTTTAGATTTGGTTAGTTTAAATGGGTTTAAACCTATTTACCGCATTATAATTTAGTAACAGCCTGTCTATTCTGCATAAGTGTTCCATTCGCTCTCTTTTATTTACTGTCTTATGTTAGCGAGCCCGCGATGATCCGCCCGCCGCCGCGACCCGGGCGCTCTGCCCACCCTACTTACGACCTCCTTCTCCGTGCCGTGCTGCCGACCGACCGCGGATCATCCTTTTCTTCAGTCCTTTTATTTGTTCTCATCCCCCCTAACCCGACTTGAGTGTTGTTGTTCGTCTCAGCTCTTCGCCACCTCTGTCCCATCCTTAAATCTTTCTTTTTGCGCCAAACACTTCCCCGGGCTGCGGCGGTCGCCCTGCCCTCTACTGCGCGGTCGGGTCGCCTCCCCTCCCTCCCCCTCTCCTCAGCCCCTCCTCCCCTCCCCCTCTCCTCCTCCTCTCGACCTCTCCTCCCCCTCTCCTCTCGCTATCACCTGCCACCCCCTGCGGCACGCTCAGGTCGCATTTCCTCTCTCCCTCTCCTCTCTCACTCTCCTCAGAACCCCTACCGTCCTTACCAAAACATCCCAGTTATTATTCTATCGTATCTTCAGTCACTCCTCATTGAAAATGGCCAATTATTTTCCAGATATGCGTATTCTTTTAATCATTGGTGGAATCGAATTAAATCCCGGACCAACTATAAATAATCAGCTTGATAATCACATTACGATATCACACGTAAACATCAATAGCATCACGGCCACCGGAAAGCTTCAAGAACTAGTAAATTTTGTCAACCTTAATCAGATTTCAATCCTCTCACTCACAGAAACCAAACTGGACGATACAGTTAACCCGAATTTATACACCATTGACAACTTTCACGCACCCATTACTAGACATCGAGACAGACATGGAGGAGGCGTGGCAGTATATATTCACAGTTCACTCATGTTTTCTAGAATTTCCTCACTCGAGCTGCCAGGTGAAGAATGGATTTGGATAAAAATCAAAATTAAAGATGTTACATTTCTTCTTTGCTCAGTATACCTCCCCCCTAATCTTCCAGCACAGCGACAACAAGAATTCATCGACAGACTTACTGACAGTGTGACTCGCGCCCAATTCTACTCTCAAAATGTGTTGTTAACTGGTGACCTAAACGTCGGTAATATATTCCTCCCTCCAGCCATCTATCACCACAGCGGACTGACATCTTTTGACCGTAAATTGAAAGACACCACTGACACATTAAGTCTTACACAGTTAATCACCGAACCCACTCGCATCGAGAACGACACGCATAATTTACGCGACCTTTTCTTTACATCTAATACTAACCTAATCATTAACAGCGGACTCTTCTCTTCCTTCTCAACACTTGATCACTTCCCTGTATTCGCAACACTATCGATCCAAAGAGAAAAGAATGACAACTTTACTTATTCTGAGTACTGGGATTATCAAAATACAGACGCTGACAAACTAACACACATTCTTTTACGAACAGACTGGACTTCGATTCTTAACAAAGACATTGACCAAGCAGCAAGAGACTTTACTAATTGTATAATGGACGCAGCCAGACAGTGTATCCCGACTAAACAAATAAAACCAAGACAAAACAAACCTTGGGTGACATCGGAACTTTTGAAGGAAATTAGGAAACGGGAACGTCTATTTAACACTGCGCGGAAACGCAAATTAGACAAACAAGCATGGGCGCGATGGAGAACCCAGCGCAACTTAGTGACAAACTTAAATAGGCAACTGTACGACGAGCACGTAAAAAATAAGGTGTCACTTTTAATACAGAACAAACACGACCCTTACAAATATCATAAAATATTAAAAGACCTAACAGGACACAAACAAAATCACACGATACCAACTCTTATACAACCTGACGGCAAGACAGCGACAAACGACACTGACAAAGCGACAATGCTTAACAACCATTTCGTTTCACAAACACAACTAGACATCACTAACACGCATATTGCACAGCTCCAGACATATCTGACAAGAAACAACGAACCAGTGCCCACTCTGACCGACATACAAATCACTCCAGGCGAAGTACTTAACACACTAAATAACATGGACGTAAATAAAGCCTGTGGTTCAGACCGACTACCAACAAAAATTCTGAAGATGACAGCACTGCTTATTCATGAACCACTGACACGCCTATTTAACAAATCACTCACAACTGGTAAATACCCTGAATCTTGGAAAATAGCTAAAGTTCGACCAATATTCAAGCGGAAAGGAATTCCTTCTGAAATAAATAATTATCGGCCAATAAGTTTACTTCCTTGTATTTCAAAAGTTTTTGAAAAAATCATTTTCTCACATATATACCAACATATCACTGACTTTTCACTTCTTTCGGACAGACAAAGCGGATACCGACCGGGACACAATACACAACTGCAACTTACTTACATAACTGACTCACTGTACGGCTCTCTCGACAAAGGACAGGACTTCACCACAGTTTATTTAGACTTTTCCCGTTACTTCGAAAAAATATGGCACAAGGGACTACTAACAAAGTGTGAAAAAGAATTTGGAATCACAGATAACTTACTAAAGTGGCTTGGATCTTACCTAACTGACCGGCGACAAACTGTTGACATTAATAACACGACTTCAGAAACACTCACGCTCGACGCTGGGGTTCCGCAAGGATCAGTTTTGGGCCCACTCCTGGCAATTTTATATCTTAATGGACTCTGTGACATAACACAAAACAAAATGCTTTATTATGCCGATGACTGTTCTTTATACTCTTCTTACTCTCCAACTGACAACTTCCATGACATCCAGACGACGCTGCAAGAAGACTTAGACAAAATATACAACTACGGACAAACATGGGCTATAACATTTAACGCAACCAAAACCACACAACAAACATTTTCACACCGACAACAGACAAACATACCAACCCTGACTTTCGGTGGTAACCCCATTCCAATAGTAAACGACCACAAACACCTCGGCCTCACACTGTCCACTGATCTACGTTTTCACACACACATTAATGACGTCCTTCTAAAATTCAACCGATCCATGGGACCATTATATCCAATAGCGAAACACATACCCAAAAACATGCTTCTTTCACTCTATTCTACTTACGTTCAACCTTTCCTCGACTACTGTGACACCATTTATGACGGACACATCACAATGACAGACTGCATGAGACTAGAAAAGGCACAGAACAGAGCAGCACGACTGATTACAGGAACAGGACTTAGGACATCAACTGAAGGACTTCGACGCGAATTAGGATGGACTTCACTGACTGACCGACGGAAAATGCACAAAATTCAGTTCTATCACAAACTAGTGTTTAACCCTAAAGTTCCAACATTTATCAAATCTATTATTCCAAACACAAGACAGCAAAATACCACAAGAACACTACGCAACACTTTAACACAAACTATACCGATGGCCAGAACAACCTCCTACTACAAATCTTTTATTCCCTGCTCTACACGTATTTGGAACAACATACCGGAACATCTACGCCTAAATGCTAACCACAAAACCTTCAAAAAACATTTATCAGAACTTATTTTACCACCTCGGCCACCCTTTTTCTTCTTTCAAGGTACAAGGATTGGTAATTTACTTCATACTAAACTACGACTTAACACTTCAAAACTCAACGCTCATCTTTTTTCCATACAACAAACTGATTCACCTTCCTGTTCTTGCGGTTATCATTTAGAAAACACAAAACATTTTTTGCTTTTTTGTCCGTCCTATCTTCATCAACGAGACATCCTTTACAATTCCTTATCTAATATCCTCAACTTTGATTTCTGCACGATCCCCTCCTCTGAGCAACTTGACATACTAATCCATGGCAAGGATCTGAGCCGTGCAGTGGGCGGTGCGGTCGCCGCCGCAGTCCAATCCTTTATTATCCATACCCATCGGTTATAACCGAACATACCTACGGCTACATCCTAGTCCCATCCTGGTCCCACTGATTGCAGCAGTCGGTCTGGCAAGTGCGGTCCGGAACACCTTTCCTACAGCGCATCGCCGGGGTCGCGGAGCGGTAACCGAGCTCGGGCGGTCGTCAACAATTATTTTGTGATGATTATTTGTGTCATTTTTGTGTTATTCATTTTATTATGTTTGTGCAAGCGGCGCCATTGATTCAAGTGCATCTGCACTTTTGCGCCAATTGTTCGAATCATTTGTAAAATTACAATGTCTTTCAGTGAATAAATGTACTCTCTCTCTCTCTCTCTCTCTCTGCGCGTTCCTAGGTTGTTTGGGAGGGTATGGCGAGACTAGAACGGGCGCATTGCGCAATCAATTCCCTCGTGCCATGCTGATTGCCTGAGTGATTACTCGAGTGCTACGATGAATTATGAATAATGGAATGCTTGAAGCAATTAATTTTTGTGGGCGATAGAGGCGTTAGTTGGTATCTACTTTATTAAATTATATGGTGTCATGTTTCCTGCTGGCTACGCTCCGCCCGCGTCGCGGACGGCATGCTGAACTTGACTTTCGGGGAATATTGACCTAGGTACACACATGTGTATATTAAATTAAGATAATAATATTTTTAACGTAAATACTCGCATTCCGCGCACGACACCTCTGTCAGGCCAGTCCAGTGGTTTTCTGGTGTTTTGTTTGGTCAGCGTTGTCCGGCTCTGTACGGGGCAGCGGTGAATGTAGGTGCGGACTGCCCTCATACACGGAGTGGCTAGAACGCGGTGGTCTGGGCACACAGTCCATTATACAGGCCCGTTCACTGTACACCGCCCAGGTAATTAAACGGCATAATTTATTGCCAGTCTGCACGCGAGCAGACGTGGTGTGGTGGCTGGTGGCATGAACTTACTTCCTGGATTCCTGAGTCTTGTGGCCCACCGCCGCCGGGTTGAAGCTGCGAAAATTCGCACCTGTCAGCGGACGTATAAAGAACATTGCGCTGACACTTGACAGGATGTTGACTGACATAATTTCGGCAGACACGCTTTTTCTGTCTTTGCATGCTTCTTTTTCTACTTAGCTTATGACGCTTATGTTGCCGCAGCTTTAATTTGGACAGGACGTCTAAACATACTGATGTCATATCTTATTTTGACAAATATTCGACGCTGATATGTCAGGCTGACCGTTCTGGTGCTGACAGGTCTGACAGCTCTGGTGACGGGTCTCATGTTGACAGGCCTCAATGCTCTGATGCTGGCGGCGGTGGGCGGTCACCGGTCCACCTGCCGGATCCTACTGGAGGCCGGCGCCGACCCTAACGCGCACAATACGCTCGGTATGACGGCTCTGGACATGGCCCGGGTGGCCGGTCATCGGCAGGTGGTGCGAGTGCTGGAGGATAGCACCGAGGAGGCCGAGGACACGGGAGGCGAGTGTGGGAGGGGAGAGGAGGGAGGTTAGATAGGGGAGGGAGGGAAGGGGGCACGGGTCACGTTGCGTGCGGCTGAGAGCACAGATGAGGCTGACGGAACGGGAAGCAAGCGAGAGGAAAGAGAAAATCGGAGATGAGAAGAATGCTTTTGCCGTGTAAAATTTGCTACTTTTTCCAGACAGCACCGACCTCACACGCTTAGGTTGATGGTGTTGAGTAATTCTAATCCGACTCTCGGTCTCAACTCTCAGCCTACCTCGATCGTCCCTGGGCTGTCCACAGATCCCCCCCCTCCCCCACTGACCGTCCCACTCTCCATCCCCCGGACAGACAGTACCGATCTGCACGAGGCGGTGCGCCGGCGGGACCTCACCCTAGCCACCCAGCTGCTTTCTGCGGACCCCGGCGCCGCCAACCGCGTCCGTTCCGAGTCTGGCGCTCCGCTGACACTGGCTGCGCTGGCCGGAGACACACCGATGGCGGCTCTGCTGCTGCGGCACGGCGCGGTTGTAGATCAGCCGGAGCCGACCACCGGGTGGACGCCGCTCATGCACGCCGTGTTCCATAAGTGAGTGTTGCTGCACTCGCGAAGGGACGGCAGTACGGTTGCTGTGAGACGTTTTGTTTCACAAGCGAGTATCGCTGACCAACGGGGACGGTGGTTAAGAGCTGTCGCACGCGTTTTTTCCGTAAGTCTTATCAGCCTCTGCTGGAGGACGCCGCTAGGGGTGCTGCATTGTGATACCTGAGTCCTGGCTACCATGGAGGTAGGGAAGGGGAGCGCGATAGGAGGGGAAGGGGAGTGCAGTGGAAGAGGGAAGGGGAGCGCGATGGGTGGGGAAGGCGAGTGCGGTGGGAGGGCGGCGGAGGCGGTGCCAGGGCCGTAGCGCCGTGAAGTTTTTTTTTTAAATTTAGCTCGAATGTTTGAATGGACGGAATGACAGAGCCGGGGGCCCACGCTAAGCAGAGCGTGTTGCGTAGACTCCGACCCCCACCGTCCGATCGCGCAATTCCGGGTAACGGGAGAATTTAGATGCCAAAGTTTAACGTGCCCTTCAAAGCCGGACACGGCCTGTCCCACTCAACTGACTTCAACTGGCTGCGGCTGCTCCCACCAACCGCAGACCATCCCCGTCAGGAGTCTCAAATATCGAGCGCCGGAGCGTCTCGAACCCGGGCTCTCACTACCGGGAGTCCAATGCTCTACCAACTGAGCTACGGGACAGGCACCGTGAAGTTCATGGCAGCAAATTTCATGGCTCACAAGTCATTATCGATAACTTCTGACTGCGAAGGGTCAGCTCAGGTCATCAGGGCATCATCACCCTCTTCTCTGTCTCACAGTCACCCGGAGATGGTGAAGCTGCTGCTGTCCTCCGGAGCGGATGCCAACGTGCGCGACCACAAGGGCTGCACGGCCTTCGACCTGGCCTCGCTGGTCGACAGCAGTCCCGACATGGTGAGATATCGACAGGCGGGACGGGCCGCTGGCTGTCAGATCGGGCAAGCGTGTGAAACATAACTATTTTCCGATAAAAAGTTATCAAGTAGGTATTAAATTGAGATATGCCGTTATCTCTGCCGAATACTCTAGCGTGGGCTCTGCCTGACTGTTCAACCGTCGATTTGAAATATTCAAAAGTAATTTTATGAGAGCAAATCAATATGCTACCACTCACTCTTAGGACAACTGCCAGTCATGTCGTGTGGCCTCCTGCGGCTCCGTTTGACCCTGTTTCGCCCCTTGTGAACTTTGACTACCTATGTACGACTCCGTATTACCCTTGTTATTCCACCTCCGTTGCAGATTCGTCTTTTGGCCGCCTGTACGTACAAGTTCACCCCTCCGGTGCCCCCTGCCGGCCTGGCGGGCGGGCCGGCGCCGCTGGCCTGGCAGAGTCGTGCCGTCAGCACGCCCAGCCTACAGGACCGTGGTCTGAAGGCCTGGTGGAGCCGCTTCTCGTCTAGGTGAGAGCCGTGACGGGGAATGGTACTGATACTGACAGGGACAAGAGATGAAATCGATACTGACAGGGGCATGGATTGTGCTGCGAATGACTGAGCCAGGAAAGCGCACTGGCTTCTGACTGTGTATGGTCGTTGATGGGATGGCTGGGATGTTGTCGACTGTCGAGGCAGTGGAGTCCCCTCGGCGGTATGGACGAAAGGCCCGGTCGTGTCCCCTCTGCTTTAGTCCCGCTGTGTCCCACATTTGCCTGTGTTTTCGTCCCCCGATGGTCTGTCTCCTTACTTTCTTTCCCATGTCAGGTTTCAGAACGTGCGCGCCCGCGTGGAGCCGGTGGTGATGACGGGAGCTCGGCCCCTACCAGAGGAGACCGGGGTGCCGCAGGACGCTGACCGGTCCCGTCCCCGACTCACACTGGACGGGGTACTGCCGGCCGCCAAACGGCTCAAGGCCAGGACGCCGCAGGTATGATGGCGGACGGTGGTGGCGGTGAGAGAGTGGGCTGTGGAGAACCGAACACCAAGACTGAGTTAGATGCTCACTTTGTTATTCAGTATAGTTATCGACCTGTGCAGGGTTTCCATTCTCTGTTTCTTTCCTCAATGCGGGGTTGACAGTCAGCCTGTTCCTAAGTCTAACCTCCCTGTAGTGTTTGTTAGGGCTCAGCCTTTAACTGTCTGCTTCTCCCTGCAGAGTTTCCAATTTGTTCTCCCGTGCTGTATTTCCAGCTTGCTCCTCCCTTGTCCCGTGCAGCACTATCAGTCTGACCGTCCGCCCCCCGCACAGGGTTTTCCGGCGCGCAGTCTGCCGTCTGACACGCTGCGTCCGGTGCTGCCGCCGTTCTGCGCCGACCGCAGCGCGCTGGATCGGTGTCGACTGCCGCCGGCTCTCTGCGAGGGACCCGCCGACTGCGACAATGGCCCAGGTCAGTCTCCGCACCGGCGACCTGAAACGGTTCGAGGCGACATGGCAGTCAGGACTCCCAGGCTCGGAAATAATGTGTTCGACCGTGGCAATCAAGACTCTCAGGCTCAGAAATGATGTGTTCGACCGACACAAGAATTGCAATCATGCCTTTATGAACGCGTGAAAACTGCTTGCGGCGACGGCGCCGGTGTCTCTGCAGCATATTTTACTTAATGGCTGTCTGTCTCTCTGTAGCTGTTTCTGTGTGTCTGTCTTTCTGTCTGTCTCCGTATCTGTATCTGACTCTATGTCTATCTCTGTCAGTCTTTGCCTGTTTGTCTGGCTGTGTCCTGACGCTGCCGTGTCCGTACCGCAGACTCGGCCGCCGTGCCCGCGGCCAGTGCCGGCTCTGGCCCGGCTCCCGGCGGAGGCCACCTCAACACCTATCGTCTGCTCAGCTACCTCCGGTCACCCAACTCGTCACCGTCCAACTCTCTCGGTCAGCGACGGCTGCTCTCGCCCGGACCGCACTCCTCCGGTGAGTTATACACTCCTTTGGGGAGTTATACTCTCCTCCGGTGAGTTATACACTCCTCTGGGGAGTTGTACACTCCATCCGGTGAGCTGTACAGCTCCGGTATGTTATACTGTCCTCCATGAGTGAGTAATTGTGCACTTCATTAAGTTGTTTATCGTTACGGTGTCCATATATGGTAGCTCGTCCGTTTTACTTGCATTGTCCAATGTCAATATCGCTTTCTGAAAACTTATGTCGGTGTTCCAGGCGATTCTGGTTTCGAAACATCTGGGAAGTCTTCCATTGACCACCCTTCGTACTTGAGGAAGGCTGCCAAAGGCTCACCAGCAAAACGGGGCTCGTTGAAGCAGAAACCGAGTCTCCGTAAAAAGTGAGTTTAGTCTAATATTTTAGTAATTTTGATGCTTGGTGTTCGCGCTGATGTTTGATGCTTGCCGTTTGAGTCCGGCCATACCGGCTGAGTCTTGTAGATACCATCTGCTCAAGCATTTGTAGTGTTGATAAACATTACAAATATAATGGTCCGGGTGCGATTGCGTGATCAAACTTTCAGGAGCTGAATATCGGATCGGAAGGTTATTATGCAGTGTGAATTTTCCGTCTTCTGCATCGTATTTTAATCGTTCATTATATCACCTAACACCCTTCATCATATCATAACACCGCGCCTCTCCCTCTGTGCCCACAGACCCACCACTACGGCCGCTGACCCGCCGTCCGCCGCCGAGCCGGCCACCTCCGACGGTCAGGCGGTGGGTAAGCTGACCTACCTGCTACGGTCACTGGGTCTGGCGCGGTACGGCTCAGCATTCGCTGCGGAAGAGATCGACTTTGAGGCGTTCCTGGATCTCACAGACGACGATCTTGTGGAGCTGAATGTGAGTCGCCGAGACCGTCAGAAGCTGGCTGTTGTGATTCAGGAGCTGCGGCAAAAACTGCGCGTGTAGAGGCGCGTACCTGAAACTGTCGCGCCTGGAAACGGGCCTCACCGGCGCACATAGCCGCCAGTCGGCGTCAGAGGCTGCTGTTTCAGAAGTGGTGCCTCGAAGTTGGGTGATCTCACAAGTTTGCCTACCCCATGGGTTTATTGGTAAGTGATCTCAAAAGTTTGTGATAGAATAGGGAAACTGGTGTGCAATTGTTGAGGAATAACTCTTGAGCGGTTCTTTGCGATATTATTGATCTGGTGCCCCGCCCTGCAGTGGTTTGATCCTCGTTAAAGAGAGATCCCGTTGAGTGAAGGAAGACACAAGCTAAGTGTTCCACATCCACAGTTTTCGTGGCTGCGTGCTGTTTCATGGTTGTCAAGCTCAGGCGAGGTCGTGGTAGAAATACTTGTGTTGTTTCTGATCTCAGCAGGCTCTCAAGGTTTGCAGTAAATATCCTGCAAACTTTCGGTAAGAGTGCACTGCACATTTACACACTGTTGCCGTATTGCTTGCACCAACATGGAGCTCGGATAGACCAAGTCTAGACCAAAGCTAGTCCAGTTAGACCAAGGCTGGCTCTTCCCCATTGGGCCTTAATTGAGGCCTTAATTGGCTACTGAATTGAGCTGCTGAGAGCGGTATTTTTTGTGAGAGCCGCCTTACGCCCGTGCTCTGGTGGAACCAGCGGCCACTTCAAGCCCCAGTCGCAGTCTAGAATAGTCAGCAGGCTAGAATTTAGGCACTCGCGTTCTTGTTGCCAGGGTTTTCTATGCTAGTCGTGAGGAATTTCAAGTTGCATTAGCGTGATCACGGTGGACCTATAGTCGCCAGTCAGTGGTTGCCTTCTTCTCACGGTTGCGTCATGTTAGTTCTTTGGAAAATGGGCATACATTTATCTTTTGTTATCATTCTCATTGTTATATTTACTTTTTCATGATAAAGGTGCCGCCAAATGGTCGCTGTCATGTCATTGCATTCATTCATAATCCCGTGTCAGGGCATTGTAGTCATATAGCAATCCATCGCGGTTAAGTTCAAAAACTAAACAGATCAAGTACAAAATCCCCATCGATATGGCTCCACCGATAACAGTTCCATTTGAGCTCAAGCCAGTATCGTTGACTCCAACCAGCTTGCCTCTCGAAGGCGTACCCGTGATGACAGCTCGTTCGCTCATTAATTAACCGCACCCTGAGCTGCGTTTGCTGCGTAATAAGAACGGTGCCTTATCTCGTGCCTGGTTAGATTACCTGCTCAGAGTGGTTTGAAGATGTATCGTTAATATCTGCCGGATCCTGTTATTGATTTTGTAAATACCGGCATTACAATGTGCAAACAGTATTATTGCCTATTAAATGGTATGTTAGAGGATTTCAGGTGAATTTATTTTATGAATATATAATCGGGGTTGTTATATGGGGCGGGTCATATAGTGTTTTCAGCCAGGGCTGAGTAGTGGTTAGTGAAGTGAATATTTGAAGCGTATTGCCTATTTATTGGTGTGTAAATGTACTTTTGCGACGTTTAGAGACAACATTGGCTGGTGTGTCTGGCCCAGTAATCAGTATTACGCCTAAAAGGCGCCTAGATGTGATTCAAGATGCAATATTATTTCAGTGTGGTCTCAATGAATAAAACCGTGTGCGTTTTTTGACTGTTTCTGCGAGTATTATTGAATAAAAAAACTTATATGCGATGGATAAGTTATACTGCCGTCATGAAATAGGAGACCCTTATGATTTCCTTGTAGACCAATTTACGCTTAGAAGCGTGCATGCAGAATAGAACTATTCTGCATCCTCAGATGCCCATCCCTGTCGCTACTAACCAGTCAGGCTGCTGTAGTGTCACCTATAGCAGGAGCTATGAAACTGTGGTTATCGGCCCAGCCGCTGGTGTCGCGACTGGCAGTAGCCTGCGGCCAGTTGATCGTTGTTTGACGCTACGGCGACCCTAGCGACGCCCTCCTGTCACGAACTTTTTACAATTATGTGGCAAAAAAATCCCCTCCATGGGAAAATGCGTTGGTCTGTGAATAAATAATAGCAACAATTACGATGTACCGATCGGTAGGTGCCGTTTAGCCTCGATGCTAGCATTTCCTCTATACTGCTTTCATATAGGAAAAGTTGATAATCGTTGGAGATGCCCTTGTAGCTAGTGGTATTGTTCGAGATGAATAAAATAATGGAACATATAGTTACATAGTGAGGCATGTGTCCTCCATTCTGCCAAGTCATTCACCTGTGTCTGTATCCTGTATGCTATTCATGTGTGACCCTTCCTGACCCTGCATAACCCGACCTGACCTTGTATAACCCCGTGATTGTGTATAACCGACCGTGTATAACCCGACCCATTCCTCATCTCTACCTTTCAGTCCACCGGACCGCTCCACCCATCCCTACAAAGCGCCGCCGTCCGCCGGAGTCCCTGCCGCGCTACCTGCGCTGTCTACCTGTCGTTCGGGAGCCGCCGCACGCCGCGCAGTGCGATCGTTGGCGGTGCGCGCTCCCGCCGGCAGCGCACTGGCGCATGCCCCCAGGCGCTTCACAGGTCGGTAAGGCCAGTGCCCGCCGGCCGGTGCTCGAGGCAGGGGGTGACGACGGCGACCGACGCGCGACCCCCGGGCGGGTCTGTGCGCAACAGTGTCGATGGGAAGGTGTGGGAAGTGACTCGGGTCTGATCAGAGTGTGAGCTAGAGGAGGGCACAGGGCACAAGATTGAAAGTCTGTGAGATCTCTTCATTGACAGCCTGTTCCAAGAAAACAATCATCGGGCTGAAAATTTCAGCGATGTGCCATCGATCTTTATACGACGCTTTGAAGCGATTGTCAATTCGAAGAAAGTGAATCGTGCTGCGATCGGGCTAGAGGATATAACCCTGTCGGCGACAGTGTGTCGCCCGCTGCGGAAGGCGAGATGTTGACCTGAGGTCACCTCGTGTCAAAAGTCGCCATGTCGCTGAAGGTGATATTTCACGCGCTGGAGGGCGTCACAGCCAAAGGAGAGAAGGCCATCGTCGTCAACTTCAGAGGTGAGACTTACGTCAGCTTTTTTGCAATATCAGAGATCAGATGAGAAATTTTAGGTGCTTTGTGAAGGCACTCTATTTGGATAGACTTTTCTCCCGCTCCTTGAGCGCAGGTGCTATGCGATTAGATGGACGATTGAAAATTGTGGTAGGTAGTCGTTACCAAAAACAAAAACAAAAAATGCCTGCCTCACTACGCATTACATGAAGCTCACTCTGGGCCGGTGAAGTTCGGATAAACTTCTTATAATTAACATAAAATGAATAACAAGGTAAAACTTTCGCAATGTAGCCAGACTTTTGCTGGCACTAATTAGACACATGAATTAGCACGAAACAAACAGTGATGTTGTAATGCGATACACTGAGAGGACTCCGAAACCAAACCGGTGCGTGGCCTTTCCGCCTTCCCCCTCTGACCGATTCCATCCTTCCCCACCCCTTTTCCGTCAGGTCAGAGTCGGACCACAGCTCCCCTGGGCGACTGCGCCTCCATTGAACAGGTAAGTCGGCACTGGGGAGGCAAGTGGCTGAGTTTTATTACCCGACCCTGACCTAGGACCTCCCCTTCGGCCCCTACTTGCAGTGTTCCCACTTACAGTGAGATTCTCCAATCATGTAATACTTCCTGCTGTTGGTGCTCTAAGACCATTAGTTACCTGGCTCGGGATCTTTGACCCAGCTCTGCCCTCTTACCCGCTCAGGTGCCTTTCCATTGATCCCAGCTCTGAATTTGTTGCCCAACGCTGCCCCCTGCTGTGTACTACTCTGCAACTCTCGAGGGACCACAACGGCGCGGCGCCATTTCAATTTCCAAAACACCCCCATGCGCGTCCCACGCCGCGGACGACCTAGGGCGAAGGCACTGGTCTGTTGGACTGTTGGACCGTCTGTTGGACGGCTGTAAGGACTGTTGTAGCCTGTAGGTAACGGCTAGTTTAGGTGACGTTGCTTTGGAGATGGTGCGTAAAACAAGCAGAGCTCGGAAGTTTGTGCAAGGACCGGTAGCGTTTGGGTGGGTAATATATGACCGAGACGATTGATAAACCGTTGTCGGAAGTGTGAAGCCAATCGATGATCTATTGCCCCTCCAGTCGCCGGCTTTTTGAGCGGAGGCCGCACTGTTGGCCCTGTCACGAACCATTTGTCATTCGACGCCGTGACAGCCTTATAAAACCAAATTGTCAGCCTGTCAGCGCCCATACTTCAGGTCTGGCCATTTATCGCCTGTGGCGTGATTCGGCGCCGGGAACTGTGGGAGGCGGTGCCTTTTCAAGTTGGTCCGGCGAGCTCTGATGGGTACCGGCACGAAATCTGGCGATATTGGGTCCCGGCGCTGGATGCAGACCTTTAAAAAATTCATAACGTCTCTGTCTGAGTGCCTGGAAGTAGTGTTGTGCAATGCTCGGTCAATGGCTCAGGTGTTAGCAAATCATAGACTGAAAGAACGAGGTGTGGGTTACCTTGACTTTTACTGTGCGTACCAGTGTTTGACAAACGGCAGACCAGCGAGCGTTATCTGCATTGCGCGTTCCAAGGGCTAACAAACGACCGAACAATGGACTGTGGGTTACTTATGGGTTAGTTACTTGATGTTTTTACACACTAAGCGTCACTCGCCGTCAACGTCACCGAACACCAAACAGCGAACTATCCATGCTTACCTTTACCTCCGTCCGTCACACTCTGGCCTACCCACTGCGTTTTCCATTCGCTCACCTGTCACAGGCCGACCGGGGGGCCGTTTCGGTGGCGCACCAGCACCTGGCAACGCCCCTGCACAGAGCCAGCCGGCATTAAATGGAAAGGCAAACGTCGTGCAACATTAACGTAGTCCGTCCATCGACCCGGCCACGGGAGCCGGCGCGCCGGTGTGTCGGTGTCGGGGTCTCGGCCTCCACACCGGCAATCAGACGCCGAACGGCGCATGGCCGCGTTCTTTGTGCCACGCTAATACGTGGATCAGTGATTATTGCTCGTTACGAGTAGGAGGGAACGAGCGAATGACGTGGATTGTTGGCAGAATGTCGTCTATTTTCATACACAATAGCGCATACAAAACAGGATACAATGCACACAGACCTTGCAAACAGCCGCACAATGGATACGCTCACAACATTCAGACGTGCACTCAGTGGGAATGTCAATGATCCGCAGCTAAATTATTTAGACTTTACTGATTGAAATCTCGGAGGGACTGAATTGATATAAGCGTATGCAATGATGCAAGGGTGCATTACTGTATGCATTATTCATGCATGAATACGCTCACGAGTATTGATTTATTTCACGAACGAAAAATGCACACTTAACAAAGTATCACATTTTAGCATATGCATGAATAGCAGGATAAAGTTGCATTGGTCAACCAAGTGGTTCTAATTATTATGCAATTCTCTAAAATCTGTTGTCGACTTTTCGTCTTACTTAGTACGTACGGCAATTATCAAACCAGAATCCGACAGCCCCAGTTATGAAAACTGCTTATTTTAAAACAATAAGGTACGAATGCCTTTATATTAGCTATCGTTTTTCTATCAAACTAGTAATTGGCTATAACACCCGCAAAATTCCGAATACCCTCTCTCACGAATGCTGCCTACCGTCTCACTCTCCTGTCGTCCCTGTGGCGACCTCAGGGGTACTTGGGGTCGGTACAGCGACAGAAGGGCGGCTCACAGCAGGCTTGCAGTGTGGGTCGCCAGCGGTGCATCGGCCAGGTCATCATGTTCGGCACCTGGTCCACACCGGTGCGGTGCTCTTCCAGAGCGCGGGTGACCGTCCGGACGACCCTGAGGTACTGCGGGGAGCCGGGCTCCAGGGGTCGATCTTCGCTGATGTCCTGCTGGATGTTGTAGACGGCCGGCTGAGCCATCCGGTACGACTGGTGGCACTGGCAGATGTACTCACAGCGATGCTGTCCCGGCAGCCAGGGCGGCCAGTAAAAGTGAACCTTCCACGTGTGCGCGTCATCCTCCACCCAGCGAGCAGAGTGCACCGTCGCCTTGCAGTAGTGGAAGAGAAAGCGGTGTGGAGAGTGCGGCGAAGCGCCCGTGAGCAGCGGTAGCATGTTCTTTCCGTCAATGATGCGGTCGGGCAGCGCGGCGGCAGCGTCTACTCCAAGCATAGCCATCGCCGTGGGTAACAGATCCATCTGGGAGACTGTCTGCTCGACCACCGTCCCTGGCTTGATCAGCGGAGGGTAGCGGACCAGCGTCGGCATGCGAATGCCGCCCTCCATGCCGCCCATACCCTTGCCGCCCTTGAGCACGCCGTTGTAGCCTCCCTGAACATCCCCACGGATACCTCGCTCTTCCACATGTCCACCATTATCAGATGTGAAGTAGACGAACGTGTTGTCATCCAGCTGCAGCTCTTTGAGGATGTCCAGGATCCTCCCGACGGCCCAATCCATCTCCATGATGCTGTCGCCAAACAGCCCGTGTCGAGACTTGCCCGCAAACTCGTCCGTCACTGATAGTGACGTGTGCATCTTGCTGAACGAGTGCATGTGGAAGAAGGGCCGTCCGTCAGTCTTGTAGAAGCGCAGTCGCTCCTCCGTCTCCGCCACGAACCGCTGTGTCAGACCCTGGAGTCGCATCGGCTGCTCGACGACCTCATAGTCGCGCATTATCAGAGAGCTGAGGATCTTCCAGTTGGCGAAGAAGACGGCACCGAAGAGTCCAACGAAAGCAGTGAGGAGGCCTAGCAAAAGAAGCAGCTTCGAGCGACGTCTGAAGAAGAGTGCAGCGATCACACCACCTATCTGAAGAGCGTAGCAGGTGGGGAAAGTCTCCGGGTAGGCGGTAGCATACAGGTACTCCCCGTCGTCCCCAAAGTCCCTCAGGTTCGTCATGGGGATGCCGTAGAACGTCTCGAAGCCGTGCGTCAGCGGGTGGTGGCAGTTGTCGCCGTAGCGGTCGCAGTTGATGCCCAGGTGCCACTTGCCGACCAGAGAGCGGCGGTAGCCGTGCTGACCCAGCAGCTTCGCCAGCGTGGTCTCGTTCGACGGCAAACCGACCTGCGGTGAGGGTTATCGTTAGGGCATTCTAGACATTGCTGAAGAGAGCTTTGCTACGAACAACAAATATCTTTGATGCTGGTCTAGACGCTGATCGGTCTAGTCGTGACTTTTCTAACGATACAATTTTTACTTGTGTTTTGCAGTACACAATTGACGATGTAATTGTTACATTTGATGCACAGCACAGCATCAGTAATTACAATTGATGATTCATCATTATAGAGAAAATGACAGCCAAGTGTCAAATGACCTTTACTACATATGGACCTCTGTGACTTACCTTGGATGCGGCGAACAGCGAGACGTCCCACTCCTCGTTCTCGGGCGCCAGGCCGTACCGGATCGGCAGTCGGCCGGTGAGCAGGGCCGCCCTGCTCGGCGTGCACACGGCTGCGGCCGCCAGACTCTGGCGCAGCACGGCACCCTGGGCGGCCAGCGTGTCCAGGCTCGGCGTCGGCACGGTACGGTTACCGAAAGGACCAATATCGCCGAAACCTAGATCATCGACTAGCAACACCAGGAAATTGGGCCACTTCGGTGCGGCTGGCCTGGAGGACTCCGGCTTCGACTTTGGTGCCTGCTTCGGCACTGGCTCCGACGCTTTCTTTGGGTCTGGCTTTGGCTTCGGCTCTGGCTCAGACGATTTCTGCGGTTGTGCTTTTGGCGTCGGCTGCGACGGAGGCTTCGACTTCGGCTCCGGCTTCGTTTCTGGCTTTGGTTTCGAAGCCAGCTTGGGCTGTGAATTCGCCTCTGCCTTTGGCTTGGGCTCCGGGTCACTACGCCTCGGTGGAGCCTTTGTGCTTGGTGGTACATCAGGGTGCTTTGGTGGGTCTGAGCTTCGTGGTGAGGGTGTCGAAGACTTGGGCGGTGGTGAAGCCTTCGGCTGCTTGTTGGATGGAGACGGGGACGGAGTCGGGGGCGGAGACGGAGACGGAGACGGACTAGGAGACGGGGACGGGGACGGGGGCGAAGGAGGTCTAGATGGTGTCTTGGATTGAGCGCAAAGACAAGGTGCTGTCAGACATACGACCGCAACCAACACCAACATAAACCGCATGATGTTTCAGACGAGAAGGATTCCGGGTAATGAAACAACACCACTTGATGTCTGACCGGTATCGTCATCCAGGAGCAGCTCAAATGTGGTGTCTTGAGCTACCTGAAAGAGAAGCAAATGATGTGATGTTGATACGAAGCCAGATAGGACTGCTTAGTGAGAACTGAGAACACAATTAAGCGTTTGTTTGGTTCACAAATTATCAGTCGATAATTTGGCATTCATGTCTGCTATTTCAGGGATGCGTTACAGTCCCACAACTTCTTATTCCAGTGATGAAACTCATTCTTTCGAAACGTTCAATGGCAATAACACACATCGCCATATTTTCCTGCTGCACACTTTAGAAAAATCACTTTATGTGTCAGATCAGCGTCCGCACAGCCCGCCATGGCCCGGTATTTTTGACTGACAGTAAATTTCGGCCTCTCTCGCCGCGATTTGCCAGGTATAGACAGGCATACACAATGTCTGATGTGCCAATCTATTTTTGGTGTCTGCTCAATACCTACTGCGGCTCAGCGAGTACATAAACCAAAGAAATAAAAATCCACAACATAATGCTGATTGCTGGTGCACACTGATACACAAAACGTAGCTACGACGAATCCATCATCTCATCATCTTCTCCAAATATGAAGGGAAATGGAACGGTAACAATATCTTACAATGGTAAGTGGTGGATAGGTATCACTATTTAGTATTTACTCACGTAAATTCGTCCTCCGCTCCGTCGTGTTCCGCTCTCCAACCCGGCGTGCTCCTCCTTATCGCCGTGCTCGTCCCGGCGTAGTCCTTCCTCCGTTCCCGGCGTGGTCCCGACTACCCAGTCACACTGTGTGTTGACCTTCACTGATAGCACAACAGTGCGGGCCTGCGTCATAAAGGAATTCTACCGCTTTCTACGATCGCTGTCTGCCTTGCGTCGGTTCTAAATCTTATCTTGGAATGCTGTGTAAACACATTAGCCAGTCCAGTGGCGCGGGAACCGGGGGGCTAGGGGGGGCTGAGCCCCTCCAACTTTTCGGCTGGGGGGGGGGGGGGGGCTCGTAATGTATTTGAGCCCCCCCAGCTGGAGGAATCGAAATCGGAAATCTACCAACACAATTTCATAGATTCATACATAAGCGCGGGAACCGGGGGAGAGGGCAGTGGGGGCGGTGCCTCACAACTTTTCATGAGGCCAGGAACCGTTGGGGCAGCTTGTCCTCCCCAAATTAGGGGTTGTGAGTCACAAAGGAAGAAAGCATGTGAGTGTAAAATCTACCTATTTTACTGACTCGGCAACTCATTTGGCAGCTTAAAACCTTTATTCCAGGTTGCCAAAACGTTAGTTTCTTCACTCAGCTGAGACGGAATACCTCACTTTTTTTTTGCAAATACTTTCTTCTTTTTTTCGTTGAAAAGGCCAAGGTTTGAAAAATAAGTGGCCTAAAACCGATGAGAAAGCTAGATTTGGGGGTACCCTAGGTTGATCTCTATGATGGTTCAGCCCCCCCAGTCTGGAAGAAGTTCCCGCGCCACTGAGCCAGTCGCCTTGGTCGGCTGTCAATTGCTTTTTGCTGGGCCAGTGGGTGATTGCATGCTATCTGTATATTCGTCTATGACAGGGGTACGTTCAGATCAGCTGTGATGACTCAGCTATTTATGCCGGTGGCTAGAGGGGACCGTGGGACGGGGTCTAATGTTGAACCCTGTTATGTGTTCCTTGCCCGAATATTCGTTATATGTGTTTGTCATTAGGTGAACTTCACATAACTGAAATGTGCAATTGCATAATCCGACCAAGTGAAAAATAAGGCGAATAAGAAGTTCAATTGGCTATGTTGATGGTTTCGATGGTTAGATGCATTAAATTGTTTGGATGGTTTTGATAGCGTTTTGAAAATGTAACATGGTTGTAGAGATGATCGATAAGTATTAAAATGACCCGTAATGATATGCTATCTTTGACTATGTGGTTATGCAATCTCAACTCTCATGTAACCTTTGCAGACGTTGTTTGACCTTAAATACACGGCGAGCCATTGTAGAAAATGTCACCTGAAATATCAGCACCACGTAGACATTAATATCAATGTATTGAGGGAGGTTGTTGCCAGAGAAGAACAGCCCATGTTTAAAAGATTTTTGAAAGGTGACCATTTGTGGCATGCCTGATGAGCAATGCCAATTGATTTGGAAGGGGAATTTTTGCTTATTGTGTGGTGCAAATGCCTGCTAATATGGGTCAAAATGGAAACATGTAGCACTGCCATTATAGTTGAGGGGCTTTCAATTTCCACCTCCCAGCCAGCAGTATGAGTAGTTCAAGACGCAGTGAAAATAGTTCAAGACGCAGTGAAAATCATAGCATCCTAACACGAACCAGGTAAAATGAAAACATTTTAAGCGAGACCCTTTTCCCGGACAGTCTGCCGGCGCCGCCGTGTCAGCGGTGGCTCCGTTTTCGGATGCATTGGACCTGCATGTTTTATGTCGTTTTGACGGCTGCCGGCGCCAGCTCCCGCCCCCAGCCTCAGCCCACGGCCCGGCAGCACTTGTGGCGCTCAGGAGCTGGGCGCCCACGCTGGGACGGCCCACCCACTGTGACCCGCCACAGGTCACAGAGACCCAGTCAAAGGTCACTGTGACCCGCCACAGGTCACAGAGACCCGCCCACAGGTCATGGTGACCCGCCCACAGGTCACAGTGACCCACCCACAGGTCACGGTGGGCGAGTCCAGGTCATCACAGGTCAGCCAGGTCACTATGGATGTATACAGGCTACTGTGGGTAGGACCAGGTATCTGGTAGAGTTCAGGACCCAGCTTACTGTGGGTATGAGTCGGTGTGACTAACTCACCGTGGGTGACCCCAGGTCACTGTCGGTGTGGCCTGGTCACTACAAACTATCCTGCAGGTGACTGTGAGCTATCCGAGGTCAATGTGGGTGCATATTGAGGCATGTGACTATATTCTGGACGTGCTCCGGACCCTTAGCTGCTCACATCACACTGTGAAATATGAACCACTTCTTCGACCGACCACGGTCAAACCACGGCCAAACGGTCAGATGTCAACATTACAAAATCCGACTCTTACTGCATATAAAACATATTTTCGTGGCTGGTGTTGACGAGAATGTAGGTATTTAAAACACTATAGCTCTGAAATTAGCACCAAGTGTCGCCATTTGCCCCCTCGTACTCAACATTTATGCAGATGGGTATCGTGTATAAAATGGTAAACAAGCATGCAACTTGAAAATGCAAGCACTAAATCGGTAAGTTTGCCTGGCGGGCCTTTCACTAATGGTTCTCTGTCTGTGGCCTATTTCGGTCCGGACGGTGAATGACTAAACGGACCATGAAATATTCATCGTCGCTTCGTGTGCCGCCGTTACCGGGTCATGACCCAGGGGAAAACATTGCTGAGAGGATAGTCACGGAGGTAAAATACCAGGGCGGATATTGCCGAGCACCACACGATGGGGCTGGCTTGCTTTGCTCGTAATGACGTCGTAACGTTTTGACACATTCATCATCGGTGTTTGTATGTTAATAATGATGAGCGAACGTATTTGCAATTGCGCACATATTGTGCACCTACAACATGTTTGTGTCATGTCATCTGACACATTATTTTGGGCTGATAAAGTAAGTTAGGGTGCAAAATATTTATTGAAAAGATTTTACACCCTGACAGGTAAGTAACTATGTAGACTTGAATACTCATGCATGGCCTGAAACTAATTAGATTGTAACACAATAGTTGTATTACCAAATTTTATTGCCGCTGATTGCCACAGCGCCTAAAGCCCAGCCGTTTGACGCCTGTGACGGTGTTGCAGCGCTGCAGCACTGGGGGAGTTCTCATAAATCAACCAAATGTAGTGCTGAGCATTGCAAAACGTCTATGCAATATTCATTACCGTAAGGCTTCAGCACCCGTTATATAAATGCACACTTGTGAAAAGTGTTAACTAAGGCGAGTCACACTGATCAGAGCTTGGACCTTGGTGCGCACTAGTGATGTCATTTTCCAAAAAATGTCTGACCGATACCGACCGAAACCAAAATTTGGGAAAAATTTCCGACCGAATACCGACCGATAACATCCCAAGCCAAAATTTGACCGAAATTTGACCGAAATTCTATTTGCTATTACTCTACCCCAAAATTAAAATATTTGGTAAATGCTGATGGAAAATAATGCGAAATGGCATTTCAGTCCAAGTTCAGTCAATTCTTAGCCACTGCAAAAATACATTTTGTGGTAGAAGTTACAATACATTGCTGAGGGTAGCAACACATGGACCTCAGCATTTCACAGATTTGGTTCATTAGAATTGTCAAGAATCTACTGTGGTCTATGTAAGGAAGAATGCTCATTCATGTTGCAAAAGCACAATCAATTAGTAAGTCAAATGGTTGGTATAATATGTATGTTCATGACAACATTCCCTAGGAGAAAAGGCGGAATCAAAACACCACAAAACACATCAAAACTGCTTGGAAACTTGCCTTGAGTCTTGAGATGTGGTCTGAGATACTCTACAAAGAATTTGACACTGAAAATCCAGCTGAAAAGGCAGGTATTAGATAGCTCTGAGCTTGAATTTTGTCCCAAAAATGAAATGAAAATTCATTAAACAGGCACTTTGTCTTATCTCTTGTTAATCTTATCTTTACAAGAAAACAAAATATGCAGACAAAATTAATACAGTGGCGCCAAAGTGGCGCAAAAAGTAATAGAACAACCAAGGATTGACTTTTAAGATCCTCTCTTCCCTAACGAAAGGATGTATGATGATGACGTAATATTTATTTATATGCCCTTTTGGTCGAATTATTGAGGGGAAATTAATTTTCTTGTAGTGAATTACACTGACAATGTTGATTTCATTAGAATTCAATATCGTGTTGGATCATTTACATCAATAAGATAATTCACGAGGCAGCATGAAACGATCCAAAACTTTTTTTGCAGCAACTTAATCAGCTGGTTTAAAGTCTCTGTTATGGCGCATCTGTTTCGAAATCCTTCCTTGTGTTTGGAATGTGGAAGATTCCAGAAATCGCACATGGGCCGAATATGAAGTTTTTGTCAAGATTATTTTGTTTGTATGTTGTGGTCATCTAGATTTCAAACATTTGGTTGCTACCTGCAATATTTAAGGAGAATGTGGAATAGTAGAACACCCGTGAAATGTAAATGTGATCACTGCTAAGTGCAAAGTGCTACCTAACTGTCCAGTCTTCAGAAACACATTTCAGTAATTCAAGTTATTTTTGTCCTTACATTTTGATGACTGTACCTATAATGATTTTTTGTAGGCAATACTTCTTTGATTACAGGTGAAATTTTAATAGTTCGACTGGAATAGAGTTTCAAAATTGTGTGTACTTGTGGGGTCAACTGAGTCAAAATCAGCCTGCTTGGCTGCTTGTAGTTGTGGTTGGACAATGGGTGGCTGCTGCCTGCTGGGTGGGATGGCTAATGAAGATGCCAAAATGTGGCATTCGGCATTTGGGGGAAATTTTGCAACTTTATCATTAACATCTTAATAAATTTCATTTTAACTAGGCAAAAATGGAATACTCTCTCTTTGAGAAAATGGTTACACTGGCAGGGTGACCGAAAGTGTCCGATTTTTGAGGGGCCTGACCGACCGATTACCAAATCGGTCAGCATATATTTTCGGTAACCGAAATTTTCGGTAACCGATTGACACCACTAGTGTGCACGTCCTTACATCCAGCGTGGGAAGACCGTGGGTGGGTAGGGTGGTCAAGATGAGGTCAGCAGTAGCAGAATCAAACGACAAAGTTTTCTCTCAGCAGGGAACTTTACAACTCGTTGGACGACTTTTGAGTGTGGCATTTGACGCCGGTGCCTAAATGAGGAATTTTTAGTCGGCTGAGGCTGGACGGTCACCTCCGGTCAGCATCTACCCTCTGGCCTCCTAAGTGCCGTTCCAAACTATTTTGAATTGCCAAAAATACTTTTCGTACATTTGCATGCATATTTCATGCATTGTGGTGTGATCCATCTAAAACACGAACGTTAAATTTGATGCTCGAATTTGTCAGCATAATGCATGTTAGCAAAATATTCCACATGATTTATTCATGTAGAGGATACAAAATAGCCGATATGATGTTGGTACTAATGCGTTGAGACATTCTGTTTTGCCAGTTCGGGCTGATAAGTGACGCCGGAGACCTTTCCGCCCGCCTCTCAGTAAACTCCGGCCTTCCTAGCAACCGTCCACCACCTGGTATTTGGCTGTCACTCAGGGTTATTTGACTGTTTCAACCGTCATGTGGTCGTCACTTTAACCCAAAAATCGACACATGACACGAGCAACCTACATTGTTTGTCGATATAAAGGCCACGTCACTCCTCGTAGTACCCAGACTCTCTTGAGCACGAGCAGTATTTGCAGAGTCACAGCAATGTTGCGGGTGGCCATCCTCTGCTGCCTCGCCGCCGCTGCGGCGGCTACCTTCGTTCGAAGGTCTCCAGTAGGTGGCTCCATTTACGACGTCTCCCTGGTCCGCCCTTCCGTATCTGTGCCGCGCCCCGCGGTCACCGTATCTCCACTGCAGGGCGTCCTTCTGCCGGCGGATGTCCTTCCGGCCATCAGCCTGATCCGCACCCGGTATGGCCGTCTCTCCCGCCCCGCGGCCATCGACATCATCCGCATCATCTTGGAGCGACCTCACGTGCGTCTCCTGCGGGCGGTGCAGCTGCGGCAAGTGCCTACCATCAGCCGCCGCCTCGGCTTCCTGCGTACTCTTCTGGGTGCCCTGCCGCCTGTGTTCTACAGTGACGGCTACACCAGTGGTCTGCTGGCCTACCTGCAGCAGCTGGGGGTCAGCGCCAGCACCGGAGCCCTGCGCGAGCCACTGGCGCTGGTTGATGCCCGGTTGGCGTGCAGTCTTTTGACTCCCGTCTCCGTGCCGACGTTCCTCGACTTCTTTGGCAGTCGGGTGCTGCGTCTGGGAGGCGGTGCGTCGCTGAGAGGTCTGCCTCCTCTGCAGACCTTCTACTCACGGCTGGTGGATCTCCGACTGACTCCCGTACCACTCGGCTTCCAGAGGATCGTCTTGCGGACCGGCCGGGCGGGGCTCTCTGTGAACCCGCTGGCACCGGCACTCTCCCAGCTCGGACTCACCGGACTGGTTCGGCCGAACGTCATCTACGGCGGCCTGGAGACCTACCTCTCCCAGCAGGGCCTGCCCGTGTCCCGGTTCGTCAGGGGCCTGTCCCAGCTGCGGATTCCTTCACTGCCGTCTCTGACCGAACAGGTGGCCGTGGGACCGCTGCTGCCGCGGCTGCAGTTCCTGCCAGTGAGGGTCATCCGCCGTGACGTGGTACCACTTCTGGTGGTGCGGTTCTACACCCTACCTCGCCGGCTGATCCGTGTACTGGATCTGTCAGAGCTCATCACTGGCTACCTGTCGACGCTGCAGTTCACTGAACGCGTTACGCTCCGTCCCCAGTTCATTGTCACCCTGCTCACGGGCTTTGACGAGTATATTCATTCTCGGGCTAAGGGATTCCGAGGCCGCCTCTGGTGCCGTGGAATCTGGGGAGAGTGGTAGACGCAAAAACAGGGGGAGCCCTGTCTCCAAGCTAAGCTAGACAATGAATTAAAAATCACGGAAAGCGTTTTACTTGTCTTGCTTATCTAGGAGAGCATAACGTTTGAGCGCTGTTTTCGTGGGACTAGCTTGCAACAAAGATATTCGGAAACGTGACGTTTTGTTTGCAATGAGAACGAAGTGCGATTGTTTGACTGCGGCTCATGGTGGGATTCTCTGCAAAGTTAGTCCGATAGTGTGTATCATATTGGTTTACACATCAGAAAATTAAAATGTGTTTTTTTTTTTTTTAAAGTAAAAGTAGATTAAAAAGCATTGTTGGATATTGATTTACCAACACTTGTTTCCGAAGTTCTGAATCTCCGGTTATTCCAGGTCAGCATTACCGCCAGACGGATCCAGTGTCCCAAAATTTGCCAGTTTGGGTGGGAAATGACATCCAAATGAAAATGGTTTTCCACTCTCACCTCCAATTTTCCAGAGCAATTTTTCACTCCCAATTTTACCAGTAACGAGCATCTGCATGTAATGTGTACCTTTGGTGGTTGGCTTTTAACTTCCTCCGAAATTTCTTCAATCCTCTAGCAAAAACAACTCCCAGTTCCCACATCCTGTAGCACTCACAGGCAAATTGATTATCCCTGTTTTTCACCCTTTTTCATGAAGCTCGAATCTTCCACTCTCAGCCCGCTTTACTCCTCTGTGAGGAATATCCCCCTCCGACACCCAAGGCAAAATATAATTTTGGGACACTGGACGGATCAACTTTTAGTTGCATGACATAGCAAAAGCATGGATATTGGATAAGCTGATGGATGATCTGATGGGTAACCTGATGGATGATCTTCTACCTATTTATGAACATTACAATACCTAACATGTACCTATCATTCGACAGACACATGAGCTTCACGCCACTTCTACCATCAGAGTCATTAGTGCGGATAATCATGCCTTGTTTTCCTCCTGTATCCGACATCAACTAATAAAGCTGCACAAAAACAGCCACTGAAATGAACAAAAACTCACTGAACATCAAACGCAAACCGAGAAACGTGACGACACTGCGAAAATCCTCTACACCAACACCGTCATCACACGAGGTCCGTCGCACGTCAGTACCTACACCTTCTTTCCACGGTCGTTCGTCAGCGGAATACCGTATAGCCCCGATCACACTTGGCCTTCAGGTCAGACGCCAACGTCGCTATAACCAATAACCGCCGCGCCTCCGCCGTTCAAAGGTCAGACGCGCAGCTCCCAAAGTCCCGCCCGACACCAACTTTCCGCTGGCCTTCAATGATGCACGGCGTGCCTACGTCACTCTGACGTCCCTGTGACGTCACGTAGAGACGCGTGGCAGAGCTGTGACGTCATTGGATCGTCGTTGGACCCGCGTCGGCGGAGTCGGTGTTGTTTAGGAAACGCTTTAGAGGTGTCGTCGTTCTTGTGATGGCTGTCTACTGTTGCGCTTTGCGGTGACGATGGTAGCGAAATTATAGCGCAGTATCTATAATGGATAATGAAGTAATTATGTCTCACCCAGCTGTCTGGCGGTGATATGCACATTGCATACCCGAGTGAACTTCCTGATTGGTGTCTTATGGTACACTTACGGGCAGGCTGTGGGGGGGGGGGGGGGGGCAGAGGGGGCTACGCGCGGCACAGCGGATTGTAGACATAACACCTATGACACTCATGTTACCCACTGCAGTGGATAAAAGTGCATCCTAGATACTGTGATTGCTACAGTGTACTTGCACTGAAGAAAACACAACACAGCATGTAGAAATTAACCCGCGCCCCACTGGGGTCTGTGTATAACACGCCCTACTGGGGGGGGGGGGGCTATTCATAGCCCCCCCCTCCTAACTCCGAAACTACTGGACCGATCGTCAAAATTCAAACGGCGTCTGATAGCCCCGGAAAAACTGTCGAGCGAAACCTAATTTCATTGACCTCGAGGTCACCGATGACGTCACAGGTCAGGTCAAAGTAAAAATTATTAGCATTTTGGCTTGTTCACATTTTGGGCTCTGGCCGCCGTCTTACAAGTCAGATCAGGCTCATTTTTGGTTTCCACACTCGTGAAGAGATGCTCTAGATACTTTGAGGGTACCAAACTTGTACTTTGATTTTCAGGTCAGGGTCAGGTCATCACAGGTCACGAAAATATTATATCATGCATCGGTCACATGACACATGTTTTATGGTCCATTTAGGCCATAGATTTCGAATTTGATGTCGTCTGTGTCATTTGAGGTCATTTGGAGTCGAATTTCGCTTAGGTCAGGTCACTTTCAGGTCAAAAAAGGTCAAATTTTGAAGTTTACATTTTTCAACAAAAAAGGTGTCTAATGGATGCAGTTTGAGCTCAGGAACACGATGGTGCCATTTATATTGGTGTACGATGTCAAATACGTACTGAAAAATTGATTTGAAAAATTAATTGTGAATTTGTTGCAATAATGCGTATAACTTGGCCATTTTTGAAGATATTTAGCTAAAACTTGCTAGAGTTAGTCAACATCATGCGTTCTGTCACATATATTCCGGTTTTTTCGAAAAGTCGAAAACTTTTTGAAAAAAATATAAAAATATAAATTTTGAATATTATTATATAAAATTTTCGAAATTTTCAAAATTTTGAAAATCCGAGATAGCAGTTTGATAGCGCGGTCAATTCTGAGTCCTTTCATGCAAAGAAATTGGATCTAGCTTAAAAACTGAGCTCTTGGGAGCGATTGCCGTGGTTCAATGTTTTGCGTCGAAATCGGACGAACATGACGTCACTCTGACGTCATTTCCGGCCGACCTATGGTACCTACGAAGTTCAAATTTTGACACAAGGTGTCAAATTGATGCAGCCGAAGGTCCTGTAAGTTTGGCGTCGATCCGTCAAGCGGTTTGGAAGTTATTGCAGAAAAACGGGAGGGGGGGCTATAAATAGCCCCCCCCCCAGTGGGGCGCGGGTTAAATATCTAGATTTTCGACCATGCCCGACGGCGTCTATTCAGTCTATCCTACTCAGCTGAATATGAACGCATATCCACGGTGTCAACTTTAATGATACAGATTGCTCTGCCCCGAATATAAGCAATGTGATGCACGCTCCTAAGACGATTCCCTCTCCGCAGCATGAGTCATGCCCACCACTGTCACCGCCGTGCAGCCCTTGCCATATCACCTTTACCGCGACCGCTCGTGTGACGGTCCGTCCAATTCGTCTCCCGGAAACTCTGAGAGGCTCGCGTCTGCTGTGATGAGCTGCCGACATATAGCACGCTGAACGCTTCTGTCCAATAAAGTAGACCAAAAGCCTTATGTGATCCTCTGGGTTTATGGCAGATTAGCTGCAAAGGCTACCCCGGAAATGGCGAGAACTTTTATCACAACCGGCCAACGCGTCAGTTGAGACCGACGAGAAGCTTGTCTTCTCCTGGCAGTCATCGGTCGCTCTTGATGGACATATCTCTATGAGGATCTTTCATTCCAGTTCGACGATTTTTCCATCTCCACCAGTTGATTTCCAATGGCCCGCACGACGGATGGATGCTATTCTAGCCAAATCAGCTGAGAAACTCATTCGCCCAGATCGTTCATCTGTGAAGGATCACTTCATTCCATCCCAGAGACGCCGGCCGCAGGCCCGTGTCCCTTTCCTCAGTTCTCTCTCCTTTTGAATCTGTCACGGTCTTCCGGCTTCTTCCTCTGTGCCAACCACAGACACCTCAGCTCAGCCGTGAGCTGCCGACCCGTGAGGTGTGAACTAGAGATGTCAATCGGATACCAACTTTTTGGTATACCGATACCAAACCGATACCAACTCGGTATTTGGTATTGCAATCCTAATGTGTTTGGTATTTTATTGGCAACATGAACCCTTGCTAATGTTTAAGAGGCTAAGAAATCGGTAAAAAGTTGGTATTTTCCTCATGTTCCCAAGTTGGTTTGGTTTCGGTATTTCTCCATGGTTTTGGTTGGTATTTGGTTTGGTATCGGTATTCCGGTTTTCCGTAATTGACATCACTAGTGTGAACTGTGAGTCGTAAGCCGCAGCCAGTGAACTCTGTAACCCCAAACCGCTAGTCTGTGAAGTACAGCCCACCGCTAAAGTAATGTAGGGTTTTACCAATCTCAACGGTTGGCTTTGACTGGCGATTGTTTAATGCGGAGTGATGGAAAAGAAGATGTCAATAGCTAAAGTTGCAGCTGAAAGGGTGACGATACATATAAGCTACATTCAAAGTTTCATTGTAGTCTGGCTAATCGTTCCTAAGCTTCAGAAGCAGAACATACCCAAGACTGAAACCCCACATTACTTCTGCTGTGGACTGTACATATGAACTGTGAACCGCCAATATGTAAAATGTGAACCAGGCTACCGGCCTATGAACTGTGAACTGTGGGCCCCGCCCTTTGAAATGCCCAGTGTGAACTGACTAAACAGTAAACACGACCTACCGGTCCGTCAAGTGTTAGTTAGCTGTGAACTTGAACTGTGCGAGCTCGGTCCTTGAGATCTCCCACAGTCAGCGCGGCGGTTGGCACTTGAGGTGTGAACCGTGAGTTTCCAGGCCGTGAGGTGTAAACTGAACCGCCGATCCGTGAGATCTCTCACCGCCCGCGCGGCACTTCAGGTGTGAGCGCGGCTCACCTATAGCCGGGGCCGAGCGGCGCCGAGCTGAGGACGGCTGGCTGGGGCCGGCGGCCGGACGGACGGTGCAGACCGATCGATGGCGACTACTGCCTCTGGGTATACTGCCGCGGTACTGGCGGTATTACCTGCAGCCACTAGGTTAGATACACCGCCGCTCGTTGTCTACACTGTCTCTGCAGGGTGTACTGCCGCGGTGCTGGTGGTATTACCTGGCTACTAGGTTAAGTACACCGCCGCTTGGTGTCTGCACTGTCTCTGGGTATACTGCCGCGGTGCTGGTGGTATTACCTGGCTACTAGGTTAAGTACACCGCCGCTTGGTGTCTGCACTGTCTCTGGGTATACTGCCGCGGTGCTGGCGGTATTATACCTGGCTACTAGGTTAAGTACACCGCCGCTTGGTTTCTACAAGCTGGCTCCGGGTACCGCTCGGTACTGGCAGCATTGCCGTGCTACTAACTACAGTAGCCCTCCGACTGTCGGCCAGCACCGTTAGTATTTCCCGGCTCCTTCACTGCCTCTGGGTGTGCTGCCGGCCGGTGCCGGTGGTATTGCCCGGCTACAACACTGCCGGTCGGTGTTGCCAAGATTGCCCGGCTCATGCACCGCCATCCCGGTATGCTGAATGCATTGCCCGACTACATACTACACCGCGGGCCAATATACTGGCGGTTTACCCGCGCTGCACTTCTGATTGTCAACCGGAGCATATAAACTCCACAGGCTCTTGGATAAAAGAGAGAAATAAAGAGAAACCCAGAAGAAAAAGCTAGAGGTAGATGTAAAGTAGGTAGTTAGATGTCAAGAGAGAGAGAGAGAGAGAGAGAGAGAGAGAGAGAGAGAGAGAGAGAGAGAGAGAGAGAGAGAGAGAGAGAGAGAGAGAGAGAGAGAGAGAGAGCGAGAGAGAGAGAGAGAGAGAGAGAGAGAGAGAGAGAGAGAGAGAGAGAAAGAGAGAGAGAGAGAGAGAGAGAGAGAGAGAGAGAGAGAGAGAGAGAGAGAGAGAGAGAGAGAGAGAGAGAGAGAGAGAGAGAGAGAGAGAGAGAGAGAGAGAGAGAGAGAGAGAGAGAGAGAGAGAGAGAGAGAGAGAGAGACGAGGAGATAATCCGCCATTCTGTGCGGCCTACGCTTAGGTATCCCTCCACCCATGCTAGCCTAGCATCGCTCATTAGTACGCCACAAAACCTCTGGGCCTCCCCGCAGGGTGCCTCCCGGGCGTCGGGAAACAAGCCGTCGGGTCACATTTCACGTACCGTCTGGGTAACGAGGCTACCCCCGGGGAGGGGGGGGGGACAGTATCAGTGACCCGTCGGTTGGCCCTGGGGCGCTTGTCTCCGAGGACGCGGTTGGGCTGGAGGCGCTCATTACGGACGGATCACGCCGGCCGGACCTCAGGAGTGCGGTCACATGCGGGGGCGGGCAGCGCGAGGGGCGGATACACTGGTGGCATAGGCGGATGAGACTCAGGTTTCACTGTTGGCCGGTGGGGGACAGGGTTTCACTGATACTGGTGAGCAGAGCAAATGCTATTTTTTCATGTTTATATTTTATTTCCTGATAAGAAGTGATGCTCGTTCAGGATACAACACAAAGCAACACAAAGCAAACATCGCATGTAACACAAAGCAAGCATCGCGTTTCACGTCTTTTCCATGCTTGTCCAGTGCCCGATGCCGAGTCACGCCAAAAGTCAGCTAGCCAGCCGGCGCATGAGTGCCTGGGGACTTTTTGTTTGTTTTGTTGGGTTAGGCCCTTTCGGTCCAATTAGACCATTTCAGAGCCGGAAGGATGATAGGAATTAGGGGGAGACATTGGTCTGGGCAGGCACCCTAGTGAGTCGCCGGGGCTGAGCCCGTCCGAAGACAGGCCACCCAGCCCCAAGGCACTCACTGCACCCGGCTACGGGGTGCGCTCCCTCGGGAGCAGCGGTGCCGCTCCAAGGGAGCAGCCCGCATGAGATGAAGTTGCCTGTCCAGCCCGGAGGGGGGTTGCGGCGTGGAGGAGAAGGATTTCAGTATCCTGAGGATAGAAGCACGGAACGGTGTGCCTGGGGACTAAGCCGCCCTGTCCTCTTATACCAAGCACTGAAGATATGCGCCTGCTAAGCGATGCCCACCTACTTTGACTGTCATTTGACCGTCAGTGGCGCAAGTGGTCCAGCCGTTAATGGCGATAACTATTGCGCCGTGCCATTGGCGTGGCTCGATACGCTGCACTTAGTACTTTGGCCGTGCTGTGCATATTTAGCCGCCAGGCGGCAGTGTTCGTGGCGTTATGTTGTGCACCACGCGACCTTATCACCCTACATAATAATGAGTATCGGGTACTCCACCGCTTGGTCAACAACAGGCAAGTTAAGCCCCTCCACAACAAAGGACACCACACACGGCCCGAATTCTTCAGTCATGTCTGAATGGCTTATAACAGCTTATGCTACGCCCTAAAGCCTGCACCCATAGGCCATATCTGATTCCCATGGCCCACATCAAACGCTCCCGTTTCAGGACGCCCAGCACCGTGCAAAACAATAAACATTCATCCGTTCTAATCTCACAGATGTTGTTTGTCTTACATGTATCAACAGACCAATCGTCTGGACCAATCAGGATGCCTACCGTTCCGAAACAGACATACCTACATAGCTGTCGCTGTTGAGAAACAGGCAACCACATGCCAACCGGTGTAAACTTTTCTGATAGCTGTCAGCAGTAGGTACGCAAAACCTGTTCAATGGTCAGAACCCTTGGCTTTTACCAGTAAGCTTCGTAGCTCTCTCACCGCCTCTCCAATTTAAAGTTGGTGGTTTGTCCGCGCCGTTGAACAATTGTCGAATGTCGCCCCACCGTCAGTGTGTTGTAAGAGCACTAGACCGCCTAATATGGTGTAAGTGCTCTGTGGGGTGTAAGGACAAATGGCCGTCTGCGCGGTGTAAGAACACTTGCCCATCTTTATTGTATAAGTACCGTCTGTGCCTCACTATCTGCTCGGTGTAACCACCGCCAGCGGCGTCACATTCTGAGAGTGACCTGCCGTCGCTCGACGCTCCGTGTCGATCGATGAGTGTCTGGGTCGGATGCCGAGCCGACATACGGCGTACAGTACCGACTGGTCGCTACTGGGACGGTAACGAGCCGTCCCAGGCGCCAATCGGTCCGCCTAACAGCCCCCGCAACTATACTGGTCTCGGCACGGACGGTCGAGGGGCAGCGGGCGGCGGCGGGCTGGGAGGCATGCGTGCTGGGTCTGAGCGTATACGTAGGTGTAATGGTGTCCGAAGGCACGCCTCTTATGCTGGCCTTAGCGCCGTTGAAAAGCTACTTTTTGTGTGAATATACAATGCCGCGCCTCAATCTGAGCCCTGTTCGGGCAGCGCATCCTATTGCAAAATTTTGCACCACGCATGCGCAGTTGGGGTCTGTCGGGTGCCAAGCTCCGCCCTTCGGCGTATGACGTCACACGTGTGACGTAGGCTCGCGCAAAATCTTTCAGTTTTGCGCAAGAAGAAAATAGTAGCTGCAGGAGGCGAAAGTGGCGCGGATTAAAGTTTACCCTCATATATCTCTTATTGTAAGTGGTTAGTATGGTGTTGTTTTGGTATCATTTTCTTTCTTTTCAGTGGCACATTGCTATTAACCACATTTGAACGCATTTTACCTAGTAACTGAACGAAACACACCAGTCCATCCGCGCCACGGTTCGCCGCGTGTCGCGTGGCCCTCGGCTTTGCGAACCGGCGGAGAGGGGCGGAGCCAGGCGGCTGACATCATCGCATGTGTGACTTCACACTCAGCAAAATATTTTGCGCGGACCCGAACAGGGCTCCGGTGTTCTTGTGAATTTAGCTGGGACAAAATCCGTCCCCGCAAAAGCATACGCTCGTCGATATCGAACTGCGAAGCCGAAGGTCAGGTGTATTGCGTCATGTCATGCGGGTGATGGCCTTGTAGCATAGAGCTCAGTAATGCCTGATCAGATGTCTAGCCCTTATAAGTGTGCTTATAGCTGGGAGCTCAGCTGAGGCATTACGCAATCTGAGCTGATTGCGTGTGTATGTGTATGTGTGTAAGCAGTAAGACGAGGTCATTAGTCATATCTGGCACTCGACAGAATGCATCATGAGCCTTCCAAACTGCGTGATGCTATCCGCAATGCGTGCGTGAAATATCTTAATTATAAAAATCGTACCGCAATAATCAACGAGGAAGACACAGAGTAGGCTGATTCTGCGCACAATCGCTGATGACTGGACAGTATATGAGTATTTTTACAGCATGCACTCCCCTTAATCCATTAATTAGCGTCATCCAGCCGGGTCGGTGTGTGTGGGGGTCTGTCGTGACCGGTTCGCGTGCACGTCTGTTTGCCCACGGGGTAGGCGGGTATGTGGCGTGACGTGGAGGGACCTCCCCACGGCGGTACGGGTCGGTCTGTACCTACCGGCTCCTCCCTAACACCATTGCCGGCCCTGTGCCGCTTCCCTCGGTGTGTGGGTCCAACGGATGAGGCCCGGTCATTCAGGTGCCGATGGTAATGGTGGGTTGGGACGCAACAAACTGCAAAGCGCATGCTTTTACGCATAGTCGCTTACAGACGTCAAAACATTTGGACTGAAATGCAAATATTTTGCCCGTGCTGGAATAGCTCGAGATATATGAACATTGGAGAACAGTTATCTTCACCGGTTGGCGCATTCGACCGGCTCATTCGGTCAGACATTGGGCGCTATGTGATATGCATGGCTCTGAACGACTCATGTCAATAATGTCAGTCTGTGTGGGCATCATAAGGGGTGACAGAGGCACACACGATAGCCGACACGTCGATGAATGTCGGTGAAACAGGCGAAATAAACGAGGGTTTGGGCTGAAATGAGCGAAATAAATCACTCATCCATCGAAAGTTGGCCGTGACCCAGTGGGCAATCGACATTTGTATACCCACATTGCGAGTAGGTGTCGTGCCTACTATAGTAAAAGCAGGCTATTCAATAGTCGTGTCCGTCTGTACATAACCATGTGTACTTTATCCATACCTTGACGCTTCTGTGATATACTAGCCCAGCTGCTGGCTGTTGGTCCTGTTGCTCAGTTTGTTCTGAATCCGCTGCTCGATTGTGTGATGGTCACGTAACCATGTGATCCTGCTCCTCAGGAGGTGAGATTCGGCGTGGACCAGCCGCTGGATCGCGATGATAGATTATCCTATTGTTGACTATCGAATCCTGCCCCTCAGGAGATGGAGTTTGGCCTGGACCAGCTGCTGGACCGCGATGATAGATTGTCCTACTGCTGACTCATGACTATTGAATCCCATGCTCCTCAGGAGGTGGAGTTTGGCCTGGACCAGCCGCTGGACCGCGATGCGCTCCTTACGCTGGAGGTGGTCGCCAGGAACCGGTACCTGCAGAACCGCAGCCTGGGCGGGTACGGCCTGGTGCTGCAGCGCGTACTCGATGACGGCGGAGTCAGGGTCAACGACTACCTCGTCGACAGCAATAACAAAATCATACAGGTGGGTACTAGTGATGTCAATTCCGGAAAATCGTGATACCGATACTAAACCAAATAACAATAATAACCATGGAAAAAATACCGAAGCCGAACCAACTTAGAAACTGAGGGGAATACCAACTTTTTACCGAATTCACAGCCTCTTCTACATTACCGACGATTCACAATACCAGCAAAATACCAAATGCATTAGCCTTGAAATACCAAATACCAAGTTGGTATCGATTTGGTATCGGTATACCAAAAAGTTGGTATCTGATTGACATCTCTAGTAGGTACGCAGCTGAGCCGCTGAGCTGCCCCGATTCCCCCGGACTGTCGGGGTACTGGCCCGTCACGGGCTCTGGAGGTTACGGGGGACGAACCCATAAACGACAGAGCAGGCGGTACGGCATATATAGGCACAGTGCGATTTATTATGCAGTATGCTCCCATGTGTATGGTAGGTCAGCATTGAGCAATATATAATGTTTCAGACAGTGCCGCACTGCCAAAATATTTTCCACATGATGGTCAAAATCAAACAAGTCGTATTTCGGACCGAGATACGTATTATCTCACTGCAGTATGCGCAAAAGGACAAGGTTTTAACCGGTTGATAATAGACATCTATAGTAGTTAATTCCTCTTGAGCTTTATCGGGTGACGGGTATTGCTTGATGTGCCTACCTAACCATCGAATGTTATATATAGACAACAAAAGATAAAATGACTTATTTACATGATTACGACAAACACCATAACCGCATTCGACATGATCGACCCGTGTCCCGAAAATTAAAATACCATGGCTAGCATGCGGCTGACAGCTGCAGGGTGTAGTTATGCTGTGCCGCATGACACACATGTACTGCGGGACAGTCTACCCTCCAGTCGTCTGTGTCCGTGCGGGCCTCCCGTGCTGGACGGTGCTCGTCAGGCATTAGCGGCTGGTTTCAGATTCACGTGTGCTGTTTCTGGGTGCCAAACTCATGTCTATCGACTCATGCGTGTATGAGGCCCATGTGCACTGTGTTTTTTCTTTTCTTTTTTGTATGCTCTTAGGCTCATTAGAAGGTAGGTACTGACTGGAGGTGCTGTAGTCGTTTATAACTGTATAACTGGCTGGGCAGCAGGCTCGTGCACACTGTGGGTGCTTCCTAGATTAATTTACACTGTTTTTGGGTGTTAACCAGGCCCGTGCTCCGTTCGAGTTGATGACACTGTTCGCACCTATTTACACTGTTTCTGGTTGTTTTCCTAGCCCGTGGGCGGTTCGAGGTGCAGTGTGTACACTATTTGTACACTGTTTGCTAGTGTTTCTCAGGCTCATTCACACTTTTTTTGGGTGCTTCCCGCAGGCCCATGTGCGGTTCGAGGTGGTGTACAATTACATTGAATACACCGTTTATGGGTGTTCCCCGCAGGCCCGTGTGCGGTTCGAGGTGGTGTACCGGTGGCCCGGCGAGGCGTCTCTCGTCTCGTGGCCCTCGATGACGGCCACAGTCGAGGACGACCAGCAGATGCTCGTCGACATCGAGCAGAACATCGCCAACCTGGAGCGCTCCTTCTGCGACCGGTCCTCCTTCGGCGGTTCACCGACAATGGGCAACGCCGCCGACCCCGCCAGCCCCACACCGTCACGGAAAAGGTACGGTTCACCTCACTAGACCGGCTGGTCTCAAACCATATAGGTTGTCTCCCATCTCCGTAGACATGTCAGACACCGCTGACCGCGCCCTCCCAAAGCAGGCATATGTTCAGTATTAATCGTGATCAACACTGACTGGTATGCGTACTCATACGTTGTGTGTACGTACACGCATATACACATCACATCTGCATACTAAACGCATCACCAGTTCGATTCATTAGAAGCACGACAGCCGATAATGTTAATCGTCTACTCATCTCGCATTCAAATAGCTGCACTCAAAGCATCCTGTTGTAAACTCACGGCATTCAGTAGGATAGCGGTATGTCCCTGAAATTAATTCCACCTCACGACGCGGCGTGGGGTTCCCTGCTTACTATACCATTGCTATCCTCATGTAGTTAGTTTGCATATTTTGCCGGCCTGCATTCCCATACGCCCTGCACTGTGTTTATGTGGCGTGAAGTGCCCAACATTGTTCCACGTAGTACGGCCAGTGTGGCTCAAACACGCAACTTTTGACTCGTGGTAAACTGTATCGCCATTGTCAGGTTTCGAATTTCAAAAGATTAATTTATCTTAACTTGGCAAGGTATCGGAGTCCTTGTAACGTAATGCGATTTGTTGTAACTTGCGCAATTATGATGATTCCCTTGGGATATATGTATATAAATTTTGTATTTGATGTGCGATGCTCGAGAACTTTCTCCGACATCAAAATCGATCCTCGAGTCTTACGAAACCTCGCCTGACCTCCATGACCTCCCTCAGGGCACACATGGCGATGCGGCGGGTGAAGTCTCTGATGCGACTGGGCAGACGGCGCACCAGTATTGAGGACGAGCTGCTGCCGCGCGGAGACGGGGGCGAGCTGAGCGGGGCGGGCTCCCAGCAGAGTCTGACCGAGCAGCTGCCGCCCCGACCGGCCAGCGTCTGCTCACAGGCGTCCGATGATAGCACCATGTCGGCGACGGCGGCCACCGCGCGCGTCCGGAGGTCAGTTCAGTGGTGGGGTCAGGAGGTCAGTTCAGTGTCTGGGTCAGGAGGTCAGTTGAGTGGCGGGTCAGGTCAGTTCTTTGGTGGGTCAGGTCAGTTCACTGCTGTCCAGCAGGTCAGGAGGTCAGTCCAGTGTCTTAGTTATGTCAACCCCTCACCCGTGTCGGGAGGTCAACTCTAGGTTAGGCCAGTCGTCCAAAGGGGAGGTCAGAGGGCCAGTCTTTTGTGAGCGCTAGGTCAGTCCACCACACAGGTCAGGTCAGTCTACTATCCGGATAAGGTCAGTCCTCCGCCACAGAGCACACCTGGTCATGATGCCGGTCACGAGGCCAGACTAGAGGACATGACCCGGGAGGTTGCGGTAATGCTATACTGAACAGAGAGTTGAGTCAAAGGTTTATTCACGGAGACGCCAGGGAACAAACTGCGACTATTTCGACAAGCCCCTTGATGGTTCGATTGGAATTGTACCATTTACATAGTTATTTTTGGAAACAACTCTACGATTGAAAATGTCAAGAACAGAAACAATGAAAATTGAAACTATCATGCCTCTGAATGTGAATGGCTATTTGCATGCTAACGCATTCAAAAGACCAGCTGTCAGAACATTCTAGTTAGCAGCTACAGCCTACAGGCATCCGACTGTCAATGCTCTATTCGCTATTCTTTCCTTAGAACATTTCGTCTAACCCACTACGACTCTATCCATAATTAAGATAGCTCTATTTGCTGTACGGATTTGTACCTTTCTCCGACAAGACGTTCGGCCCAACTGCGCATTGTGGACATCTGCCTGGCGTGCCGTCTGCCTTCGAAACATGTTTCCAGAATTGAATCCACTGTCCTACCTTATCGGGCGGGCCATTCCGTGCAGCAGCACACCCACGCTACTTCAGTTCACTAGTAGAACACGTGTGTCTACCAATGGGACATGTAGCCAACGTGGGTGTCTGCCAACATGATACGTGGGTCTGACATCGGGACACTTGTGTCCAACGTCGAGATACGTGTGTCCAAATCGGGACGCTTCGTCCATTGGAGGGCTGCGTGTGTCCACCAGTGATGCATACGTGCGTTCACCGTCTGTGTCTATCACGGGACTCGGGAGATCTGCTGCCACAACATATAGTAAAACTGCAGCGTAGCTTAGTAATGATAGTTACATGTACTCCACTGTATTATTTAAGCTCATTTCGCACTTCATGATGTCAGCATTTAAGTTAATTTATGAATGCTTTAAGCATTCATTCGCCACCCTGCAAACACATCAATCCATACCGTAAAAGCACAGATTAGCAGCACCATCATTGAAATTGTTGCGACTGTTGCGGAATGCATTCATTTTCCACAAAGAACGGGATGAACAAAATTTATGGCGTGAAAAAATAAAATCAGAAGCTGCTTAGTGAATTGGTCCAATTTCAACGTCACGAGTCAGTGCATGCTGCCTCCCACGTCGGAACGCGATATTTATTGTTCCATCAACTTGTCGACTTATGTAAGATTCTCGCCGTTAGTTATCGGACTCCACAATTGCCTCAATCGCTCAGCCGATTGACTCGCTGTACTGCGGTCCGCCGCCGGCGGCTGGCGCTCCGTCAAATCGGAACACCGCCGCGGCGCCCGTCGCGCGACTGCTATAGCGAGGTGCTCCGTGCCATAAATTCCATGGGACGTGAGCGCACGGCTGGTATGGCACCCAGTGTAGAGCGCTTAATGTCAACGAATCGCGATTTATATTCTGTTCGAGGCTGGCGGTTGGCACGATAACTCTGTAAATTTCGTGATGAAGAACAACAGCTTGCTTCGAGTCGGCTGAGGCCCGACCGAGCAGTTTGTATTCATTAGCCTGTCAGAGTTGGGCTACACTAGGCGACGTAATCATTGGATAATCGAAATGGCCTTTACAATGAAAGGTAAATAAAATCGGACAAGTTTGCTGAGGGATTCAACAAAAGCCATTTTGACATGTTGTGTGAGGTTCAGCACGGGTTATACATAAAACAAGCGTGAATTTCAGAACATCTTGACATACCATTTAAGTGCGCTTAACTTTTGCTGAACTATTCACCATGTCGAAAATACTGAATTTATGTAAAGAGACCTTTTTAATTCTGCTATCGAAAACAGATCTTGCATCTACTCACAGTAATGGGCTCAGTTTATCAATGCCGACAAACTTTACTCTGGTACGGTCGTCAAGCATTTTAGAGAAAAACTTCGTTAGAGTATGGTGGAGCTATTTGCATGGTTGAAGATTGAAGTTTGACATAAGAATAGCGAAAACAAATGAAGACATAAACTTCATAATTTCTCATCCAAACCATTTCATTTCATTTCATTCAAGCAAACCATTTCATTCATCCAAACCATCCATCCATTTCTCATCCAAACTCTTGGCCTTCTTGGATCTATAATGCAGAGATAGCCGCCGTTTCACGGACACTCCCTAGCTGTCTGGCGTACTAAGGAAGCGAACTCTGCGTCGTTAGGCTTAGTAACGCCGTGTGGCTGGGTCCACTGGTAGAGTGCTGATAGGAGTGGGGCTCATTAGGGGCCTGTTGGAGGTGGTCTGTGAAAGGAGTCTAACAGGTCAGAGTGGTCCGTGGGAGTGGTCTGTAGAGGCGAGAGTGGTCTGTGGTATTGTTCCAAGAAAGTAGTCTGCGAGATGAGGTCTATGGCGGTGGTCTACAATGGCCTGATGCATGCCAATGCCGACAAATGCTTTCTTTTTCTTTTCGTTTTGCATGTAACTTGAGTCTTTTGATTTTAAGTCACTGATACAGATCAGTTTCTCGTAACTAACTCATCAGTGATCGCGTAGTGCATCCACAAATCGCCACTTCGGTCAGTGACGCTCGGTGTTTTTTTATTATTTAATAATTGAGACGCACGAACGTAAAATAGGATGTGCTCAAATTTACAGTTGAACAGCGTCCAACACTCCCAACAAATTTCACTTACAAGTTTAAGTTGACACAAACTATGCTAATTAGCACTTGTGCTAATCTGCGGCCAGATCGCTTCACCAATCTGACCTTTGGCTGTCGATTGATGGCCACATTTGGCCATCAGTATTCCCTGCAAGCGGACGCGACGCTACTAAACTTTTTATTAGTCGCCACCAATCGTCATTTGGTGGTGGGGCGCTGGGGGAGCTGGATGGCTGAAATAGAGGCTCCCGAGCCATAGGCGGCGGAACGGGGGGGGCACCGGGGCACCGTGCCCCCCCTTGAATTCTGCAAGGGGGGCACCAATAGCAAGGTGCCCCCCCTTAAATTTGATGTATTAGTACTAGGGGCAGATTCGGGGAAAACTCCAAGGGGAGGGCCATGAATCGAAGTGGTGCCCCTACCTATGCCCAAAATTAAAACCTCAACGGATTTCGGCCACTTAATTTTGGTGGTGCCTTATTTTCATTTTTTTTATTTTCTTTATTTTTGGTTAGTCATGTGATGACTGGTGCCCCTGCACCTGCTAGGCCGCTGATGCCCCTGGAAAGACTGTGGTACCTACCTACCCTGCCCCCTGACAAGCCTACGGTGGGCCCTGACATGACTTAGGTGCCCATGGGCCATGACAGGCCTGTGGTGTCCTTGCTAAGCCTGTGGTGTCCCTGGGCCTTGGCAGGTTTGTGGTGCCCCTGTTAGAACGCGGGTGCCCTTGACAGGTTTGTGGTGCCTCTGACAATCCTAAATTGCCAACGACAGGCTTGTGGTGCCCTTGACAGGCCCATGGTGCCCTTGCGAGGCCGGTGGTTCCCCTGCGAATCCGATAGTGCCCCTGGCAGGCCTCTGGTGCCCCTGGCAGGTCTGTGGTGCCCCTGGAAGACCTGTAGTGCTTTTGCTAGGCCGATGGTGCTCCTGACAGGCCTGTGGTGCCACTGACAGGCCCGTGGTGCCCCTGCTAGGCCTATGGTACCCCTGGCGGGCCTGTGGTGCCCCTGTCGGCTGTCAGGCCTGTGGTGCTCCTGGCAGGCATGTGGTGACCCCAGGCCCTAAGTCATGACCCATGTGACCTCCACCCTGGGATTCGCCACTGATTAGTACCATGCGATGGCTTCTTGGTAATTTGTTACATGTAGGATTAATGGAATTTATCAAACGAGAATAAGGAAGAGACAAACACATAGGTACTTGGGGATCAGCTTAAAGTTAACCACACATACGGGCAGGGGTGTAATTTTCCTAAAATGATTGTGGGTGCCCAGCTGTAGGGGCGCCCGGCGCCAGGCCGTTTTGGGGCGCGATAGATATTCTTTATGTGGGAGCCTAAATTAACACCGAATTTGATAACATTGCTAGCCGAATGGCGCTTCAAGTGACGTGTCTGACTAAGCAAATACACGCTTAAAAGTGGAAACTGACCGGAAGGACGTAAAAAGCTGTAGAGGGCGCCATCCAGTAGGAGGGGCACCAAATGTGGAGGCACCAGACGGTTACGACTTACGAGGGCGCCGTGAGACGATGAAAAGGGCGCCATTCTCTTGGAAGGGCGCCGAGTGATTGAAAACGCTATGTGGTCCAGGGGCGCTAAGAGGCCATAAGGGCGCCGCACAGTCAGTAGTGCTACGTTGGTGGGGACGTGGGGACGCCAGATGGTTACGAGGGCGCATTGAGATCAGGAAAAGGGCGCCATTCTCGTAAAAGGGTGCCGAGTGATTGAAAACGCTATATGTGGTTCAGGGGCGCTGAGAGGTCAGAAGGGCGCCGAACAGTCGAGGGATGCACGGTGAACAGAGACCTAAGGACGCGAGACGGTCAGGAGGGCGCCGTTATACCATGAGAATGGCGCGGTGCTGTCAAAAGTGCGCCATTCTCCCAGAAGGGCGCCGAGCCTGATTAAAAACGCTATATTATCCATGAACGCGAGACGGTCAGGAGGACGCCGTTAGAGCATGCGAAGGGCACCGTACTCTCGAAAGGACGCTTGCAGCCTTGTAAAAGACTTGTGGGTGCATTTTCATCATTGTGTGGGCATACATAATTCAGGATTGTGGGTGCATATGCCCCCACAAAGAGATATAAAATTACACCCCTGCATACGGGGGTGAACTGCCATTTTCGTTTAGTAAAAAATAAAATTAAAAAAAAATCATCGTGTCAGGGCTGTGACGAAAAATAAGTGGCCTAAATCCGATGAGAAAACAGGATTTGGGGGTACCCTAGGTTTGGCTCCTTGAGCCATGGTGCCCCCCCTTGTCTCAAATCGTTCCGCCGCCTATGTCCCGAGCCGGACCGGACGGGGCGGACGGGCCTGCAGGGGAGGTGATCGGGTCACTGCAGGACAGTGATGTGATCGGGGGATATATGATATCCCGACAGGTGACATGACATGCTCAGACCTGACCCGACAGCTAACCAAACCTACACAGGCCCGACCCGACGCGTCCGGACCCGGACCCGACCCGATCAGGCCACACCACTGACCCCACCCCACCGCGACCCGACAACACGACCGGACTCGATCAGCTTCGCCAATAGCGCTCGGCAAGGGCGGGGCGGGTCAAATAACATGGACAGTCACGGTAGACCGCGCTCTATAACGTCCCCTGATGACGGAGCGACCGACCGGTGTCGGCCACCCGCTGGTGATCAATCACCAGACATTGCCCTAATGGTGATAGCCTGGTGTTGCCAGCAGGCACCAGCCGGCACCAGCAGTTGCCCGCAATAATCCAATTATGTGTATGTATTTTGGGAGCAGGGTGGCTGTTACATACAGACGGTGCTGTATATAGGCACTCACATGAGCTGATGCCGTGAGCCTTATCTCAGTAATTTGTGACGCCAGGAGATTCTGAATTGATGGGAAGGTATGAGCCGTGTCCTTTCTCGCTTGGACCTGAGTTTGGCAACACCATTGTGCGGCACTGGTCAATAGCTTCTTCCGCAACCTTTGGCATTCCGTCTGACAAAAGGGTAAACGAATCAATTGAAGGCTGTCTTTGTGTCAGAGGCGCCACTCAGACAAGAGGCTACTTGTCTCCCTGTCATGCTGAGCTGTTTGTGACCTGTGTGACCTGCGCAGACGGAGAGGCAGTCTGATGCGTCCGCCGGCCACACTGACCTGTGTATATGACCTCTGTGTTCGTGACCTAGACCCCACAGACGCCGTGACACGCTGATGCGTCCCCCGGCCACGCTGATCTGTCTGTGACCAATGTGACCTATGTGTTACCTGCGTGTGACCTGTGTGTGACCTCTGTGACCCCACAGACGGCGTGACACGCTGATGCGTCCGCCGGCCACGCTGCGCGCCGAAGACTACCAGGTGTGTGTGACAGTGATCGAAGCCCGCCAGCTGGCCGGCCTCAACATGGACCCGGTGGTGTGTGTGCAGGTCGGGGAACAGAAGAAGTACACCTCGGTCAAAGAGAGCACCAACTGTCCATACTATAATGAGGTGAGTACGACTGAGCTCGGCAAAAGCGGAAGGGTCAGCCGCGTTGTAACTGTGTTTTTTCAACCTCCACTGTATTGGGAAGTGAATATTGCGCTACCAAAAGATTTGCCCTTGTCAATGGAATATACCTAATTAAAGATTATAATATTTTTTTTAATCATAGCAACAGCTATGAAAACTGACAGCTAACCATTGAAAACTGAAGCATCCCGTTTGTTTGTTTCAGTATTTTGTCTTCGACTTCCATATGGCGCCTACCATGCTGTTCGACAAGATCATCACACTCACAGTGAGTACCCAGTATAGAGGCGATATTGTGATTCCGCCTCAGATCTGCATTCCGTGCAATGAGTTCTCTGAACTGGATTATTGGTCTGTCAGGCTCGGTTCGAGCTTCTGTCACGTGGTGGACGTGCATGCCTTCGGTGATTTTGGTCTGTTGATTAAGTGGTCCGCAGACTTGACATTATCTTAATTGAAGTCGTTGTCGCAAGGAAATTGAAGGATTGCTGGGATTAAACCAATTCCGTAGGAATATCTTTTAAACTTGCGCTTGGGCGGAGGATGAATGATGTTTATGTATTTGAAACTGAATCACATCAGTCAAAAGCTCTTGGAAGAGTCAATGACATCCTTTTCAGCAATGTGTCTCAGGAACGGCCGTTTGTAACTGTTAACCCTTTCTCGTACTTTCATTTTCAGGTTCTTCAATCGCGCAATATACTTCGTGCCAATAAGGTTCTCGGGAGCTTTAAGCTGGACATTGCAACGGTCTGGGCGCAGACAGGTAAGTAAGATAGATCTTCGAACTGACGTCATAGGCACACTGGCTCGGGTGTATTTGTGTATCTGAAATTTATACCGGTTTACATACAATATACCTACATACCACAGCTGGTGCCTGAATTTTTTATATTCTTGAATGAAACTAATTTTTAATCAGAATAGGTGCTCAAGGCATGAACGTGCTTCCTGATGTTCTTATTTCGACTGTTTGAAATAGAATGACCGACGAAGCGAATCTGCCGCGCTAAGCAGAACGTGGTTAGCAGCGCCTGATGTGGATGGGTCTGAATGACTGCATTCTATTCACGAAGAAGGATCCTTCACACAAAGATGTCAAGATTACTTTTTCATTTTCGTATAGTTGTATACGATTCGACGCGCCGCCAAGAAAATACAGTGTTTGACGTCCATCGCTTGGCGTCTTTGCCAGCAGCCAGCGACACAATCTGCGTCGCTCCGACTCACGCTTAACTGTCGGTCGCCAACTATTCTGCTTGTTGTGGCGCTGGCTGGAAGCATCTTTTCTGCCCTTGGTTTTCATTTGTTCATTCTTTACTACATAAATAGAATGACTATGTGTTCGTCTTACATAAGTCAGCAGTATCATGATATCTAAGTTTATCCTACGACGTCATTGCTGAAACGATATCCCGCAATCGCCAAACGCTGCCTAATCTAGGCGTTCCTTTCATCTCGCTCTGTAAAGGACCTATCGAAACAGCGACCCAATCAGGCCGGGAGCTAGCCATTCTGGCGGGCCGGTGCTGCGCCAATTGGAGCGCTCTCGGCGGGCGGCCCGGGGCGCAGAGCGGTCCATGAAGGGCCATTTGGCCCGCTCTCCGGCGGCTGAGGCTCGTGTTCTGCCGCTGGCCAGACCAGCAGTCCAGGGGGCAATCGATACCACCCAGAGGTAGATCGGCGGCCGGTGCTCCGCGCGAATTACACCCGTGATCAAAGATGCATTCTGGAGACGGTGGAGCGGGCGCAGTGGCTCTGAGTCGCTGGTCGTCGACCCTTCAGCTCACCTGACGCACGCGTCGGCGGCGGGCCGGCGCACGCGAGCTCACTCACTGTCATTTACCGAGCCAATACGTGTCCATTTGGACAGTGGCCCCGGGCAGGAGCCAATGATCCAACAACTGTCTGCCGCGGTCGCCGCGCCGCCGGCGGCAGCGTGCACGCGACGACGAGCCCTGATTTGAGTGACTCTGACACTTCAAAGACGGCGAAATGTCAAGGAAATTAAATTGCGTGTAATATCGCAATTTATTTAATATAAGCTGTGTGGAGTGCAATCAATGTAAGTTAATTAGAACGGAAGGAAGCCAACTTAGAATCGACGTAAGTCTATTAACACTGATTTCAGCCCCACAAACGTATGTTTATATCAAGATAAGACATAATTCATTTATTATTCAGAGTTAGATGTGACGACTAGCTTGTTCAAAACTTTTCAGTTTCCTAGAGACAATGCTAAACCCGCTTATGAAGTCTTAGAAGTCGGACATAGCCGTTCTCAAGTACCCGATATATTTATCACAAGCCTTACCATTGATCGAACTTTCACCTGAATTTGCATCTCAGATGCCGGCTTCGTTGAATCCCAATCATCCAGTTCAGTCTCTCCAATGTCCCACCCTGCCGACAGATCACCAGTTTTACCACAAGTGGGCGCTGCTGACGGACCCCGATGACCCGTGTGGCGGCCCCAAGGGCTACCTCAAGTGCGACATCAGCGTCATCGGCAAGGGCGACACGGTCAAGGCGCCCACCCGCACCGACAGGGATGAGGACGACATTGAGGCGTGAGTGGCGCGCTGGGGGCGTGAGTGGTGCGCTATACAATACAATACAATACAATACATTTATTTTTCAAGAATAGAAGCAGAACACAGGATACAAACGCATAATCAGATTGGTGCAAAAGAATAAAATTCTTTAATTAAAGCACCTCTCTGCAGAAACGATAGCCAATACTTAACATGAATGCAACATAAACAACGAAATAAAATGACACTTTACAATGTCAAACGCTGGGGGCGTGAGTGGCACGCTGGGGACGTGAGTGGCGCGACGGAGGCATGGGTGGTGCGCTAAGGGCGAAAGAGGCGCGCTTGGAACATGAGTGGTGAGATAGAGGCGTGAGTGGCGCGCGGGGGGCGTGAGTGGCGCGCTGCAGACGCGGCCAGCGGCTAATGTCTCAAAATTGAGTGGCTTTGCATGCCACAAATCAGGGCTCTAAAGAGCCACAAATAATTGTAAACGGAAGGGACCCAAGACATGCATGATTTAATCATCAATCCAGAACACAAAATGAAAGTCATCTGTAGCCAGTATTTCATCGAGAATGAAATATGGGGATGTCTTAGTAACTTGGCATACATCTATAAAACTTAGCGTTTGATGTTGGCTATAGAAGCCTGTTTGGTACCCTGCGAAAGATCTGGTTTCAACACTTGTTATAACGTACTGAATATTTGTTTTGCGTTGCTTTGATGTTGCGCCTGTCGAAGGCAGCACAGCCAAGTCTGTCAAACACAATTTGAATTTGTTTCCAATCAGTTTCCATTCAGCACCATATGCGTTCACCACTCAGCTGTATGCTATGCCTACTACAAATAACCCGGAATGATGTGTAATAAAGTGGCTACATATATTGACGTCTCGGTAATTTGCGCTCAGTGCTACCAAAATAAACCAGCCATTGCCAGGCATTTGCGTGACGAATGCCATTCTGCTGCGTGGCTCCTACGTCATCCCTGCAACGAGCGTCATCACTCGTCACCAAACTACGCGCCTTCCACTGCGATGTATTCGCCACGTTTCGGACGTAATTACATATATCAGACAGGCAAAATAGCTATTGTGTTCCGCGGCCGGCTGCCTTCGCGGAGTGGCAATGTCGGGCTTGCACGCCTCATCGACCAGCCAATTAGTCGGGCGTTATTCGTGCCATGTGTGTAGCGGGAAAACGCGCAGTGTGCCAAGATACCTATAAGAAACAGGTAGATCCGATGTTTGAAAGTAAAGCCCCAGTCACAAATTTGACGCACCTGTGACATTTCCTGACACCCACGTGACTATTGTATTAACTTTTGTGTTTTGCGATGTTTTGACCTTATTTAAAGTACTGAAAGCTCAAAATGTATGATTAATGTTGTTTAAAGCAGCATATTAATAATTATGTTTGTAAATTATCGATAAGCTGCTTATGGCAGGTCACGTGATTGCTACCAGATTATGTGCTCAGAAAGCATCTTTTCAACTTCGATTTTGAACAATTTTTACCTCCTTTGAGGCCAAATGATGGACAGTTTGAGGCACACGATGAAATGCTGAATCTATTGATGCCAAAATTTGCTCGTTTTTTGCATTTTTAGACTACTATATCCTGGCTCAAACTTTGACCAGTTTGTGTGTAAACCCTATGGTGAAGGGAAAACTTCACGCCCAGCAGGCGTCATTACAGTGCTGCCAAATCGTGTTTGGTGGGGGTCGCAGTGTGCTTCTTACTTGAGATGTTGTTTGCAGCGTTACTATGTGCATTGTACCAGCTGGACAATTACAATGTGCGCCGCATTCTAAAACGGACAACGTGTCCACGCCCATAGGCTGATGGGGGTCACTTCGCTCCTGGAACTGATATTCTGCTAAGCTAATTTCTATACTTATATTATACACTCTATACTTGCCACAGTCTAGCGTTGCCGGTTTCTTTTCTCTCACAGTCTCGAACTAAGATCCCTTCCCTCCCCTTCACACCTAACTAGCCCCCTCTTTCCCTCCGTGCTGCGACAGGAACCTGCTGTTACCGGACGGCGTCACTGCGGAGCGGCAGCGGGCACGTATCTCCGTCACCATACACAGTGCCGACGGTCTGCCCCGGATGAACTCCTCGCTCATGGCCAACGTGAAGCGCGCCCTCACCGGGGAGAACAGCGACCTGGTGAACCCCTACGTGCGGGTCTCGTTCGCCGGGCTCACAGTAAGGGCTGCGCTCTTCCTCCACTGCAGCTGAAGCACGCGGTATTTTGAAAGCGTCCTGCTTCTAGAAATGTTAGTAGTCCATGTGAACGAATATACATATGTTTTAGATAGGCTTCGCCTTGCTTTGAATCTGGCTGAAAATTTATATTGGCTCATTTTCACCATATTACAGTGGGAATGGCTCTCGACCTTTTTAGGTCCACTTTTTCCTCAATGCGCCCATCCAAACATCTATTCACTAATCAATCTTATCACATCATGGGAATGTGATGCCTTTACTGTGAGCTAGAATTGAGTAACATGCTAAATCCGCCGTTCCCCTCACAGTACACGCATTTTCAGGTGTGGGAGATGTGTGGATGCAAGGGGAATCACCATTATTTCCCCCCAAATTGAAACAAGGGATTATTTGATGAAGCAGCTCTCTTACATCACAATGGCAAAAAAAACGGTTATTTTTCATTTAATTATGTCATCACGCAATACCGGTCGCTCCCCTATTATGTATCACAAGTTACCATCTCGCTGATGCAACTCCTGAAGCTCACGTCACAGATAGAGGAGATTGTGTCTCTGCGGCGGATAGCGTTCCATTATGTCCGTCCCCATATTACTCTCCCTGTCTGCGCGGCGCACATCGTCCTAATCATGGCCGGCAGCTGGCTGCCATGGAACCCTGCCGGCCTTCGCCACTGACGCGGACTCTTGCCGGCACGGGTGGATAACAATGTCGTTGCCATGGAGTCATGGCGATACTTATATGGAGTCGTGAAGTCGCTGTCAGTGTCAGTGACTCCTGTCGCCACTGACTTGCGGGTTTATCCACTTAAAGCCATAATGCTAGTTAAGTTCGAAATAACGAACTTGGAATACGGTTTTGAATGGAATTTCTACACAGTCTTCAAAACATCGCTTTATTTTTCTTTGTGCATTCACATGCATTTGCTAGAAATCCATTATGCTTTTAGTAGTCGTCGTATCGGATCGTTCAGACGAAACTACAAGGTATGTAAATGCATACCGAAAACTCCAACAATATAGCAAACTTCATGGATAGCACCCTTGTTCATGGAGCCCTGCCGGGTTTAACATGTAGTTCTGTCGGCACTGACATTGAGCTCTATCGCTACCGTCCCGACCAATCCCCGACAGTGCTATAGTCGACCACAGTACTGAATAATGGGAGAGCCCAGCACTCCAATCAGCCCTGTATCATCGCCAGAATGGACACAGTGAACTATATTGCGAAACTTAAGGTAGCAAAGTCGACGCCGGCGCTGGCTGGATGTCATCTTTTGTTATTTATTGGGTTCTTGTAGGTAGGAAGTGGATCCTAGAAACACTATGGCACCGTACTGCATGGTTAGCTGTCTATGTAGGAGATATTGGTCTCAATTCTGTATGTGTCTGTCACGATAATTCGCGCAAGTTCATGTTGTCGGACGGACATTCTGAATAATCCGGCTTTTTACGTTTCACTCCCCAGGGCAGAACATCGGTGAAGAAGAGCTGCTATTCGCCACATTGGAACCAGCAGATCGTCTTCACGGAAATGTTTCCACCGCTGTGCCAGCGGATTAAGATCCAGCTCAAGGATATGGATACTGTGAACGATACACTGATCGGGACACATTTTCTGGATCTCAACACGATCAGCAACGATGGCGAGCGTGGTAAGATAGGTGAAATGGCCAGCACATCTCCATTTAGCTAGAACGGTGCCAAAAAACTCCATTGTCTTATTACCAGACATTGCCCAATCATTTTTAATCATCAATAGCTGAGTAAAATTTATGCACTGACACAACCTAACGTGCATCTCTTTTCTCACTGCTCTCGTAATGTGGCCCATATTTTTCACAATGAAATTGTTCTCTTTCAGGATTTCTGCCTACGTTTGGCCCTGCCTACGTCCACATGTATGGCTCAACTCGAGACTACATGTTCCCAGGGTTTGACGAGCATTCGCCGCTCAACAACGGCCTTGGTAAGTCCCATTTGGCACTGCGTTCAAAACGTTATTGAGTATGTCGATAGTCTTTTTTTTTCATTTTTACTGACATCCGTCGTGTTCGATTCATTTCATTTTTTTTTTTTAGTATTTGTCTCTAACCGTATTTTTCCATCACGCACTTGGGTGTCGGCCGTTGCCCTTTCCTCCATTCCCCGGTGTTATTTCTGCGGGCTCCGGAACGAACAAACGAACGTCGGTCTCACAGCCGGCCTACCACTGGCTTAGCCAGCTCGCAGCCGTTCTGCTGAGGCGGGGAGTTTTGTGTCGCTCCGGGAACCGATCAGACGCCGAAGCTTAGGCCCGCGTCTCCCCAGTCCACTGATCGACTGATACGGGGATCAGAGGGGCGTTCACATGGGCTGAATTCCCTACCAATCAGCCAGTTCGCCAGCGAAGCTGTCCAATCTCGTCTGAAACTCAGTCACTCTCACATTCTTTATCGTGTAGGTCGAGACGTATGGGGTGATGTATACGTGCGAATGCTTTTATATTTGCATATATGGGTTCTTCAGTCGAGTGAGAAGTGATTGAAGTAGTAGAGATGCATGAGACGGCGAACGACCGTTCATTTATCGTCTTAGACATGGAGTGGAAAGTGGGTTCGGCTTAGATCGGTACGGAAGTCAATGGGTACATTAAGAACGGAGTGCTACCTCCTTACAGGTGAACTGATAGAGCGCAATAATTCGGCAATTTGGCACATAATGAAGGCGTCACGAAAAAAAAACTGAACATAACTATATTCATGCTGTTTCTCAATCAAGTCGTTTGTCATTACATTACATGCATTATTTTTCATGCGTGCCGTATTCTTTTCATCCCTGGTGCTTAGAGCGGGAGATTCTGGGACAGGAAGACTTGTATCCAGACAGTGTCCATTTGAAGCGGCTAGTGCCCATTGCTGGGAGCCGCTAGACGCTGTCCCACATGACTGCGTCTACCCGTACCGGATACGGTAATTGCCTATTCAACAGCCTGTTACTGGACATTGGCAAACATATATGACCGGAACCGAGGCAGACTGCTCGTCAATGCCATGCACGCAATTATTTCTTTGTTGTTAGTTGTCTGGCGAGAAAAAGGACATGGAAATAATGTTTTTTGCAGAATTTATACAAGGTCGAGACTGTACTTCTGAATGCTCTATTCTCATGCTACCAGCACATTAGTTTCTTTCGTCCTATAACTCATTTTTTTCTAAAATTTGTTGACTTTGGGTTACTAAGCAAGGTGATTGAAGGCACTGGGGTGGGGTATACTCTATTCGCACAGTTCTATCTCTTTTTACGTCCCATTCGAACGTCCCGGCACCACAGAATTGTCGGGAAAACTTGGGTAGATAGACGATTCCAAACTATGCAATGGCTATTCACCGATATAACACCATACGCCATAAAGTGTTCTAACCGTAGCACACAGACCAGTTAAGAACTGTTGTGACCAGACCCGTTCGCCTCAATTCTCACCTATCCGTGCTTCTATCCTCAGGATACTGAAATCCTTCTCCTCCACGCCACAACCCCCCCCCCCCCCTCCGGGCTGGACAGGCAACTTTATCTCATGCGGGCTGCTCCCTTGGAGCGGCACCGCTGCTCCCGAGGGAGCGCACCCCGTAGCCGGGTGCAGTGAGTGCCTTGGGGCTGGGTGGCCTGTCCTCTGGACGGGCTCAGCCCCGGCGACTCACTGGGGTGCCTGCCCAGACCAATGTCTCCCCCTAATTCCTATCATCCTTCCGGCTCTGCAATGGTCTTATCAGACCGAAAGGGCCTAACCCAACAAAACAAACAAAACAAACAAACAAACCTCAATTCTCGAGGTCACCATGATACCTCGCCGACCGGGGGAGAAACCCATCCACTTTGAGCTGAGCGTCGGCAGCCGTCAGTTAATTCCCTCCCTGGGGCCGACGCTGCAGTTTGATGTTTGATCGAGACTGCTACTACCCTGCCGTTCGCTCTCCGCGCTTTGTTCACTAAGGTCAGCGGTCAGATGTGTTCCCCGGTAAGGTCAGAGGTCAGGCGTGCCCAGGTGTGTCCCCGGTAAAGGTCAGAGGTCCCTGCTTAGGTGTGCTCCCCGGGTAAGACCGGAGATCACTTTCTGTCCTTGTTTGTCTGGGTAAGACCAGACGTCATGGTCTCTGGTCAGGTGTTCCTCGCGTAAGGTCAGAGGCCACTGGCCAGGTGCGTTTCCCCGGTAAGATCAGAAGTCACTCCTGATCATCTATACCCCAGGTAAGGCCACCTCCCGCCGGCAGCTTACGATCGCTCTTTGACAGGCGAGGGAATCAGCTACCGCGCCCAGCTACTGGTCTCTGTACGGACCGAAGTCACCGACGTGGTCGAACCGGCCCCCTCGGAAGTCGAGGTGGAACCGGCGCCGGCCATGATTGAGGTCAGTTTTTGTGTAGTTTGTTTAAAGTATTCACCAGAGACCTATGTTTGGTTGTACAGAGATCTATGTTTCCACATATATTTGCTTAAAGTCTTGAAAAATGAAAATATTTTAACGTTCTTAGTTCTCAAATTCCATTGTGCCTGACAATTTTCTATCTAACTAATGCCTCAGTCGCATCAGATGACATTCATTTTCGATCTGCTTGGCCGCTGCCGCTTCCCTATCTATTGTTTAAGCCATTTCGGCAGCGTGTGTGCGGGCAGAGCCGCTCCCGCTCTGAAGAATTGCTATTGAACCTAGAACTCATTCAAAGTTAGATCGGCCTCTGGGGGAACAGGACTGGGTCTCTCAGAACTTTAAAATGCATTGGGGCTGAATTATGGGCCTCGTTCCATTTCACAGTGTTACTTGCAAGCGTTTGTTTGTTGAATGAGGCGGGGATCAGCTTGTTTAAATGTCACTTGAGCGTGTGTGCGAAGAATATAAACGTTTTTTATGCGTGTAATTCGCATAATGGGATGAAATGTGTTCACATGCTTCGCTTCAACATCGTTCTCACGTTGCCCGTGTTTGCACTTAGGTGGGGTAGGTATATGGTGGCGCTGGTAACCTTAGAGCAATAGCGAAAGAATGCGCGTTTGTGCCTGGCTGACGTCTCGTGTTTCCATTCAGAGTCAGCTGGGGAAGCCAGAGGAGTTCTTCCTGTTCGCCTCAATCCTCGAGGCCACCATGATACCTCGGAGACTTGGAGAGAAACCCATCCACTTTGAGCTGAGCATCGGCAACCACGGCAACACCATGGACGGCCACAACACAACCACGCGCCGGGAGAGGACCGACGACGACCCCGGTCAGTTCCGCCGGAACGGCTCACTTCCGGTCGGAACCCGCCACTTCCGGTCGGAACCCGCCACTTCCGGTCCGTCACACCACCACTTCCGGACGGTCATACTGTCACTTTCGGTCGGTCATTTTCACTTCGAGCGTCGTTAAACCGGTCTAATCAGCCGCAATTATCAGGGGATTACATGGTACTGAGTATGCTCTGTTGGACGATAAACTGATTATCTTGTCGGTACTGTCCATCTCCAACAGTTTAAGTTCAGGTTTTTTTACTCAATGCCCCGACTGCGTCTTCCTTAGTGTTATTTGTTTTTATTTGTTTTTGTTTTTTAAATGTTTTTTTTTAAGCCTGAGATCTTATGCGATGCAACTGTTTCTTTGTTAGTTGCGACGAAGCATTCACATTTCATCAACATAGCATGCATCGCACTCCTCCATTCTGTTTATTGGGTCTTGCATTTGGCCGTCGCGACTTTATTTTCTTTAGCGGTATTTTCCGTCTCGGCGTGAATCCCTTTCCAGGCCGCTTTCTCACGTCACTGCAAGTAGGAGCTTAAAGTCGTAGGCACTATATCAAGGTTTCTGCCATTCAGGGAGCTCGTTCCTTTTGAGTGCCTAGGGTGCATCTCTTGTGAGAAGCATCAAGCTACTCTGGCGGTAGGTTTTTCGATGACCCTAGACGGAAGAAGTGGCTTCCTCGGCGGCATAGTGCTGGTCCAGTTGACAGTGCTGTTTTGCAGGCAGCTTCGGCGTAGCCTCACTCCTCCTAGCTTCCTAGCTGTCGTTTCCACCGTGACTCTCCTGAGGAAGCGGACAAAATCCTAAATTATAGCATGGGCTTTAAAATATTCAGATTGAATGCGTTACATCCCTTGTCTTGTGAATTTACTGACTAATATTTAGAAACAGAATGGCAAGGGGAAGGAAATTGCCTACGCCACTGTTTCAAACACAAACGGATTACGTCAAGTAAACACCATTAGCTGCTGGAAGGCAGTACTTTCCCCAAACTGACCGACTCGCTCCGTCCTCCAGGTCTGGAGAGTGTGCTGGCCGACACACCACCCTACCAGTCCACCTCTCACCCCATCAAACCGATGAGCTACGACCGACTGTACTACTTCCTGCCCTACTGGGACAACAAGCCGTGTCTTCACGTACGCAGCGTGTGGCACGACCATCGGCGGCGACTGTACCACTCCAACCTGCTGGCGCGCATCGCCGAGAAACTGGTCAGTCGGGTGGGGGGAAGGAATGGACGAGAGAAGCAGTCGTTTTGTTTGTGCAGTGGGCATGGTCAGCGCTGCATAGTAAGCCTAGCCTGGCTCGTTGGCTGACCCTGAAACCTCATGGCTGGCATTTTGGCTGGCGTTCATGGCATTTTGAAGGCTGATCAAGGTGTGGGAACACCATCATCAATACATTTTTGTAGCTGTTTTCTATTAGATTCCTTGGTGTGCACCTGCTTTGACAGCTCCTCAATATCAAATTTAGCAAACAATTTGCATTTATATTCATTAAACGACACCAGTGTATCATCGTGTCGACTGTCGTTATTTAGTACACACCGTTTGTGCTGACAGCTGGGATCACATTTAATGATGCATGGTGTCATTAACCCTCGCCCGTAAACGGCGATCTGCCACCTTCGCCCATGCAGGGGGGGGGGGGGTTGGTGCGACCCCCCCCCCTTGGCGTTTGAAAACGGACCGTCGTAGAGCTTAGCGGAAAAAACCAACGGATTGCTCTCGCCGAGATCTCGCGATTGGTGGTATATTTTTTGGTCCTAGGTCAACATTTGACCTACTTATGACCGGTCAAAGGTCAAATTTTCGGAAAAATAGACTTTTTTCAACTTTCTGCGGCGATTGCGGCAAAACGGTGGAAGATATCGACTTGAAACCTTCACTATCGTGTTCCTTGATCAATTCTCTATCGTTTGGTATGTATTTCGTTTCCCTAGCTCTAAAAATGGCGCGTTGGGAGCGCTGGAAGTCGGCAAGGTCACAGTCGGCGGCAGAAATTCGAAAAATCAAAATTTAAATTTTTGAGATCTGATTGTATTTTTGGATTTGGAAGGTCCATTTGCTCCCTATAGAAGCTAATATTGCTGCATATTCCCATTGAGGTGACAAGAATTAGCAAAATAGTGGTTCGGGCGCTTTTCAAAAATAGTACCGGACGCTGTTCCTCTTGTGACGTCATAGCTCCGTGACCTGACCTGACCCGGTCAAGTTTCTTATACCATATGATAGCCAATACTTGCCCCAACATGCATGGGAAGTTTCATCACGATCCATCAACCGATGTCCGTACCACTGGCAGGAAACCTCGGGCGTTGGCACTCAGTTTGTGAAAATCCGGCCGGAGGCTGTTCCCTTTGTGACGTCATAACTCCGTGACCTGACATGACCCGGTCAATTTTTTTTTTTTTATCAAAAGATGCGCAAGGTTTGCCCCATAAGGTACCCAAAATTTGGCGGCGCTGCGCGCCGCCGTTTTTGCACTATTTCCGAAAAACCTCAGGGGGGGGGGTTGCACCAACCCCCCCCCCTACATGGGCGAGGGTTAACGGTCGTAATTACGCAATCAACTATCGCCATTTGTTTTGTGCCATGGATTACCTGCCATCCACACTACGGCTTGTCTCGCCCTTTGCTATTGGCACGTTCCCGTTTGATTAACCTCATCTGCATCTAATGGCGTTCCCAACGGCCCTGCTGAGCGCGACAGAACACATGACGCCTATTCCGGGCCTGTGACGCCTTCCACCAATCCCCTCAATCGTTCCGACCAGTGTTGAGTCTGCTCAACACAGCGGGGTGTAACGGTTACGCTTGTCCGAGGCTAACCCCCAGCTCAAGCTGTAGCCATTAGCGCACGTACGAAATGAACAGCAGTCGCCACCGGCTGCCATGGACCTCTGAAAATTTACCGGCACACGTGCGGAGAAGGTAAATTGCTGACACATAAACCCGCGGCTTATCACGAGAGCCGGGGGTCGTACAACACCACACAAACCGGCGGCTTATCGCGAGAGCCGGGGGTCGTACAACACCACACAAACCAGCGGCCTATCGCGAGAGCCGGGGGTCGTACAACACCACAGTACCACACAAACCCGCGGCGTATCACGGGAGCCGGGGGTCGTACAACACCACACAAACCCGCGGCTTATCACGAGAGCCAGGGACTGTGTACGACCCAAGTACGACCCTGCAAGCAGATCGACGGCTTGCTCTGGCAATGAGTGGAGACTGGAGGTAATTGATTCAGCAGAAATATATATTTTATCGGGGCCAGTCAGCGATAAAAAGACGGTAGCAAAACATCCGACATAGATGCAATATATGTAATTGAATCCTGCTTCCGCCAGTCATTCGTATGGCTGTCACTTTGTCAATCATCTTGTCAGTCAGTCAGATTTTGTGGCTGCCAGAGTGTCTGTCATCAACCTCTGAACCCTGTCCCAGAACGAGTTTATGTAAGCAGTCTGTCAGTCTTTCCAGTATATCATATCACATTGTCTCCACATTGTCACATTGTCTCACGAGTGTCTCAGCAGTTTGCTAGCAGTCTGTCATCGCCCTCTGTCTTCAACCACGACGAGTGTCTTGTCAATTGTCAATCGGTCATCATCCGCTATCTCCCCCTCCCCTCCAGGAAGAGCGTCTGTCAGGTTAGTGTCGGCAGTTGTCACCCCCTCTGACCCCCCTCCCCCGCCCCCTCCAGGACGAGTGTCTGTCGGAGGCCCAGGACCTCTCCGAAGAGGAGGACCCGTCGGCCGACCAGTGCCTAAAGGCCTGCCTGGACCAGCTGTGTGCCGACTGCGCCCGATACGTGTCCGTGATGCGCTGCTCCAGTCAGCCCGTCACCGGACGAACAAAACTCGACAAGGAGAGGGTGCAGTGGTGCCTTCAGGAGCTGGTGAGTTCGGTGGGACCTTCAGGAGCTGGTGAATCCAGACGTGATGCCCCTAAGAGATTGTTGATTGCTGGTATTGAGTGTAGATATCGATTTATGCGAGAAGGGAGTCCATCAAATTGAGAGTGCTGCAACATAGCCTAAACTCGGCTTGGACGAATAGACCATGCTGAGCTGATGGAAGTCATACGCCGTTATAAGCGCTGATGTCATTCATGGGCTGACATCTTTCTACGGTACCGTAGAGAGGACAATGCACATTTTTTTTTCTTGTTGTAGAACGGGACTTCATTTACGCCTCGCACGACGCACAGCAACAACATTTCATTTCCATGCACCATCAATCGTCTTCATCAAATATTAAAACCGTTTAATATTTTGCGCTTCCAATACCCGTCAGATAACATTATTTATCCCTTTCGAGCGGTGTATTACCCCTACTTAGCCACCGCTGTTCTATATAGTGGTGCGACCGCCTTTTAAGTTTGGCCGCGCTAAGCAAACACAGCGGACCGGTCTCGGTCGCCACTTATAGTTGTTTGCGTCCCGTAATGGCACGGCCCGTGTGGTTACAGGCAAACTCGAGTGAGCACACAGCAGGCGCCAGAAAATGCAATAGACGCCGCCAGTTCGTGCGTGCGAAGCTGTTTTTCTGAAAGTTTAAGCAGTGCAATGCCTTGGTGGCTGTTATGCACATGTTATGCAGTTATAATTCGAGCAAACTTTTTGTAATCTTTTTACAATGTCATATACTATTTGGTAAATGAACGTGACATTAGTGTGAAACTATAATATTTACTCATGAGCCATGAAAATACATATGCATAGGCTGTTCAAAGGCTTGGAAATTGCGGACTTGATTTACGTATGCAAATTCAATTGTCTAGGGCTTCGGTATGTGATCCTGGCAAAACGCTTAGCTGCCGGCGACTTATAGGTTATCATAAACCGCGCTAAAGACAAAGGATTTAACAGAACTTATCACCAGTAAAACGCCTTTTGGGCGAAGAACGAGCGAGCGAGATAGTGAGCCCTGCACGTGCGGAAGGGCGAGAGGGTGCTTCCAACGGGCTTGTGCAAAGCACCCTTCTAACCGGTCGCTAGCGGTGTGCCAAATTTGAACGCAATCGGCCCAGCCGTTCCTGAGATCTGGAAGCGGCATTCTGCACGTGCGCACGTGCAAACGGGGTCCAAAATGACTTTTGCACGGCACCCTACTAACTGGTCCCCAACCGTGCACCAAATTAGAGCGCAATCGGCCCAGCCGTTCTCGAGATCTGGAAACGCCCCCTGCACGTGCGCACGTGCATTAGCACCCTAACCGCAACACATGGGAATGCATTGCCTGGTGGGTGCCTACCTGTACGCCAAGTTTCAGCGAAATCGCCCCAGTAATTACCGAGTTACTGAAATGGGAACAAATTTGGCACCTCTTGTTGTATTTTGCACGTGCACTGGGGGTGACCCACATACATCGAGAGTATCCTATTTTGGGTAGAAGGGATGCTGCTACCCTACAAAAATTACCGCAAGTCAATCGCCCAAGCGGCTGCTGAGATATGAGCCTCGAAAAATCACTACTTTTGCAAAACAGCTTGAACACCCTTGACTTTTCACGTGGCACGTGCCACCACGGTCACTGATATGTATCAAAAGTAGTCAATTACGGGGTAGAAGGGATGGGGCTACCCAGCAAAAAAGACCGCAGGCCAATCGGTCCAGCGGTTGCTGAGATATAAGCCTCTCAAAAGCGTTACATGCCGGGCCGGGCCGGGCCGGGCCGCTCATACTGAGATTTTTCCGTTATATTGAAAAGACTCACTTCGCTCGCTGCGCTCGCTCGCTCGTAATAAAAGCGTCTTCAAGTATGCTGGTTTGTTAGTACCTGTGTCAAGTAAAACCAGTTGTAGGTATTTTTTCTTTTTTCGTTAATCATCATTCCACTTAGCTCGAAATATGATGTGCTGCATTAAAGCCACAGCCCACAACAGTAACAAAATTGTGAACTGCCTCCGCCATGCCTCCACCGAAGGTCGCCCAGTTTCTCGGCCGAATGTGGCGCCCAAGTTGGACTCTCGATCGTTCTGTAGCCGGAGTTCAGTGTCGCCGAGCCGCGACTAACTGCTGTAATCATCTCCCTGCGCTGGCCATTTGTCATAGCACGCCCGATATGGAATGGCACAATTTGGCGGTGTCGTAGTTCTGTAAAACCCTAATACTCTCCGATATAACTTCACATGGACCGACGTCCAAACTTCGGAAATGTAGTGAGAAACCTTTTGGCATAACACTTGAACATCTCTTTATGTGTATGTGTATGCTGAACTAATTGGCGTTTCTATTGCCCACTATATGGACGCAATAAATTGCGCTGCTTTGAGACAGGACAGTCAAGTATAATTCAGCTCCTGGCTAGAAGTGTGAGGTATTTCCCAAGCGCCAAGCCTTTGTCGAGTGTAACGATGCCATCGGTTCCTCAGGAGTCGATGGGGGACAACGCCCGGCGACTGAGACTTCTCGTCACACCGGCAAACGTCAAGGAGAAACTGAGAACGGCCCACAGCTTCCTTCAGCGGCTCCGGTTCCTCACAGAAGACGTGAGTGCTCAGAGGGCCGGGCTGGGTCTTAGCGGAACGGTGCCGTCCTACTTTTCAGTGCGTTAGACCTGATGAGTTTCATAATTCAGTTCATAGAGGAGGACTTGCTTCAAGGCGCTGGGGATGTCTATGACGAGGCCGGGCGCCTTTGATGTTTTTTTATATAATTGATTTAAAAGGTGCGTTTGCTTGTTTATCGTAAATAGTTTGTAATTCATGTCTCTCACACAACATTTACATTTTTGACATTAGAGGTGGGCTTGAATAGACTTCTATCTTCATCAACTAAGTCATTTTAGAAAATTAATGCGTCGCTAACTTCGAAAATTAAGACGAGAAAAGGTAATGGACTTGCGTAATTTCTGACTTAATAGCTCAATATCTTCCAACGCTATGCCTCTCCCACTGAATAATATGATCATAAGAAAAGTTACGGCTTTGCAGATGAGCATCTTCATTTCCAGCAAGTGGCAATAATACCTTGCATTCATCTCGAGAAACGAACCCGATTCATCTTCTTATCTCATGGGAAGCGAGCGTCTCTCCGCCGAAACGGCATGTGTGATTCAACTGACAGCTCTCATTAGCCCGAGCTGTTCCAATTAGCCCTATAAATACACACGGTCTCCCCGGGCGGCGACTTCAAAGGAGACCGTGACGTCATCGGTCGCCCAGCTAACTTATTTAGTTTGGGGAGCGATCGGGAGGCAGCGGCTGATCAGAACTGGCGGTCGGTGGCGGTCACGGGCGGGGCAGATGAAAGTGAACGGTCGACCGACAGCGGATGGGGCTTGTCTTTACTGATTCCCTAAGCTGCTGGAGATGCGGTGGACGCGACTTTCCTGATGTCTGGAGAGTTAGCTCGTAAATATTCTGCATGATGCTGCTTTACCACAGACGTAGCGTAAAGGGCAAAGGACGTGGCGGCATCTTCGGTCACTAATTCCGGTCATAGTCCAAGCTTACAGGGTCACGAGCTTTCGGATTGCGAAGTCTTTTTATGATTGTTAATCCAGAACAGATGTTGGCGGAAGTTGGGGTAATGTTTTGTCCTGCCGTGACACCTAGTCTGGTGTCCTGCTCAATGTCGGGCTGATAAAAGCTGACAGAGCTACGTAGCAAATAGTTTTGAAACATTTCACGTCTTCCCCCTCTCTCTCTGAATATTTATCCCATTGTGTCGGACTGCATAGCATACCTCTTCCGCACTCTTCACATTCTCACAAAGGGTCCTTGAATACGGGATTGATTCTTACTTTTCCTCGTTACGTATCTAACCCTCCGTCTCCCTCCTCTCCACAGCCGCAGCACAGTCTGCCGGACGTGTTTATATGGATGGTGAGTGGCGGGAAGCGGGTGGCCTACCAGCGACTGCGGGCCAGGAGCCTGCTCCACTCGCTGGTCGAAGAAGAGGCCGGCCAGCACTGCGGCAAGGTGCAGACGCTCTTCCTGAAGGTCAGTGACATGGTGGTGACATTCTTCCGCAAGGTCAGTGACATGGTGGTGAGACCTACTGTTTTCGAGGGTCAGTTTTGTATAACCCACAAAGTAAAGGACACTATCATTCAGTTCTTCGTTTTTGCGCCGAAGATTCCGCCCCTTGGGACATCGCAAAGCATGGCCAAACTATCCTTCCGCGAACAAAACGGCCGTCGCTGGCTATATTCATCCTTGAATTTACGAACCCTGGTTTCAAAAGTGAAACTAGAGTAGAACGGAACCATGCATCTTGTTTTGAAGGCTCCCAAATATTTTGTACGAGCCATTCCTTTTAGAGCCTATTTGTATTTTCCGGTGTCATCACATTGCTTTTAAACGACGTTGATGAAAAAGAACGACTGGGCAGTTTGGTCTCCGGGGTGGTGACACTGTAGCTGCTGTCGGCCGTTATCTACTTGTTGCTCGCTGCTAGGCCGACGGCCGGCGCCAGCAATGTATCAGCCGAAGACAGCCGTCCCGTCCTATCCCGTACTTTCCGTTTTAGTACCCGATTGTATCATAGCGTCCCTTCGCAATCGTCCGTTATGTGTATTTGTCTCGACTCCGGTTTTGTTCGATCTCATCCTGCCCCGTTTCATGTCATATCGCCCTGACGTCAATGACCGTCCTGTCTTGTCCTTCCTGCTCCGTCCCTTTCCATCTCGCCCATTGACAACAGCCGTCCCGTCCCGTCCCGTCCGTCTCGTCCCGTCACATCTCCCCTTGACACCAATTACTGTCCCTCCTGTGTTGTCCCGCTGTCAGACCTGTCCCATCTCTTGCCCTGACGAAAATTGTCGTCCCGTCCCGTCCCGTTGACTGTCCCACCCCCCGTCGACACGGACGGTAATGGCGTTGTTTACGTCACGGGAGTCGGCGGACCGACGAGCGTCTGTTTTTATCAACACACGGTACCTCCAGGGGTCCTGCTGCTGTTTACGGTGACTGTCGTGCCGTGTGTGAGCCTGGGTCTTAGGTGACGCTGGGTCGGGGGTAGAGTTTATTGATTAGATGAGACGAGTATGGGAGTGAGGGAGCATTTCGGAGGAATATTACGGAAAGTGGTGTGGAAGTTAGAGACATGTCGACTGGCACAGGCGTGGTCTTTCACCCAGATACGATTCCCTAGGGCTGAGTGCTGACTACACTGGATAAAAAAGTGGTACCATTCTGAGCCATCAAGGCACATTTCGTCTCTCCGCTGGGAGTGGAAAATGTGACGTTCTCGTGCGTGGAGGCTGTTCTGGCCTCTGCTCGTCGGGCGGACTTCTCTGAACTCTTGTTTGTCACCCACCTCGGCCACTAATTGATCCGCCTTCACGAAGGTGCCTTCCGGGACTCAGTCTGATTAGCACTATTGGCAAACTCTCCCCCGGTGTGGTGAGTGGGTAAGTTAGATTAGTTGACGCTTCAGTGAACTTACTCTAACAGGTAGTTAAATATGAAAATAGTAGTGTGATAGATCGCGCTTTCAGTAAGTGTCTAACTCTCCCGGTGTGGAGCCAATGAACCCGCGAGCATAATGAGCATGAAAGCGTGAAGAGCGCTTCTGCGGATGACGTTGGCAGGCTGGGGCTGTGAACCTTAAAGAAAATAATGGCGGAGTAAAAAGCTGGGCTTCAGCGCGTCCGTTTTACAAATTGTTTCGTCATATCTGTTGATTGCTAAGATGTCCTAAGAAACCGTCTAACGCACAGCAATGGCATCGAAAGTGCGATGTTTGCGATGTGCTTCCGTATCGTCGCAGTGTCCATAATCCGTAATCCTATGAGTTTTGCTTATTGTTAGTTTAATTGCAACATAAAGCAGACCAAACAGGTTCGGCTCGCTTTTTCTGTCTTTGTATGTGCTGCCATCCTAATTCTCATTTCTCTTTTGTCTTCGAAGCACCAATCGCTAAGCTCATTTCCCTTCCTTTTTCCAGCTGCCGGGTAAGCGCGGTCAGGGCTCGGGCGGCTGGGTGATCCAGGCCAAACTGCAGGTCTACATGTGGCTCGGCCTCACCAAGCACAAGAGCACGTTCTACGCGGGCCTGCCGCGGGGCTATGAGATGTCCCACGAGCTGCGTAACTCGGACCGACCCAACGCCATGCCGCCCACCTCTCTGCGATACGTGGAGAGACAGGTGAGGGCACCGTAAATTATCGCTGTATTAGTTGGCGAAACTATTATACTGGAAGTAACGCTTACTTTTTTTGCGCCATGCAATCGCTCTGGTCGGTCCGCACCTCACAGACCCCCCAGCAATGTCTGTTTTATCTCAACTGTACCAGGCCCGCTCTCAAATCACCCCGTCGGTTCACAGGCATTCCAGCTCCGCGCTCACGCGAGTACCAGGATCGCTCTTAATAACCCTTTACCCTCGGTTCACAGACGTTCCAGCTGCGCGCTCACGTGTACCAGGCTCGCTCCCTGATCGGCTCCGACTCGTCCGGTCTCTCCGACCCGTTCGCCAGGATTGTGTTCGGCGAACACAGTCGCACCACGCAGGTCAGACTTTAGCCACACCTCAGCTGCACTGCTATAGTCAGACAACGACGCACTATTGCCATTTGTGGATGACATGAATAGGTAGTCAAAGCTTCTCAAGTGGCTTTTCTTTACGAGTGGACGTAGCATCAGCCCGTCTGTCACATCGTGTTCAAAGTAATCGATGATGCTTGGAGGCCTTGGAGCAAATATGCTGAATAAAAATGATAAAGTTGTTATAATTGTGCATGTACGACCCGCTTGGATCCATTGTGCACGTGCAGGTGATTGACGAGACGCTGAGTCCCACCTGGGACGAGCTGCTGCTCATCGATGACGTCACCGTCTACGGAAGTCCCGAGGCCATCTGCCGAGAGCCACCGACCGTCGTCATCGAGGTGTTCGACCAGGACAAGATGGTAAGTGTCCAAAAAAGACGGTGAGTGTCTGAAAACGCGCAGAGGGCTAATATAGTACGACAGGGAGCCGAATAGTTGCTTCAGTGCTATCCTGAGGACGCAGCGCTCGCTAATATAGTACGGCAGAGAGTGGGACAAGTGTGGCGCGGAGTGAGAAGTCGTGTTAGTGCCGGGAGCTGTCAGTATAAGATCTCTAGGGCTAGTTAGTCCTGGGATCCGTGTCGGTACCTGGAACTGTGCGCAGTGCTGTGTGAGTTGTGACAGATCCACAGTCCACGCTGGCGGCTGCGACTGGTTCGCTCCGGTGGTGACCGCGATCTGTTGGCGGCTGGTGATGTGTAAGTCAACAGCCAGCTAGCGACTGATGCTGGTGTGGTGGTTATTGGTGCTCTTGTTTGTGTGTTCTTAGTCTAACTCCGCTCTTCAGATGTAACTTCTCACGTAGCGGCCTGAGGCAGGTGGTTTTTGGATGTTGATCAATGATCATTACCCATTGGTGAAGTAGCTCCGACCGTCACAAGTTAGGTGAAAAAGTCTGGTCGAATGGAGTTTAAAGGAAAATTGTGAGCTTTGCCGAATGAAAACATCCAGTGTTCCGACGAGCTGGTAAGCTAACACGGCTAATAAACTAGCTCGATGCAACATTTACCAGCAAACTAAACCGTATGACCGTCAGCCCCTCCTCTCCCCCGGCAGGGTAAGGCAGAGTTCATCGGACGCACGATGGCCCGACCTCACCTGAAGCTGCTGGACGAGCCGTACGAGCGGCCGCGTTTCCCACCACCCCTCGAATGGCACCAGCTGGTCAGGGGTACAGAGGCAGCCGGTGATCTGCTGGCCGTGTTTGAGCTGCTTCAGGTGAGAAGGGATGGGGAAGGCGGGGCTGTTGATAGGGACTTCACTGTTTGCTGGTGGTCGAGTGTAGTTATGTGTATTGTTTTTTTTTTTTTTGTTGTTGTTGGGTTAGGCCCTTTCGGTCGACAAGACCATTGCAGAGCCGGAAGGATGATAGGAATTAGGGGGAGACATTGGTCTGGGCAGGCATCCTAGTGAGTCGCCGGGGCTGAGCCCGTTATATGTATGTGTATTGTGTACCGGTTGCCAGTCCTCAGAATCAATACGGTCTGTATTGTCCGTATCCCACGCCCCGTGACCCTTGTCATATTCGAGCGCGACTCACGAAACATGTTGCACATCTGAACGTTTAATCATGCACGGAAACGAGCTTTTAGTACGTGGACAGCGGATTACTATGCAGGGTCGGGGGCAGCACCACTTCCACTAAGCGCTCCCCTGGCTTTGATCATCTGTTAGATACGTGTAGCTACAACACTCAGTTGGCGCGGGAATACAGCACGAAACAAGCTACAGTGTCGAATTTAGAAGCCTTCTTTATCGGACAAAAACTGTTTTACGAGCTCTGATGGACGCGAGACACGTTTGGTGATGCCTTGTCACTGCGGCTTGTTTCAGGCTATCAGCGGTATAATTGGTCCCTATGGGCCATTCCAGGTCGGCATCCTGCTGTATTGTGTCTGAACGCTGTCACAAACATTCAATCGCTAGCCATTTCGGTAGATGAAATATCGACGACTGTGGATGGGACAGTGGACAATGGACAAAAATAGTCCCAATAATGGTTCATAGCAGACCGACATGCATGCAAACAAACATACATATGTTACCTTGACAGACGTCAAAATGAGTGCCAATCTTCAAACTTAGACCATCGACCCTCGACTCAATCCATTTTGTCATACCTCAATTGTCTGCATTCCCGTGTTGACCCTCCTCCTCTACCCGTTTCTATTTCAGGTGTGTGACGACCCGAGGGGCGCCGATATCCCGCCCCCTCCCCCCGCCAAGTACCGTGACTCCAGCAGGGAGACCGGGCCCGTGATGCCCATTCCAAAGGAGATCCGACCGACGCTGGTTAAGTACAGGTGCGTGGGTACACTTTGACCTTTGTTCGTAGTTAGCTCAAATATGCGGAGGATTTATCCCAGACAGGAGTACGGACACTAAATTCTATTCATTGAAATGAACTTTTCCTTCTCATGAACTATATTGAAGTTATTTACATATAAGAATATTTTCATGTGACGGATTTCCTTTCCTGTAAATGTTTGTGTCGGCGTACTTTGGGAATAACAGTTACACCACTGGTCAGTTTTCCGCCAGTGCCAGTTGTTAGTGATGCAGTGCACCATCCAATGCCGTGACAGCCGCTGCATGGATCACCCCAGGACCTACCGACCCCATGCGCGGACACAGGTCTACCCAGGGCCCTCCACTATATTATACTACCGATAGAAACTACCAACAGAGCCCACTGACTCCCCGGGCCGCGGCAGTGCCCCGCAGCTGTGCAGCTGAGCAGTCAGACATCACTGATTGACTGGGTCGTACAACACGGGTGGGCTCCGTGTAACAGGGTCTACCGCGGGTCACCCGGTGCTACCCCGAGATCTCGGACGTCTGCACAGATTACTACAGCAGCTAGTTAGGTTATGTGAGGTTGAAAAGTCGAGGATTGTGTTATAAATCTTTTCGATGTTGACAGAATCGAGGTGCTGTTCTGGGGTCTGCGCGCGCTGCGGAGGATCCACTTTCTGACGGTGGACAACCCTCGCGTGGATGTGGAGTGTGCCGGCAACAGCCTGCAGTCGTCTGTCATACAGAACTACCGCAAAAACCCCAACTTCCCGTCACCAGTGAAAATTATGGACCTGGTGAGTGGATTTGGTATTATTCATGGAGGTCGTAGCTCAACGTCTTCCGTGTTATGATGGCGAACTTGCAAACTTTCACATTCCGCAGCGCACTTGATAAGTTGGATTGTGTTTCACTTTAACCACTTAGCATACTTTGACATCATGCTGTAAGATAAATTGTGTTGTCTTTGCCACCAAAATGTTCTATTAGTTGCCGCTTCCTCCCGCGGGTATTCCTTGAGTGCAACACTATCAGTGAACTAGTTAAGCATGCCAGTCTATGTCCTGGGAGCCGTCATCTTGCATAGATATTGCTGGGCTAACTAGTTTAGGTTAGGTTAGACTTAGTTCTACCTATATTCAGCGGTATGCATGAGTCGATCGTTTTCCTGATTCGGTTCATATGGGTGTGTTTCACATAGCGGCTGATAAAGATTCACTGGAGGAATTTATCGCTGTGGATTAATAAGTTCGATTTCCTCTGGGTATAGCCCCCTGGCCCATGACTGTTCGGATACGCCTTATTCCTCAAGAGCTGTCCGAGGTGGAGAATGGAGATGTCCTTTAACAAACCACCACTATCCGTGCGTTTTCTCTCCGTAGGAACTACCCGAGGAGGAGTTGTACTGGCCCATCACTATCGATACTTGTTCCCCAGGAACTACCCGAGGAGGAGGTGTACTGCCCGCCCATCACTATCCGAGTGGTGGACTGCCGCAGTTTCGGACGGTTCACCCTGGTCGGGACCCATATCATCTCCAACATCCACCGGTACATGGTACGCCCGCAGCCGGCCGTCACCGCCTCGGCGGTAAGTACCAACGACTAAATGGGTGGCCTGTAGGTCACGACTAGGTGATAAGCTTTGAGTTTATTGAATGAGATAAAACGTGTTGATTGTTTTCGTGTGCACTTTTCTTCTATAACCTTTCCATATTTCATTTGCCTTTTCAGCATCATTACCTGTTGTAAGATCACCGGTTGTGACTGCTGTGAGGCTAATTATGCTGGTAATCGTATGCCATAATATGCCACAGTGTGCTAAGTATGCTATAATATGATTGCGTGTGTGCCGCCAGCGTCCGTCAGCTGCCGGCAGCCAGCTGCTGCCCCAGTCGGCCCAGCTGGGTGGCGGCCAGCCGCCCGGCGGAGGAGAGTACCGCGCCGACGGCGAGCGGAGTCCGCTGCTGCAGCGGGATACACTCATCACCATCGACTACGTACGGCGCTGTGCCAGTGTCACACTATACTGTCCCATCTCTCTGTCCCACTCTACTGTCCCACCCCAATATTCCACACCAATTTCCCACTATATTGTCCCGCCCCGCTATCCCACTCTGCTCTCCTATATCGCTGTCCCATATCACTGTCTCATCTCACTCTCCCACTTCACCCTGTCCTGCACGACCGTCCCACCTCAGTGTCTCGCTTTACTCTCCCAGCCCACTGTCCCACTCTATTGTCCCACCACTGCGGCGAAGCCGTCCCACTTTCCCACATTGACAGATTCACTGCGTTGCCGGGATGCACCATTGGTATTGCATGCACTTTATACCGTATCGTCACCTCCTCATTTTGATAGCTTTCATCCAATTTGGTATTGAAACCATTTTGTTCTATTCGATTATAACTTCTGCGACATCCTTGCAATTTGCAATGTTTCTAATGCTATCGCGCAATTAGACCAGAAGCGTGTCGCCATCTCCCCGCCCGGATATCTCCCGGAATATTTTCGGTAATTGAGTTAACTGAACGGTCCAAAGTTGCATCTTAAAACCGGGTTACTGTGGCCGCTTGGCTAACTTTCGGTAAAGTATCGCCGCCAAGTTCGGGACTGATCAATGATGCTCGCCAGACAGGTGCAGTCGGGGAGAGTGGTCATTGATAAGATGAATGTGACACGGGGACTCACCGGGCCTCAGCTGGACTCTGAGAAAACGGAGGCGTTTTCCTTATGCTGATATGATTAGGCCTTGTCTCTTCTCAGTGGCTATTTGATAGGACCCTCGCGGTAAATATCCTACATTGCACCTGATTTCATATTTTTTATTTCATTCGTAAGCTAACATTAAGTAATTTCACTGTGTCGTCAAATAATCCTCTCCTGTGCTGTGCTCGTAACTAGTAACTTCTAGCATCGCCAGGCCCTTACGCTATCGCCTCTGCCCAGGGGTGCCGAAACGGCGGCGCGGGTCACCGCGTGATGGCCGCTCCCGCCAAGCGGAAAAAGCGCGAAAAGCCCAAGCAGCGCCGCCGGAACTCGCAGTCTAGCGATGAGGAGGAGGGAGAGGGGGCCAAAGACTGGTGGACCAAGTACTTCGCGTCCAAGGAGGCACTTATCGAGGTGAGGGCGAGAAAGAGCTGCCGTCTTCTACGCCGCAACATGGTCACAATGAGTAGTGACGATGTGTACTACGAATAGGTGTGTTGTGAGTTTACGATTTTTTGACAGAGTTGGCAGCCTGATGCTGCTCTTATAGCGTTCATGACAGAGGTGTGTTGGCGTTTACGGCAACTCGTAACCCACCCCCTGCTAACCACTCTGCCCGGGCTCATGGTGCGCCTCTTCCGTTTCGTTGTCAGAGCGAGCGGCAGAACCGGGCCCGTCTGCTGGGTATCGAGGCTGTCACCGAGGTGGCTGCCGCCCAGGCGCCCCCGACCCGGTCCCGCAAGGTCGGCTTCAAGGGAGCCAGCCAGGCGGTCCGACTGGCTGCCAGGATCAGTCCAAAGTTCCGACGGAAAAACAAAAAGTCCACGGCACTACTGCAGGTATGCACTGGATTTATTACGGAGCTCATAGCAAAGAAATTGAGAGAAATCGTAGGGGGTGTCGGTGCAACTCGCTACTTTTTTACAGCTCATTGCAATTTACAATACAAACAACATTGCAATAAATATTCGGTTGCCAACGGCGACATCAAAAACTGAGCAAACAGCCTTGCGAGGGTGATTGACACTACTGCTGGTATGAATGTGATCAGTCTTTCTCAGAAAGCCTGTGACAAACAACTATGCCAATCACCACACTCCCACCGTGTTTTCGCGCACGCTGCGGCACTCGGCTGGTAAATCGGCTGTCTTAACTTTTAGCTGCATCTTCCGTGGCGTTCCGTCATATTCCGTTATATCTCGTGTCTCATATCTTATATCTTCGGTGCTGTTTCAGATCTACCAGTGTGAGTTGGAGCAGGTAGCCGAGTTTGGCAGTTTCCGCGAGTGGCTGCTCACCTTCGACCTGTACCGCGGCAAGAAGGCCGATGACTTCAGTGATGACGAGTCACGCATTGTCGGCAAGTTCAAGGTAGGAGTCAGCGACAGTGACATGGCTGCTGAGTCGAAGTCAGAGTCACCTAAAATCCATCGTAACAGGGCTGTGGAGTCGGAGTTGGTCCCCCAAAATCCATCGACTCCGCATCCCTGGACTCAGCGATACGTCGACGATCATCGTCAATCGTCCAGCAATCATATAGGGAGATGGAAATAGCAATACATGGATGAGGAACTTCCTCGAAGCATTGCATGCTCCGCTAGTGTACACTACCGATTGGGTCACCAACGCAGACTTCCGTGATTCGGCATGTCACGAAAAAGCCAATATTGCGCATTATGCAACGCCAAATGGAGGGACGATCATAGCGCTCTGATATTACTGCTTAGGTAATGCTCGCCAGAGAAGCACATTTCCTACGCTCAGTCACATTGGCTTCTATTGTCATTTGTCATTTGATATTCTCATTCTAACCACAAATGGTCACGTGCTGAGCCCCGTAGGCCGAGTACTGAGCCGAATCATTGTCTGCGAAATATCGTATCCGGGTAGAGTTTGTTTCCATAGTTTTGACGATTCAATTGCTGCTTTGGTATTCCTCTCCCATGCGGCCCATCAGCAGTCACGTGCCTCAAGTTTCATCTCTTATCTGAATCTCGTGCTTTGTTAGTGGCTGTTTGAAGTTTGAACTCTTCTAGTAATACAATTTTAATGAACAACTGTATTTATTTAGCATGAGAAGACCATGAATCGCATTCAATAGGGCTGTATCGTCTTAGTTTACCGGAGTTTGACGCACTTACCCTGCGCAGTTCAAACATGCTTTTCCGGTTCGTTGCCTATGCAGCTAGTGATCGGAGACTGGCCTATGATTTATGACTCAACCCGACTGAGGAGTTGATCTTTGAAGGTGTTCTGAAGTATTCCTGCTAGCGGCGACGGAAGGAAAAAGGTCAAGAAAAGTTGACATTAAAGTTCAGATTTTATTTATTCATGCTCGAACTTTTTGTTAATTCATATATTTTAATAAACTCATTGCATTGAAGCTGACAGCATACGGGATGTATTTCTTGGCTTTACTGATTTTCTCCGCCCGTCTTCCCATCTGATCATGGATGTCTGGTTTCCACAGGGCTCCCTAAAGATGTACCGATGGCCACCGGCACGCGACTGCGAGGCGCTCAAAGAGCACTGCGGCGACCCGTACAAAGGCTACTTCAGCGGTCTACCTTCCAATGAGCCGATCCACGTGCTGGTGCGAGTCTATGTGGTGCGCGCGCTAGACCTGCACCCGATGGACCTGAACGGCAAGGCCGACCCCTACATCGTGCTTCAGCTGGGTAGCAAGAAACTGAGCGACAAGGAGAACTACCAGTCCAAACAGCTGAACCCAGTGTTTGGCAAGTAAGTACCGCCATAGATGAGATAGTACGTGCCGCCTTATTTAATTCGATTAATGTCGAATTAATTATTTTTCGATTCTTTTCGATTCAAATAATTCGATTATTTAATCGAATGATGATTGATTGAGTCTTCAGGGAATGTCGAACATAGACGGACAAAATATGACATGCATTGAGTGTTGACGGAAACTAACGTGTCGTTATGTCAGCGACCTAGGATTCGTAGAACCCCGTACGTTTTGCCGTCCATTTGATCCTATCAGCCTCAGCTGAACGTGTCGGGGACGTCATTTCCTTTGATGACGCCTCCTTTCGATGCCATTGTGAGCTCTACTGTCGGTATGAAATCTCAAAGGGGCCATTCTGTGGAAATTGTTTCCTTGAAAGACGAACAGTTTTGTTCCTTACGAGGTGTGAAGTGTACACCAAACACCTGAGCTACCTAACAATACGACTATATTGAGACTGATAAATGATGATTTGCCCATGGGTGATGAATTGAAATATTCTGCTCTAGTCAAAATTGTTTCCAAGGAGTCTTGGAAGCCCTAAACTAAGTATTTTAACTCAACCCTTCGGCCTTCGCTCGTTATTTGTCTATTACTGAAACCATCGCCGATCCTTATTTGTTTCTAGCTGATCCCCTGTCATTCGTATCAACCCTTCCTTGTCTATCACTAACTCGCTCTCACCCGCTCGTTAGGTGTCTTGTAACCAACCCCCTGCCCCTCCGCTGCAGGTGTCTGGAGGTGGAGGCCACCTTCCCGCAGGATTCGATGCTCGTTCTTCAGGTGCTCGACTGGGACCTGGTCGGTACTGACGAACTGATCGGGGAGACCCGTATCGACCTGGAGAACCGCTTCTACTCTCGGCACAGAGCCACCTGCGGACTGGACGCCAAGTTCGAGACGTAAGTCGGGTGATGAGACGCATAAAAGGGCCGGAGATGAGTGGAGTGTTGGAATCAAACCGGGGAAGAGTGTCAGATCTAGACCGAGGAGTGTCGGGGTTGATGACATCTCGATGAAGGTGAACTGTTGCTGCGGGGGCAATTCCGTATCGGGAGAGAACTTGGAACGCGTGAAGAAGAGCATGACAATGATATGGTCAGTAGTCGATGGAAGCCTTCTGTGTAGCTTGTTGATTCAAACTCCTATTCATCTTTGACAAAACTAACTGTTTCCGCTGGCGTTAGGTCGGGCTACAACGCCTGGCGGGACCCGATGCGGCCTACCCAGATCCTGCACAAACTATGCAAGGAGAACAAACTGGACGGACCGCACTACCAGCAGGGCTACGTCCGCATCGGCAACAAGACGCTGGCGCCGCCGGCTCCGGAGGGCACCGGTCCCGACGCACACGGTACGGGTGCCGGGGGTCTGTGGGACGAGTGGCTGTGTGTCTGTCTGTGCTTCTGGCTTCTCATACTATTATTGTGATCAGTATTTGATTCGAGGAGTATTCTTTCTAAGGTACGAAGTTCAGATGCCTAGTAAATATGGGCACTCGTCTTTTATTTTAGCTCTCCCTAATCACCTGCTAACAAAAAAAAAAAAAAATCACCTGCTAACTGCTGATATTTTTATCGTAATATCCGCAAGGTAATAAAGCGTTTATGTAGTAAAATTGATACTGTCAAAGTGGATAAAGTGCTTTCCAAGAATTTGATCCTCAAGCTCAATAACGACCAATAAACCATTAAAAAAGGACTGAACAGAGCAGTTTGATGTGAAAAAGAGCCTAGCCATCACTTAAGTTTTGTGTCGTCTTCCCACTTTCCATTTCATTGACCTCCAGTAGCCGCTGATGAGCTCGTTTATAAGCAGGTGTCGCCAGTATTATAGATCACCTAATGGGCCATTGTCCTAACGTTCAGCCCGCCAGCCACTCCCCAGCGGCGATATCGAGCGTCAGTCGATCATTTAATTAGGGTCTTGGTACGGTCCGTGTCTGTACTGTCACGCTCGTTGGGAAACTGTTATAAAACATGCATCAGCTAATGCTTTATTTGCCGATGTTTCCGCCGAATAGCGACCGCCATTCAGCATGGGAAACATTCAGTGGATAATTGTCGCGTTTACGGGAAGCATCGACGCTCATACTTTGTCGCTTATTCATAAGCATTTGATTATGAAGAGGTAAATTAATGATATTGTATTTGTGTTTTGTTAGTTCTTCATGTGCCCTTTTGTCATCGATTGTCCATTCAGAATGAAAAAGACCGTTTAATTGGAAAAACAAAAAAGCAACATTTTTGCAATTTTTTATCTGACCCGAGCTAGTACACCAGCTATTTGCTCAGGGAGACTTGTCATCTGCTACCGTTCTCTGCACAATGACTGTCATGCAGTGACCGATAGCCAAGGAGCCCTCTTAGGGTGATCAGTCACTATTCCCTGTTTCCCGTCCACCCGCTCGGTTTTGACAGTTATCCTGGGACCGGCAGCCGATGAACCCTTTGAGGGGCCTGTTACAGTTCCCTGTTGTGACTTTTGTCCTAGCCAATAGCCGAGGAGTCCTCTTAGGTTTCTGTCACCTTCCCCCTTTCCCTGACAGCCTAGGAGCCGTCTGAAGAGGACCTGTAACCGTCCCTGTGTTCTCTGTAGAGTGAGTGTTGTCCTCAAATGACTATTACGCTGTAACCGACAGCCGAGGAGCCGTCTGAAGAGGACCTGGCTCTGGCGGCGCTCCACCAGTGGTCAGAGATCCCGCGAGTCGGCTGCAAACTGACGCCGGCCCACATCGAGACCCGGCCGCTCTACAACCCCGAGAAACCGGGCATCGAGCAGGTCAGCTGGTAGACTCTGAATGCGTAATTGAATCAAGTACTAGGACCCAGTGTCGTTGGTAATCGCGTTTATCAGTGTTGTGTCAACTTAATGAGGGGTTTATCAAGTTATGAGGTGTGTTAAGCTATGAAGGGTTTGTCAAGTTATGAAGAGATTGTATGACAGTAACAAAGCAAATAAGCTTCTGGTGGGCTCTTGATGGCTGAAGTGCCCGCCTGAAACCCCCACCAACACACAGACATGTTTTTTTTTTTTTTGTTTTGTTGGGTTAGGCCCTTTCGGTCTGACAAGACCATCGCAGAGCCGGAAGGATGATAGGAATTAGGGGGAGAGATTGGTCTGGGCAGGCACCCTAGTGAGTCGCCGGGGCTGAGCCCGTCCGAAGACAGGCCACCCAGCCCCAAGGCACTCACTGCACCCGGCTACGGGGTGCGCTCCCTCGGGAGCAGCGGTGCCGCTCCAAGGGAGCAGCCCGCATGAGATAAAGTTGCCTGTCCAGCCCGGAGGGGGGTGGCGGTGTGGAGGAGAAGGATTTCAGTATCCTGAGGATAGAAGCATGGAACGGTGCCACACAGACATGTTTCTGGTCTCAAACCCTTGTAGTTATTGAGTGCCTCATACTGAGACAAGCTTCATCCCCAGGGCAAGCTGGAGATGTGGGTGGACATGTTTCCGATGGACATGCCGCTGCCTCCACCGCCGGTGGACATCGCGCCGCGGAAGCCCAAGTCTTACGAGCTGCGCGTCATCATCTGGAACACGGACGACGTGGTGCTGGAGGATGACGCCTTCTTCACCGGCGAGAAGATGTCAGACATCTACGTCAAGGGGTGCGTATCTCGGCATTGCGAAATGTAGAAAATTATCAACGTCAGTTTTTTCGGCTGGTAGGTCAACCTCTGTCTTGCCCTCACAGTCTTGCACACTGTTAACAATAAGGTTAATGTTTGTAGTATGAAGTGATTCGATATCTTTTATTGGAAATTTCAGCACACTTCTGCGTTCCCTTACTCAAGGACTTATTTCCCCTGTATTTTCCAGCTGGGTGAAGGGTCCCGAGGATTGCCAGTGCACCGACATCCACTACCGCTCGCTGACCGGCGAGGGCAACTTCAACTGGCGCTTCATCTTCCCCTTCGACTACCTGGTGGCCGAGCAGAAGATCGTCATCTCCAGGAAGGAGTCGCTCTTCTCCTGGGACGAGTCCGAGTGCAAGATACCCGCCCGCCTGGAGCTGCAGGTATAGTGAACTAACCATCTAAAAAAAAAAAAAAAAATAGGAAAAACGAGAATCTATTAATTTACCCTGTTTAAACTGTTTTCTTTGAACTGTTCAGTAACCGGTTTTTAGCGATTTTTGTATCAGAAGATGTGTTCATAACATACCTAAGCACCTTATTCAGCCTCAGGGCGATCTACTGACAGCCCTTAGCAGTGTACGCACCCGGCATAGGCGTTTTAGAGCCGGTCACTACGTTTGGTCAGGGTGTCCCGTCAGCCATGACCGATCAGCTGACCCCTGAACACCTGGGGGAGATCGCCGAGTCGGACCCTCTGCGTGACGGTGGAGACGGCGGCTCGGATGGCCGAGTGGTCAAGTCGTCTGGGTGTGAGCTACGGCCAACCCAGGGAGATCGGAGGGTGCCGGGTTCGCGGCTTGTCATCAGTTACGTTTTGCTGTTTCTCCTGGCGTCCTACGCGCTGTCATGCGGCGCTGCGGGCCTGCCGGCGCCGGCTGCCGTCGGCTCGTGGTCGGCGGCGGGCGTGGCGGCCTTCCGTCATCAACAACTGAGGCGGGTGTGGCTCCATCGACGCATCCCGTACTACAGCAACAGCGTCAGTACGTTTCAGCCATGCCTGCTCATCCAGTCTGGAGACGTGGAGACGAACCCGGGGCCTGTCTCTGCCGCTGCCGCTGTTTCCGCCGCCCGTCCCGCGGTCCGCCGGGGGGCCGGGCCTGGCCGTCCGCCGCTTGTCGTCTCCTGCATCGCCCAGAACGTCCGCAGCGTCAAGAACAAGCTCCACACACTACGGAGCCATGCCGGAGAGCTGCAGACTTTCGACGTGGTAGCCATCACAGAGAGCTGGCTGACCGCGGACGTTGCTGACTCGGAGCTGCAGGTCGGCTGGCCGACCCACTCCTGGTTCAGGCGCGACCGGGACGGTCACGGCGGCGGCGTAGCGGCCGCCGTGCGCACCAGCCTCCGCCCGACCAGACGCGCCGACCTCGAGCCGCCGGACTGTGAGCTGCTGGCCGTGCAGCTCTGCGCCGGCTCTCCAGTCATCGTCGCGGTCTGCTATCGCCCTCCCGCTGCCGACACCCAGGTGCAGACCATCATCGACTTCGCCGCTCGGGTTCGCCAGCTAGGTCATCCTCTGCTGCTGGTTGGCGACTTCAACCTGCCGGAGATTCGCTGGCCGCAGCACGCACCGCCGGTCCTGGCTCAGCAGCTGCGGCGCGCGGTGACGTTTGTGGATGGTGTAAACGACCTTGGCCTGGACCAGACTGTGCATGAGCCGACCCGAGATGGTGCGATATTGGACCTGATCTTGTCGTGCGGTGGGGCTGCGCGCACCGACGTCAGAGACGGCACGTTCGAGTCCGACCACCGTGAGACGGTGACGCACTTCACTGTGCGAGCCGCGTCCCGCCCGCGAGTGACGAGAAGTGTCGCCCTCAACTACCGTGCGGCTGACTTCGTGGGTCTGCGGACGGCGTTGCGTCTTCTGCCGTGGATCACCTTACGTTCTTTGAGCGTGAACGAAGCAACGGAGCTTTTTTACGACTGGACACAGGCGGCAGTTAGGGATTTTATCCCTACTGTGGCACTGCGCAGTCGTTTCCCGCCATGGTTTACTCGTCCTGTAAGAGATGCTTTGCGCCTCAAAGAAGCAAGCTATCGGCGCAAGCGCTCTCAACCGTCCGAGGAAAATGACCGCATGTTCTCCGAGGCTCGGCGACGGTTCAAGGCCGCGGCGAACGCCGAGTATCGGTCGTACCTTGTGGGCCTGGTGGGTGATTTTCAGACCAACTCTAAAAGACTCTGGTCATTTCTCAAGTCTCTTAAATCTTCTCGCCACTGCTCTAGTAACCTGACTTATGAAGGACATGTTTACGACACGGATGTCGATAAGGCCAACTGTTTCAATCTGTGCTTTTCTAGAAAGTTTTCTGTTCCTGGTGCTGACTACCTCCCAGCGGCCCCTGAGCTTGTTTCCGAGACGCTGCGTCGTTTCGAGTTTGCAGATGGCGCTGTGGAGCGATTGTTGCTTGAACTGAGCCCGCACAAGGCATGTGGCCCTGATGGTCTCAGCGCGCGTATTATGAGGGAGTGCGCTCGTGAGCTTGCCGTCCCGATAGAAATACTGTGCCGCATGTCTATCGAACAGGGTGTCTTTCCCGATGCGTGGAAGCATGCGAACGTGGTACCCGTCCACAAGAAGGGTAACAAGTGCTCCCCCGACAACTACCGCCCGGTAACTCGTGGGGGGGGCAAAAGTATCTTTTTGCCCCCCCATAATTTGTGACAAAACTTAGACAAGAAACATATAACCTGATTATTCTGTTCGATCATTTGAAGATGTAACCAGATGCCCATATACTTTATCATACGTTGCCTTTCTTAAATGACAAGTGTTCGCGTTCAATTCAAGTTTTCCTCTCTTCACCCTAGTTTTGGAGACATTATAAGCGTCAACGTGACGCAGCGGCAACCCAGGCCTTCAGTGGACCGCTTACAGGGGCGACGGATACGGGGTGGCAGAGGAGGCATCGTTCCTTAAGAAACTTCTGGAGGAGGGACAAACGTATATTCTTGCCCCTCCATAATTTGTGCCCTAAACATGAGGAAAATTTCCATAGCCTGATATTGCAGCTATGCACTCCTACAGTTTGTCCAACGGTGCCTTTTGATATGTGTAAATGCTAACCATTTCCGATTTATAGCATTTTTTGTCTTTTCAGATTCGATTTAGAGATATTTTAAGTGTGCAAGAGACGCAACTCACACCCTCAGTGGTCGTTTGCCGCTATTTTGTACCTACATGAATGCCAAATCGCAAGCGAGCGGAGACGGAAGGGCTAGCCATTCGCCTGCGGGTAGTTAGGACTGATGAGCGCTCGTAATAAGCCACTCCCCTGATTTTTCGAGCGCAACAGTTTCCAGTGCAAGTAAAATGGTAAACGCCGAGGTCGTACACATTGACCACATTGAGAAATGCACGGTATGACACCCAAAGGCCAGTCATTAGATATCTGCTTTGGGCATTCGCCTCGGAGGCTTGTGTGGGGCCAGTGTAAAAACTGGATGTTCACAGTTCAGTACCTATCCGCTTTATTTCAGTATTCACTAGAATAAGTTAAAATTAACGTTGGAAACTTTTGAGGGTTAGGGCACTGATCATTAGTGGGGCCCCCTCTGGCTAAAGGCTGGCTGTAAAATACAGAGCATCGAACACGAAAGCAAAATCTAAGGCACTTTGGAAAAATGAGTATGCCCCGCAGCGTCCGATAACTACCACCTTCCAGTGGGTCAAGCCAACGGGGTCCAAGTCTATAATGGCACTTAACGATAGCACTAACCTTGTCTCACTTTTCGTTGAAGTCTGTTTCGAATGGTTTCGGCGACAGACTGGCTGCACTGAGGTCGTTTGGTATGTGCAACTGTAATTAAAGCCACCTGAGGCGCCCACACTAGGCTGAAGCTGGGTTGGAAATGCTTCGTCTTTGCAGATATCACTGGCCGCTGATTCTCGAGTGCCTGAACCGGTAGATGTCGTGGTAAAATTTGGTGTGATAATTTGGACCTTACCGCAGTCAGCGCACCCTTAAGTCCTAATAAAGAAACGCCCCCCCCCCCCCCAGAGCTTCTGCATCGAGTTCACCGAATTCCTTCACCCTAGTCCGCTGCTCGACTCCCTCACCTCAGCCCTCCGTTCCCAGCTTGACGAGCGTTTGGGCCTTAGTTAAGCCTTGCTGTGGGCTGACTGTAGGATAAACCCATCGAGACAGCCCGTCTCGGTGAGCTTAGTTGGCGAACTACTGCCTTGGGAAGGGTTTCTGGCGGATCGCTGTCCCAATAGGTTTAGATGCGACCGACTGTCTCTGAATGTTTGAGCGGTCTCCTCCCGCTGTGAGCTAGTTTCAGTTGATATCTGTCTCAGAAATACTTTTTAAAGGAAGTTAAACGAAAATCCAACGTAAAATGAACAGAGGAAATGGTAACGAGTTACCTCATTGAAGAGTAGCGCTCGCCTACTTAAAAGGGTTTGGCACCGTTCTTCAACATCTGATATGCGATCGGGTTATGGCACAATTTTTCCCATTGGAGATTTTTTTCTAATACAGCAATACGAAATGCGTTACATCGTCCACTGGCGGATCCAGGGAGCGGGCATTTAAAGCAAATATTTACTCCCCCTCCTCCTGGCCCCTACATCGCCCGAAATAGACAAAACGTACCTTATGTTTCCTAATAATAACATTTTTATCAGGATTTTTTTTTATACTGTTCAGCAGTATCGAATCAGTATCAGTATCAGCAGTAAGGAATCGAAATCCGAGGAGTTTTTGGATTTTGGACACTTTTTTGGGGGGGTATGTCCCCTACAGCGTCGAAAACGCCTTTCTGGATCCGCCTATGACATCATCTCGACTGGGATCTTGCCCCCCCCACGCCAAAATCGAATCCGCCGCCACTGGTCGCTGTTGCCACTATGCTCCAAGGTCCTGGAAAGGCTCGTCTATGACTCGCTGCTGTCTCACTGTCTGCCTGGTCTTCCTGACAGTCAGCACGGCTTCCTGAGGAGACGCTCTTGCGCCAGCAACTTAGCCTGCTTTCTTTCCCACGCATGGGATTCTATTGCCTCTGGCTCGCAGACGGACACAGTTTACACCGATTTTAGCTCTGCTTTTACTTCAGTTAACCATCAGCTGCTTTTGCACAAACTGAGAACATCGTTTAGTGTTTCTGACAAAGCGTATGCCTGGCTCGCATCTTATCTGTCCAATAGGCGCCAGCGCGTAGTGCTGAACGGCGTGACCTCTGACTGGACTTCTGTCAAGTCTGGGGTGCCAGAAGGCAGCATCTGTGGACCTTTGTTTTTTATCTGCTACACTGCTGACATTCCATCTATCAACACAAACTGTATCATGTACGCGGATGATTTGAAACTTTTCAATCGTGTAACCTCTAACGACGACGCCGCCGTCCTGTAGGCCGACCTTGGTCGGCTGGTGCGATGGTCTGAGGCATGGCAGCTAAAATTGAACCCAGTCAAATGTTTTGTTATTTCGTACACGCTCAAAACCCGGCCAGTTACATTTGATTACCAGATCACTCATGTTTCACTGCAGCGCAAGGTAGAGGCACGTGATCTCGGAGTGATACTGGACAGCAAGCTGACATTCGCGCGTCTCATAGACACTGTTGTGGCGAAGTCCAGACGCATGCTCGGGTTGTTCATTCGGGGTATGCAGCAGCCTCGCAACCTGCGCGGCGGGGCCCTTGACGTCAGAGCATTGCGTACTGCCTACTTTGCGCATGTCCGATCACACCTGGAGTATTGTAGTGTCGTCTGGGCCGGCGCTGCAGTGACCCACATGAAACGACTAGACCGTGTGCAACACAAGTTCCTCATTTGGCTCGCATCTCGTTCGGACCATCCCACAAACTGCCTGGATTACGAACATCTACTGTCTCACTTTCAGGTTCCATCCATCAAATCGAGATTTCATCAACACGACCTCATGTTTTTATTCAAGATTTTCCATGGTCAGATTGACTGCCCGCAACTAGTCACAAGGCTCTCACTCTCAGCACCTAGTAGAAGGGTGCGCAACATCAGGCTGTGGAATATCCCACCAGCACGAGTCAATACTGTCAAAAACTCTATGTTCGGGCGAATTCCAAACAGCTGTAACGCCCTCGTAGCCGCGAACAGTACAGTTGACTTTTTCACGGCAACACTTGGAGCCTTCAGAACTGCTACATATTCATTCGGTCAGGCCGCCGGTGTGTACTAGCATGTTTCCTTTTAGTGTATACTTTTAGCTTGTTTTCTTTTTAGTGTTGCTTATAGTAGATACCTACCTATGTTATGCCGTGCTTTTAACTACAGTGTTGTGAATCGTTTGTGTTTTCACCTCATCTTGTTTATGATTTTATGTACTGTTTTGACTGCACCTGTTAAAAGGGCGTTTGCCTGTGGGTGCTTGTAGTAAATACAGTACAATACAATGTGTTTTCATTTGAGTTTGATGCAACTTTCATCGTTATAATGAAACCTGTGTTTTTATTTTACGTTCATGTACCGTATCATTAAAAACTAGTTAATTACTAAGTGGTCTGGCGACACCCATGAAGTACCACTCTTTCTCTGCAGGTGTGGGATGCCGACCACTTTTCGGCGGACGACTTCCTCGGTCAGATCACGCTGGACCTGAACCGGTTTCCGCGCGGCGCCAAGTCCTCCAAACACTGCACCCTCTCGCTGCTGAAGAACGACGGCTCTGTACCCATGGTGTCCATCTTCAAACAGAAACGCGTCAAGGGCTGGTGGCCGTTCTACGTGAAAAACAACAACGAGGAGATGGCACTCACGGTAAGGATGGCTTTATAGTCGCTGTAAGATGTAGATAACTACATAGATAGAGCTGGTATTGCTATGGCTGCTCAGCTAAGCCGACCAATCTTTCATTGCTGTGCGGTTCATAGCTGTGCGGCAGTTAAACTTTTGAAAACTCAAAAGTAGTGTTATTTGTTAGGAGTTAATCGGTACGATACAAGTATTCTGTAAAGACTGCATGCACTTATCCCTGGTAGAGCATGATGGATGGATCTCTGACTCTGGCTGCGACCGACGGGGCAAGGTGGCGGCACTTATTCACCTGCTGACTGCTGAGCTCACCAGTGGTTATTGACATAACTGTGACCGCTGACCGGCAGGGCAAGGTGGAGGCCGAGATCCACCTGCACTACTGACCGCTGCGACCCTTGTTAATTATTGAACTAAATTGTACCACTGACCGGCAGGGCAAGGTGGAGGCGGAGATCCACCTGCTGACCGCGGAGGAGGCGGAACGGTCACCGGTCGGAATGGGCAGGAACGAGCCAGACCCACTGGACAAACCCAAGTACGGACGGGGTCCGAAGTTTGGGGAATGCTGATGGGGAAAGGGAATTGCGCTTCGTAGGCACTGGTCATTTATTTAACAGCGATTACGCATGATTTGTGCATCTCTAATCGCTTGAAGTAGAGTAGAGCAGAGTAGTGATGTCAAAGTAATGGTAATTTTATGATGAATTTCTTTCATTGGTGTGATTTTTAGCTTGCTTTTAATTTTTTTCATATTTTCAACGTATCTTTATGGCGAAAATGAAGGTTGACCAAAGACAGTAACAGATATCACGGCACGGACAATTTATTCGATTGTAAAATTGAAACGGACCCCCGCACCTCCCCAGCCGTCCGGACTCGTCGTTCATGTGGTTCATGAACCCGATCAAGTCGATACGCTACATCGTCTGGCACAACTACAAGTGGACCATCGTCAAGATCCTGCTGGTGCTGGCGCTAGCCATCCTGCTTCTTCTCTTCTTCTACAGCCTACCCGGCTACTCGGTCAAGAAGCTTCTAGGAGCGTAGTCGGGGATGACGGGAACGGGGAGAAATGTCGGGAGTGTGGAAGAGGTGGCGATACAGTCGACTGAAGGTGGACAGACTTCAGAGGACGCTGAGAATTCTGCGTAGTACGTAGGTACTCCGATAGGCTCCCCAGAGGACAGAGAGTACCCAAGTAGGCACTCCGGTCGGAATATTGATAGGATCCCGCTGAGGAGCTCTGGGAGTAAGAACATTCGCTGAAACTGAGCTCCGCTGCGACATTCGCTGAGAGTTTCGCTGCACCTGTGGTGTGGATCTTGGACAGCGAGGTTAGATGAACGGTGGAGCTTGACAGAAGAGTTTGACCAAATGAATCGAGGAGGAAATAAGCATGAGAGGAACGGATTTCTAAAGATGTTGGTGTTTTTCTAGAACCTCAACTTATTTCTAATCGTGCTTATGACCCAAGGGATCACTGGCTATCAAAGGAAAAGTGAATGTGTAGCGTTAGGAGTTCGTGGTGATATTACCAAGTTTAGGATCTCAAGTTCAGGATATCCAAGTTTCCGCGGCTGTGCTGATGCTAATCTCTGACTCGTCCATACAAACGACTTTTGGTTCACTCTATGTGAGTCTACATTTTACATGTCGATTGATTCTACAATTTATTCGTGTTACTGTCTTTCTTTGTTTAGTGCGTTATTGTCGGATCTCTGGCGACTTTATCGTACGGTATACCTTAGGTGATGTTTGAGTGACATTTTGATGCGCATCATTTGTTCATGTAATCATTATTTATATTCATGAGTCTCATATTTACTGAAGCATTTATTGCTATGTTATTTCCATTCGCAATATGTTATACTTTGATATTGATTTTGATTGAATCGTTCGTGACCTTGTATTTCCCTTAATATTTTGGTTGGCAACCTGGCTTGTGAAGACTCCCTTGAGTTTATCTGCAGATGTGAACTATAACCGTACTACCCACTTCGAACTTCATGACCTGATAACCTAGTGATCTGATCCTCTTCAAGACGCCACACCATAGTCAAAAAAGAGTAGCATCTTTTAGGGTAACGAGTCGCACAACCCACATTTTGAGTGGATACAATACCAAGCCGTGTAACCCTGACATAGAGCGAGCAGTGACATAAACCTGACAGCCAGACATAACATAGATACGAACAGTCTTTCGCTTCTATTTGTGCGCCGCTTGTAGCCGTTAGAGCGTTAGCGGGCGGCTGGCTGGCCAGCCGCCGTAGATCCAACTGCTCACGAGTAGATAGAAGAGTTCACTTTCCCAGTGGGTCGGTCCGTCTCATTACAATAGTGTAGTGGCTTGAGATTATTACCGACAGCCTATATATCTAAAATGCCTTTGTTTGTGTGAATGGTCCACACTTGTACTCTGGTATGAATCTCGTATGGTGTAACTGATATGGTTCGTTTGTGAACTGCATAACGTGGAGAGGGTGAGAGAACTCAATACTATCCATATTTCATAGTAGAAAACTGTTCGTATTATTTCGGAAATTCCATTGAGTTCTTGTATATGATTATATCGTATAGTCGGGCTGTATGGGTGCTTTGATATCACTTCTTGTTCATTTGCCGATAGTTCGTTGAGTTTTGTGCGAGGATTGTGAACTTATTAAAGTGACTGTCAATACAATCTGACACCTACTGATACTAGGTGTTTGAGAGTTCGCTCACATGCCATCAGTATTATTCGGACTTAGGAATAGCATGCCATGTTTCAAACGAGTTGTATACCATGGAATGCTATCTCATCACGCATTTTTAATATGCATCGCATAAAAATTAGCGTCTCTTTGTTTCCCTTTCAACATCGAACGTCTGCCTTTATTTCACAACGGCATGGTCAACAATTAACACTGATTGGTAGGAAGAACTAATACGGCGTTCCCAGTAAGGGACGGCCACATGTCGCTGGACAAACACTGTCGGGTCACAGGTGCCTTTGCAACGCCGATGACACGCTGGTTGATAGTTCCCGGTATTTAGCTGACTGGGTCGCGATATGAAACAAATCCTTGAGCCTTGTCAGGACCCTATTCACTTGTACAAAAACAAGAATCAAGCTCGAATGTCGTGGTATTCGGCGACAGACTCTATTGGAAGATATGTTCATGCATCCATTACTGTACAATAATCCCATTGCACGTCATGTCTGAGGTACATACATTGACTTGAAGACGATACATGAGTGTCAGCCTATGGTAATAGTACGCGGAGATAACAGCTTCTCATCGGTAACGGAAGTCCAGCGCTTCTCGCGGGGCATAGAGCGCCTCGTCGCCCATCTCTTCCGCCAATGTGATGAAGTCCGGTGGCGTTTCTCGTATCTGGGGAAACAAGTCGATTATAAATTTGTAAGAACTTCTCCACCCCTTTGGTTGAGACAGGAAGTTTGACTGAATGTTGTCGATAAAGTCAAAGCAGATTGGGAGTTATCATAATCGTTAGTGCTTATTTTAACGATAATGCAGCGACTAAAGCTGATGAAGCTAAGTTATAACTAAGCGTGCTCAGACTGCGGTGTTCGTTCATAGCATGACTGGGCAATTATGCTCGTTATATGTATTTTCATTATTTATATATTATATTATATGCATATATAATTATGTATAGGCCTTACCTGACAGTGTGAGCCGATGTAGCCGGGATGACACACGCAGATGGCTCCCCGGCTGTCCTCCACGCAGAGACCGTGCTGACAGGCCGGCCCGACGGTCTGACAGGTGACAGGTCGGCCCCCGCGGCAACCGTCATCTGATGGTAAATGACGGCATATGACGGCGAGGCAATAGCATGCGAATGGTACTTAGGCGGGATATGGTTGGCTTCAGACCCATGAGTTTCAAGCCCTGTGCATCAAAGTCAGCATCATGATACGGTATACGGCACGGATGCCTATTCAAGATGCAGCCCGTAACCACAGGCCAGTTTCAAACATGATTCTAAAACTCAGGCGACCACGGACCTGCAGACAAGCTATCATAGGCATCCCCGTCTGATCGTCAGGTTTACGATACAGGTCCTAACTAGATCGTCATTCGTCGCTTTACTAGATTTGTCGCCTTACTAGATCGTCATTCGTCGCTTTGTGCTGCGGAGAGGCGATCCTTTCCAATAGAGTAAGTTCAATTCGACTTACCGACTCGAGTCACCCACTGATGCCGGTTAGAGCCGCAGTATCGACACGGGTTCTTCGGATTGGTGTCTCCCGACCGGTAACATTGACCTGAAAAAAGAGAGTCATAACGACAGAGAAACGAAAAGATGCTACGTACGGGATGGCATTTCGTTTTCATGCTACATTTCAAAATGAAAACGAATGTGTAGCCTATTCAAAAGAATATAATTCAAAACATTTCAAAATTCGTAGTTCCCAATCGTTCATTGCCAAGATTGCTATACGCGATGAACGCAGAAGCATTCCCTTCAGTTCGGGAAGTCTTTGTTGACTTTCACTTCATAAATTGAGCTCATGTTCATGCCTCATGGTTTATCGCTTGCCAGTCCACGTGGTAAGTTGACAATTCCAGCGTCAGGATCTTTTCAGGCACCATCTAAACAGCAGTCTAAATGACATAACTCCAACATCCCAGACCAATCCTCACCATTTATGATGCAGGAGTCGATGACGGGAGCACAGGAGACGCTACCGTTCCTCTCTCGACAGATCTGACAGTCGCTGTTGTACGTTTTCAGAACCACAGCATCACTCCAGATGACTCCGTTGTAAGAAACCTGAAACAGCGAAACAGACAGCGAATCAAAAGTAACCCATAAGAGAGGAGAGTTTGACTCCGTGGTCCAGTAGCATGGACGATAGGTTCATTAACTGCGATCAGATGCATACGATTATAAGTTCATCTCAAGCACCAGCCATCACTAACTTCAGCATGATAATGACCGGTCACAATCGATTTGACGTTGCTGATTGTTAGGGATAGGTAGGCACCTATATGCCTAAGACGGATATACAGACACGAGGTAATACGGCTGAACACTATGCCAGCACCTTGGCCAGCACAGTAAATCACTAAAACCTTGCAATCGTGTCAAAAATGTGTATGCCTAGTTGCCTACGGGATATCTGTTTCAAGCAACGGCGTGCTCTAATACTGTGCCGCCTGCCCAGGCGTATTGCGGGACAGTATCATTCCAGGCGCTGAATGGTGCTGCCATCTAGCGACAGTGCTGTCTAGCGATCTAGCGATTGCTCAATCGAACTAAGCTTGTGGACGGTTTGTATTGAAACGGCAACTCCCGGCTGCGCCAAGAGGAGAGTTTGGCAGCGTCACAGGGGCGGACTAAGGGGGTGTTCGCTTTGCTGTACAGCACCCACTCCTCAATAAGGACATAAGAAACCAGAGGGCCTCGTGGAACGTGGTGGGATGCAACTGTTGCTCAGAATCATCGTCGGAGAGAAGCTGAAGCTATCCAAACCATTTAAAAACACCACTTATTGTTAGCTACCAACGGCAAGGGCTGGAGCTCAGCCTAATCAATCACGACGTAATTTTCTCGCCGGCTGCTACGACAAACACACCTGAATCGTCCACGGTACTACATCTGCCGTGTGGCGCAGCCTCCTCACACTGGCGACGGGCAGGTGACACTGTACTTCCTCTGCAGACCGGTAGGTAGCAGGTGCGATGTTCCACGCCTGCTCGCCCTGCCTAACTCGGCAGCGGAGACCGACAGACGGCCAAAGGTGGCGGCCTCGGATGGAGATGGCGACACAGGATGCCGAGGCCAGGTCACAGAGGCCCTGCTGACCCACCGAGGTCACTCGGGGCACCCACTCTGCGAACGGGATGTCAGAGTTAGACCGCTGTCCCGGTGTGCCTACATAGTACATTCCAGACACTGGCTATGACAGTACAGCTGTCCAATGTCCATACTCCTTAGTAGGTAAACTGAAACTTGAAAGGAGAAGACAAGAGGAGAAGACATCAAGTCAGATGTGGAAGGAGACATCAAGAACATCCCACCAAGTCGCCATGCGATTAACTGACAGAGGCACCCGTACCGTTAGGGCGGTGGTCGTTGACGACCTCTTCACCCTGCTGAATACATCCACCACCGGCGACACAGCTCTCGGCGCACTGCAGCCCTCCCTGCTCTGCGGGCGACTGAGACAGTGCTGCCACCTGGCAGCGGTCCTCCAGAAGCGGCGGGAGCAGCTCGGCCCACCGCTCGACGGAACGGCCGGCATCTGGGGGCCAGGGTAGTCGGTAGTCAATGGGAAATACACCAGAGATAAGGATTTGAAAATATCATAGGTGATTCGAACACCCTCCGACGTTTTGCAGTAATAGCTAGTGAAAAAAAAACGTAAAGAGAGAACGAAGCCTCTCAATTATCAATAGGTGCGTCAGGGGATAGGTCAGCACCCTTCCCCCTGTCCATGGGAGGTGCTAACATTCGGTTTCCAGCCCCACACCGACATATTTCCTCGACAAGTCTGAAACTGTGATGCAAGTACTCCCTTCGAGGAACGAGAAAGTTTCCTTTTTCTGAGTTACTCACTTAGGCTGGGGGGATCCAGAGCGTCGTAAGCCTCGTCGCAGCTGCGACGTGTCGCAAGTTGTGTAGTAAGTCGTTTTTGAAGGGATCAATCGATGAGTAGCGTTACTTAAGTAGTAAAGTCTATCGCAAATAGCCTGATTTGCGACACAACTTACGAATTTGAAATAGCAGTCGTAAGTTGTGTCGCAAGTTGACGTTGCCTTGAGGAAGAGGTCACAGGTCACAGGTCATTCGGGTCATGGTCACGAAATTTACATGGTAGGTGTAAAATTGTTTAAACTTTAGATCCTGAAAATTTGGTTGCAATCCGTTGACGCTAACGCGAGTTATAGATCTTGAACTGACGGGTCGTCTATGAGGCCTCAATCCGTGCCAGCGAGAGTGTTGAAAATGGTGCGTAATATGTTATATTCACATTTATTGGGGTATTCGGGGATATGAAGTAGCCTAACACCATTCCAGCAACTACTGGCGAATCCAGAAAGGCGGTCTTGGACGTTGCAAGGAGCAGCCTCCAAAATATTCTCCCAATTCCAAAAACGACGTGTCCCAGCTGACCCCGATGACCTCCAATGAGCTCTGTGATGACCCCAAGTTGACCTTTTTGACCTGACCTGTCCCAGATGACCTCCGTGACATCCTTTTGAGTTCTCTGATGACTCCAAGCTGACCTCTGTGACCTGACGTGTCCCAGATGACCCCCATGACCTCCAATAGAGCTATGTGATGACCCCAACATGACCTTTGTGGCCTGACGTGTCTCAGATGACCTCCGTGACCTCCAATTGAGCTCTCTGATGACTCCAAGCTGACCTCTGTGACCTGACGTGTCCCAGATGACCTCCATTTGAGCTCTGTGATGACCCCAACTTGACCTCTGTGACCTGGCGTGTCCCATATGACCTCTGTAACCTCTAAGCGACCTCTACGATGACCCCAAGCTAACCTCTGTGACCTGACGTGTGCCAGATGACCCTCATGACCTCCAATAGAGCTCTGTGATGACCCCAAGTTGACCTCTGTTACCTGACGTGTCCCAGATGACCTCCTTGACCTCCAATTGAGCTCTCTAATGACTCCAAGCTGACCTCTGTGACCTGACGTGTCCCAGATGACCTCCAATTGAGCTCTCTGATGACCTTTAGTTGACCTCTGTGACCTGACGTGTCCCATATGACCTATGTGACCTCTAAGTGACCTCTCTGATGGCACCAAGCTGACCTCTGTGACCTGACGTGTCCCAGATGGCCCCAATGACCTTCAATTGAGCTCTGTGATGACCCCAAGTTGACCTCTGTGACTTGATGTGTCCCAGATGACCTCCGTGACCTCCAATTGAGCTCTGTGATGACCCTAGGTTGACCTCTGTGACCTGACGTGCCCCCAAGTTGCCCTCTGTGACCTGACGTGTCTCAGATTACCTCCGTGGTCTCCAATTGAGCTCTGTGATGACCCCAAGTTGACCTCTGTGACCTGACGTGTCCCAGATGACCTCTGTAACCTCCAATTGTGACCTCCATCTACAAATTTCTTACCTCTCTCTGACCTCAAACTCTCGGAACTCATTTCTTCTAAAGCATCGATTCTAGATGCCCTATAGCCACGAATCTCCTGTGATCGATCCCAAATTTTATGGCAAATCACGTGAGCGTTAGCAACCACAAGTCACCCAGTTAATACAAAGCTTCAGAATCAGAGAACATGCTTGACCTTGCTGTCTCATAAGCTCGCAAACCAGAAAGGCGAATGTTCCTTTATGCGTGATAGAGTTTTCGACCTTACTGACGTTTACTACGGGATCAGCTGATCGTGTAGCCTTTTAAATTCTCGAGTAAAGCGGGTATTTAAGCCTCGTCGCAGCTACGTTCTGTCGTATCCTCCGACAAACCCCTCTTTCCTCAACATCCCTCCTTTTCCGCTACGACACAACTTGCGACGGCATATGTGTCGTAACTTGCGACGTGTCGTAGATGGACTTGCGACGCCCTGGATCCCCCCGGCCTTAGTGTAAAGGTGTTCCATAGCCCAATAATCCAATCACAATACCTGAAGTAATGCCACCAAGTTCCTCACGTACTTACAAACTGTTGCTACTACAACCATCAACCCAATCATTACCTTAAGTGTACTGCAGTAGCTGATGGCCTCACCTAAGCGACAGACGTCTCGAAGTGCCACCATGACTGCTTTGTCGATTTGGGCAGCACACGCAGACTGCCGTCGTGCGTTGGCGATGAAGTGCTCAAAGTTATGCCGTCTTTTCTCGGTCGGAAGAAGCGGCTCGGGTTTGTCCCCAAACACTGCGTTAGATTCATAACCCCCGCCTTGTAGCCCGCTCGACTGGACCTCAGCCTTGGCTCTCTCCAGTTGTGTACCAGTCTGTGTGTCTGGAGTGAAGTATGGTGTGTCATCTGGCAGAATCCCTGGAATTGGATATATGTCCGGCCGAGTTTCGAGTGTTGAGCCAGCGGCTGATCCAGCCATTGTTTTTAATTTTCCGTCTGTCGTGTGTTGTTTCTCCGTTTGCGATGTCTGCTCCGGGGCGCCGGCTGCCGTTTCTGGCACAGATTTCGGCGGCGAATCTGGAGTAGGTTCCGCTGGCGTTTCAGATATCGTTTCTGGCTCCAGCGCGCCACTGAAGAGGTGATCTGTGAGCTCCTCGAAGGGCAGTTCCTCCAGATGGTCCTGGGCAGGAAGACTGCGTTTGTTCCTCCTGTTTGAAATGGAAACAAACATCGAGTGAATGAATATTCAGGCAAGTCACGACGTTACGCATACATATACTTCCAAAATAATGTAGCATGTGTCTCTTCATAATATAGTATACAAATATCAAATAAACAAACAAACTAAGCCACGAAACATCGTAACAGCCGTCTCGGCTCACCTGCGTCCCCGACGGCCCGCGGTGAAATGTTCCGCTGGTGCTCCGGGGCACAATCCTGTCTCTGACTGACCATGTGACCTTACAGAGACCGTGACAGACAGTGCCCGGCGCCGACCGGCTGGGGACTCGTCCTCGCTCCGGTCCTGGTCCACGGGGAAGGCATGGAGTCGCACCACCAGGCCCGAGCCTGATGTTATCTGTTGAAATTGGACACGAGATAACACGGCTGAGGTTTGCCAGCATTGTACAGCTGTACACCAGAGACAGCATGAATATATGCTTGTTTAGTTTGACGTTTGCAGGCGGTGATGAACAAATAAAATCGGGAATGAGTTTTGTTCGCATTTCTTTCTCTTTTTAATTTTTCCTCTCATTCTATCTTTCTCTATGTGATAGGAACTCTGTCTCTCTCTCCTGCCCCCCCCCTCTCTCTCTCTCTCTCTCTCTCTCTCTCTCTCTCTCTCTCTCTCTCTCTCTCTCTCCCATCCTTTATGACCACCATCCATTCTCCATATCCTACTTCTCACAGCGCACCTCTCGTCTCCGCCCGTACCACTCGCGGGAGATTCATTGCTATCAGTATGATAATCGAGTTCGTCTTCAACATATTGAGCCTGCAGGCCGACCATAAATAACCCGCTATATGGTGTATAAGCGAGCCGGGATAAAGGCACGGTCGGCGCAGTTTAGCCGTCAGATAAGGGCCTTCAGCCCAGGAGGGGCAGCGGAAGATTGCCTTATAAATTTGAAACGGTTCCCGTGACGTCCTTGCTCTCTTATACCTTTCCAAAATTCCGGGATGGCGTGACAGAAGGGCCCGGTGAGTAAGACGAATGTGGGCCAAGGCTGGGTAATCGTTGAGTCTTAAATGCCGCCTAAATGTGGTACTAAATGTCACTAGTGTGTGAGATCATGAAAAAATGTCACCCGAAATGCATCGGTGTTTTTGAAGGAGTGGGCGGCGTACGGTATGCATGCAATACAGTTTATACAGGGTTTCGGGAGATGCTCAAATGTATGAGCATCGAGAGTACTTATCCATCCATCTTTTCAAAAGATCTCAGCCAGACAATTTCACTGAACCATTTCACCCTTCTCATAACAGACGTACGGTTTGAGTAATGGTTGTTCACCGCTGAATGCGCATAGATGCCAGAAAACAATGCATCAACGTTCTCCTGGATAGCGCTCTGGGAAATGATGAAACGTCTTGACATGAAAACAAAACTGTTCCCGTCTCCTTTGATGAAACTGCTTCACAAAGAAGCGTTGTTGACTTTATGAATGGTGTAACATGAAGTGGTATGATAATGAATGCAAAGTTCTATAGAAATGCCAACATAGCATAAATAGTTAAAAACAAAACGCGACTAATGAGAGAAGGAGAACGTTGCAAACAATAGTAACACAATATTCCTTACAATATTTAGGCGGAATCAGGTAAAAGTGTGCAGAAACACCCATAAACACAAAGGTCACCTTATTTACAATCAATGCAAATGCCGTAGCTGTGTTCTCGTTGCTCGGATTTACACTTTACTGTGAATGCGAGGTAACTGTAAGCATCGCTTTATTTCACAGGCGCTCACACTAAACTGAATAGATTGCTGTTCTACATTCCCACCTTAAATCACTAAAATAAACGAAACCAGCTGCTTCAAATTTGGCAGCTACGCCTCAGCAATATTGTATGTATGAGTGCCACAAAAGCTACGTTCGCAGTACCGCATCGTACCAGAAAACCGGTACCGTAAATACCTGTCATACCTATACGCAGTACCGCAACAGTACACATAGACGGAACCTACCAGCCAGGCTGAGTCGGGCCTCGTTTCCAGCACGTGCAGCTGCAGCCCGCGGCCGGCCGGCGCGGAGCGGCGCAGCGTGGGCTCTCTCCTGTCCACCGGGTCGGGGCACACGTCCACCTCTATCCACTCCGAGCCGGCGTCCACGGTCACTGCGCAGGCGCAGAAGGAGTGTCCGACCCGGCCGCCGCATCGTGTGGCAACAGTGCTGACCGTCACCTGCTAAAACAATGTCCACGGGATGGAATATGACCGCAGGAATTCCAAGGTTCCATCAGCATGATATCGTCATTCTGTCAAAGAACACTGACGTGCCGCGTCAGATAACGCCACGGTACACCAAATGACAGCGCGTGACGCCGGTCATATTACATAATCACGAGCCGTCATGCTTTGAGATGCAAGTGTGAGGTTTCATCATATTCTGAAACACGCGGATTCATTCAGCTGCCCAGCTACATTAAATTAAATGGTTTATTTACATATACTAGCTATTTACAAGATATATGTAGATATTCGAAGCTATCACAATGCTCTACCCCATCCCTCACCTATTCATCCTAGCATCCGATACCCATCCCGCCACTCGAGTTACATACCGTTCTCCCGCCGTCGGCTCGGCCGGCCAAAAGAACGTGTTGCCCGGCGCGTCTCAGGGTCCGCAGTCGTGCGTCGAAGCCGACGACGTGTCTCCCGTCGATTAGCTGACAGATGAGCGGGGCCGACGGCCTCACCTGAGGATCGGTAATGAAGCTGGTTAGGTCCGAGACCGGTCGGAGATGGGCGATGTCTCACGTCTCGATTTCTTTGTTCATCATAATCAGCAGCGGGCAGCAGATCCGGCTCGGTCTTTGAAGATGAATGGTCGAGAAATCGAACCTGAGGATCGCTTTTTACCTGCTAGCTGTATTATAAGTAGGAGACAAACGGATGCCTTGGAACTGGATTTCTTTGAACAAGTCTAGCAACATGAACTCACGAGCACGACTGCCAGTGGCCATTGTATACCACGTCAAGGAACACTAAAAATACTCAAGCTGTGCATTTTATTTGGTATGCAATAAACCAAAACTTAAATAAGAAAGTAAAGTAAACGAAAGAACAAAAGCGTACAAAGGTGATAATCGAAAACACGTCTTCATCGCGTTGGTTCATCATCATTTTCATTGTCACCGTCGTAAAAATCAGCCATATCCGCGATTCGTTTCACTTTAATAGTGTGAACACTGTCACATCTCTCCGCCACCATGAGATTGGATTACCTCCAGCTTTCGAGCCACGCTGAGTGGAATCTCACAAAAGCCCAGGAGCCACCAATATTGCACCCGGTATGGTTTATTGGTCGCACCAGCGGCATTGCTGGCCTGTCGTGCGGGCGCTTTGTCACAATGTCTCGGCGGCGGCAGAACATCGTTTGTAACTCGGCACCGCCCAGCGCCGGGAAAGGCCCTCAGTGTGACGGCCAGTGTTCCCAGAAACCTCTGTCACCTCGTCTGACGGACAGACGCCATATTGTCGCTGATTGGGTACCCGATCCGGGCCGGATCTGCTGGCGGTCAGCGCTGAGAGAGGGCCGAGACGGCCGGCCGTGCTCCTCAAACCCGATCTCCGCCAAAGGGTCAGCGGACAGTGTTCGGCTCCAATCGTCCGCTGATGAGATTTTGATCGAAACGTCCGCGGCCGCGGCCGGAAATTAAACTGTGACTTTGTTCCGCACGTGCTGAAGGGAGCAGAGTGGGGCCAGGGATGGTTTCATTAATTATTTGCTATCCGCGGTCTTCGAACAAGGCGGAAATGTGAAAGACATATGGCTCTTCCTCAGACATTGAAACTGTCATCGAGGATTATAAAATTCCGTATTTTTGTGACAAGGTTATTGCAAAGACGATAAAGAACTTTGTCTGGGATAGGAAGGTATAGAATAAATGCTGTGCATACGGAAAATAGACAGCATGAAGTCTATCAGTGCCAGCGCAATGATAAATTAAATGATAAGTCGTAATAAGCATGGGGGTGCAACCATTCTGGTATAACACCAACCCACCACATACCCAACCGTGCCTGTGTAGCCTGGGCAATAACATACCGGGTGCCAATATACAGCACACACTCGTAACGGGCTGCATCTCGGTAATGGTGCCGGGGAAGTAATGAACAGACCAGGCATAGCACATCCATCTTGTGGACCACAAGGCGTGGCGTGGTTCTGCGATAACAAATCCTGGTGCTCCTATGGTAATATTAGCGTTTTACATATTTTTGTTTTTTGACTGTTTGTGTAGACTGACAAATATGTATAATAGAAGGTATATAAATTTTGTATAGGTATAAGACGTATGTGACAGTCAAAATCCACTCGGTCTATATGAGAGCAATAGCCGACCACCGACTGTCACTGTTCCAGTATGGGGGAGACATCGCCCGCTACCGGTGAATCCAGGGATTGTCCGTAAAGACGGGGTGCTGATCCGCGGGATTTGCCTGTAGATGGTAACCGTGATAAACTCTCAGCGCCTGACGCCCACAGGAGGTTCATTTATCCATATTGTGCCAGTCAATGGTCCTACAAAGTGGTCCGGGTGAAGTTTACAGCGGCGTACTATTTGATGGTCTGAATTATTACTGCGACGTACTGACGAATGATTTATTGTGTGCTAACTGTACCAACAATGTTAAACGTACCCCAGTGACTCAAATATCACCCTTACCGTAAGTGCGATAACCGGCGGTTGGTACTCGGCCCACTCCGGCCCCAGATCTGCCCGGTTCTCCAGTATCACCCGCAGCTCAGCAGTGATCGGTCGCGGTGGACCGTCGTGAGGCTGTCGAGAGAGAGAGAGCGGCCTGTGAGGTCATTGGGTAGACGAACCCCCAAACGTACCCGACGGACGGATAGACCCGCTTCTCTGCTAGAGCTTGGACGGAACTCTTTTAACAAGAAGATTTGCCCTGTTTAGGACAGGTGGAAGTTGGAACTCTGTCTTGGGCAAATAGACCATTTCTCGGACAAATCGACCCCATATCGGTAAGATGGACAGTTACAGGTGCAGCACTAGGATACCTACATACTGGTGGCCATGGTTCGTGACGGTGGTCAATAAATTATGTCGAAATGGCGAGCACTAAATACAGCAACTCTAAGCTGAATGACTTTCATAGCTCAATCGTGTTTGTTCGGCGTGAATAATCACCCTACCGGTGGTTCAAATTTCCACACAGGGAATTCATTAATGCACGATTGTTAACCATTTATTCAAATTCGATGCGCCAGCTGCTCTAAACGACGGCACGGGTGGTCAGGGTAACAGGCGAAGCCGATGACAGGTCACCCGTGTTACATCGTGTCAGACGCCTGCCAACCAGCCTGACATGTCATACGCCTGTCAGCTTGTCTGTCACATCAAACGCCAGTCAAGTTGCCTGTCATGTCGTCTCTCGTCAGTCATTAGTCACCGCCACACGACTGTCAACTCTCATCATTTGAACGACGTGCAGTGACATCTCTAACTCGAACTCATTAGTGCGTCCCATTTACAACCGCTATATAACTTACCGCTCTGCTGATTGTTGCCGTGACGATCTCAGGCCAGCAAATGCCTCCCGGACAGTTGAAAGATACCACACACTTGTCAAGGAGTAATAACTGGGTTCCGGCTGTCCCTGTGAATGAGAAATGGAAATGGTTATATCTTACTGCACATATTGCACCATTGCTCTAGCTTCAGACGCAGAAGCCAAAAGAATAGCCCTTCCCGGTATCTCTAATCCCTAAACCGAAGGACTTGGAAAGGTACTTACGATGGTTTGTGATTCTGTTGCCACGGTATTTACTCAATGTGACCCTTACACCGAGATGAACCTTCAAGCTCCATATGGAAAGCACACGCATGTACTTGAAAAGGGTGAGCACAAAAGTGTGTCGCACTTGAAAATTAGATGGACTATATTTGCACCAGCAGTACACATAAAAATATGCTCATTATCCAGTCTTTAGCCGCCGATATTACCTTTTGAATTACGGCAGATGACTTGGACGAGATTCCGCTACAGATATCTTTCACTGATCATCTCGGATATCAAATAGCAGCTATGAATGAGCGCGATCATCGTGAATGCGCCATTGCCCTCACGTCCCCACACTAATGACCCATTTTCTGTTCCAGACATCGAGGAGGCTCGCCCTGATTGCCAATCTCAGCAGAGTGCCGGCACTGAAAGACGCTGTCATAGTTCTCACTTCTCATCCCGTCAATGGCCATCGTTTGTTCCTCACGAGCTCCAGCGTTTTTATTGCTGATTATCTTTGAAGACTTTTTAAAGTATTCAGCATAGTCCTGCTTTCTCTTAAGAAAACAGAGTGCCTGTATGCCTACAATAGATGTAACAATGGTTTGTGTTGGCTTTCAATTCAGCACGGGCTAAAACCGACAGTTTATCTTACATCCAGTCCGTGACCTCACCTTGCTGTAGCGGCTGCAGTCTCAGCAGCAGCCGACAGTTCTGCCTCGGTCGACAGGTCACGGGCGCCGAGACGGACAGGGTGAGGTCGGTCCGGCCGTCCCGCGTCTGCCGACTGCTCCAGGTCACCCCCAGGCGGGTGGGGGGAGAGCGCAGGGGACGGGGAGGGGGATGTCCGACGGCCAGCGCCGGACGGACCTCGCAAATCACCTGCGAAACAGGCAAAACATGTTACCTGGAGGGAAAAGGTGGCTTTGCATCGCTTCGTGAACGATCCACTTTTAAAAGTTTGATAACAATAAAGGCGATTTTTGAGTAGTATTACTGGAAGCAGAAAAGAAAATTCTGCCGATAAATATCGGCTAGCCAGATATTTGCCAATGATACCCAACACACAGAAAAATATTGACACCGTTAGCGGTGTAATTGCACAGTACGTATCTGAGCACTTGAGGAAAGTTAATTTAGTCCCTTCCCCGCTTAAATTACTCGCGCTTCTAAATGAACACCAGGAAAAAGGTAATAGAACACTGTTAGGAGGGTTGGGTGTTTTGCTACATGTAGTAAAACACCCAACCCTCCTAACAGTGTTCTATTACCTTCTTCCTGGTGTTCATTTAGAAGCGCGAGTAATTTAAGCTGGGAAGGGACTAAATTAACTTTCCTCAAGTGCTCAGATATGTACTGTGCAATTACACCGCTAACGGTGTCAATATTTTTCTGTGTGAAGCATCATTCGATGTCAAGCATCATTGTCATTGTTCGCCGTGTAAGCGATGATAACTCATGTGACTCAAGTTCAGCCTGCAACTCATGGGGACTGGTATGGCCGTTTCACCCTCCGACAGAAGCCGCGTCAGCTCAGCGGCGGCTTTAGCGGATGGTCCATTTCCGTTTCCGGTCCGGGGAGCCGCCGTCGCACCTGCGCGGCCTCCAGAGACACTGCGCACTCCGATCCTGCGAGCTGGATCATTTATTTTTCCCTCAAATCTCTCCGTGCAGCTGCGCGGCCAATCACACCGCGGAAACTTGAAGCTGAGCTGTGCGGCCATCCATAAATACTGGATCGGAGCTCTGTTCGCGACATGTGCTGCCAGCTCTCTGAAGTTTACCGAGTGTTCGACAAAGTTCGCGCTAGGCGGGAATCTTTCAACAAATTTACATCTCGAAGCGACTATTTTGCGACGAAAACAGGAGGCTGTTGAAGAACTTAGAGAGTATTTGCCATCGTTCAACAGGAGTGTAAATATTCAGTTTCATTTATCATGCTCTTCATTACACTTTATTCAAAACTGCATGCTATGCTCTCTCTTATAAGACAACACTTTTATGGGATTTATAGAGAATTCGAAGAAAAACGTTGTCCATCGTTCTTAACCTTCGATTGGGCGTGTATTGCACTAAGGCAAGCTTTGTAATCAAATGGATAAGGCATGGAATTCTCTACCATGGAGGCATGCCCAGCCATAGTTTTCTTCTTAAAATAACAAGCAAGATCTTTCATATGATAAAACACATCAATCGTGCTACTATCGTGCAAATATCGTGCCTGGTTTCAAATCTTCAAGGCGCCATCACGCCAATAATTCTACATTACCACCAGACAAAGTCGAAACCTTTTGACAAAATGTTTCTGGAACACATTGCAGTGAATCCTTTTAGGAGTACTCGGGCGCATTGTTATTGACTTCAATCACGAGCTACGACGCTGACTGATGTTGAAAATCGCAGAGACAGAGAGCGTGCATCTGCTCTGATGGAGCGAGCAAAGGCGGACGATCAGACGAATGGTATGCGGAATCAATCGAAAAATTTGAACGAAACAATAAAT